TCTCGAAATCCTCTGAATCACCCGATTCAGTTTCAGATTCAGACTCAGAACCTTCATCAGTGGGTGTGGGTTGTTGTGGTTGCTTTTGACTATCCTCAGTCTCATCACCGTCATCAGGATAACATTGGAAAATTCCCACATTCTCCCCCACTTTGCATTGTACTCAACACTTCTCGTGAGCTTAATTGTCTTAGAGTCAGTCATCATTATTCTGTAAGACCCTTTCTGATAACCTAGAAAGATACCATGCAATCCACGCTTGTCTAACTTGGAGTTTTGTGGTGAGCGAACCCACATGTCAGAACCAAAAATCTTCATGTGTTTGATGTATGGCTTCTTGCCAAACATCTTCTCATAGGGGGTACAACCAATCGCTGAAGATAACCTGCGATTGTAACTGTAAACAAAACACGAGAGAGATTCGGCCCAATAACTCTCTGGAAGATTGGCATCATGCAGCAAGGTTTTTAATCCTTGAAGCAATGTTTGATTTGCCCGTTCCGCAAGTCCATTCTGCCATGGCGAGCGAGGACTAGACAAATCGTGTTGAATTCCTTTCTCAGTCAGAAAAGCTTCAAACTGCTGAGAAGTGAATTCCCCCCCGCGATCACTGAAAAGAGTCTTTATCTTCTTACCATGCACATTTTCCAACCAAGCACAGAATTCCTTGAACCTAGGAAAAGCCTCCGATTTCTGCTTGAGATTGTACACAAAAATATATCTAGAAAATGCATCAATGAGAACCATGAAGTATCTATTTCCACCCAAAGAGGCGCTAGTGGTCCAACCAAATCAGCATGAACAACCTGGTATGGTTCTGTAGCTTTCCTACTAGACACCTTACCTTTCGCAGCCATTTTCACCTTGTTTGCTGCGCATGCTTTGCACTTCATGTGGTACCTGCAGGGTTTAATAGTCATACCTTCAACCAAGGCAGGCATTTTAGATACTGCCTCAAAATGCAAATGACCAAATTTTCGATGAAAATCGTGAATACATTCTGCATGCAAACTTTTGTTAGAACCTGCAATGCAACAAGTGTCATCCTGCACCACATCATCATAATACAAAACAAACAAACGATCAACATATTCTGCATGCAATACATAATCATTTTTCTTTGTGATGATGCACTTCTTGTTCTTGAAGGAAACGTCAATGTTCCGCTCATTCAGCTGTCCAACGCTGAGCAGATTATGTTTGGCGTCTGGCACGTAAAGCACATTCTGTATCGATAAGTCCAAACTGTGAAGAACAACAGTTCCGTAGCCTTTACTGGGAATAGTGTGGTCATCCGCCTGGTGAATCGCACCTTCCTGCGGTGTAAAAGACACAAACAGTCTCTTATCGTTGCACATGTGGTGGGTGGCCGCTGAATCAACAACGAAGAAAGATCTAGACGTCTTCTGGACCTCTGCAACCTTTGGAGTGAAGCGTGAAACCATAGCCTTGTGCTGCGTTGTCCTAGACACCGGACCTTTGCCTTTGCCTCGGCCTTTTCCGCGCGATGAGCTTTCGCTGCGCTGCTCTGTCTTGGCCCTGGGATGTCTGCATTCCCTCTTCATATGGCCTAGACGTCCACACGAGTAGCACTTCACTGCCTTCATAGCTTTGGCGCCATCTGGTGGTTCCACTGCACTATGGGATGACGTCTGTGAAGACTCCCCCTTGCCCATGCAGCTAGCACCCCGGCGATCTGCTTCATTTAAAATCACGGCAGTAACAAAGTCCACTGTCAGCTGAGCAGTTGGTTGCACAGCAATCTGGGTTGCAACAGACTCCCAACCTGAACCCAAAGATTGTAGTATCATGAAAGAATACACAGCCTCTGGAAAGTTGAGTCCTCTCTGTTGCAGCTCATGTCTCAGATTTTGCATCTCCATCAGATGTAAACGCACATCTCCACCTTCAGCAAGAGCCATATTATGCAGCTTGTTAAAGTAAAACATAGTGGATCCAGCTTCTGTCCTTAAGTGAGCCTCTCTCAAAGCGTCCCAAATTTCTCTGGCTGAGGTCTTATCACGCAATAGACAGAGCTCTTCTGGGGATACTATCAATGTAAGAGTTCCCCTTGCTTTGGAATCCTTAGCTTCCCATGCATCTGTAACTGGAACTGGGGGTTTCTGTAATCACCTCAAACAAACCCTCTTTCCGCAGAATTGCCTCTGCATACTGAACCCAGTCGCTGTAATTTTTCTTGTTGAGCTTAGGAATCCCACAAGCATCCTGAAGGGCCATCATGACTCTGGCATTAGCCTTCAGCGTCATATGCTGCTTTAAATCTTGCTGCGTCACTGCTGCAGCTGCCTTATTACAAAGGCGCACTTAAAAGTTACTTTCGATTTCCCCAGCATAGTGACTTGTGCCTGGGAGCCTTTTGCCTATTCCCGGCAAAACCGGCTTTAAAAGTTCAAAGTCCAGCCATAAAGCCATTAACTAGAAGCTGGCAGGCTGCCCGGAGCAGTAGCACATACCTCATCAATCACCTCTACGCGCAGAGCAGATTCCTTTCCGATCCGTCCCTCTGCATTCCGATCCTTTGCCGGCACTCCGATTCGACTTCTGGGCCCATAACCACGTGTTGATTTAAAGCAGAGTCTCGTGGCCAGCGGAAGGATGAGGAATACGTGCTGCATACTCTATATTGCTTTATTTACAGTTCAAAGCTGGTATATTACAGAAAGACATCTTGCCTCTGCCGGAGCAGAAAAATGCATCCTCTCTCCTCAACAGCTCGGAGAGAATCACACAGTGAAAAACAGGAAACCAGTGTACGTCACATCCAGCCTCCCTTTCCCGTGAGAAACTCCAACAGTACAGACTGTGGAATGTAAACACCTGTCTCGTGACAAGCAGAGCTGCACAGTGAAGGAAAGCAGAAACCAACAGAAACTACTCAGGAATTGATTCAGGAATCTGTTTTGACATGGCAAGCTGTGGAGAAGACGAAGGAGAAAGTTGTTGTTGAACCTCAAGTAATTCAAGTGGAGAGAGCCCCGGCCTTACAGAGGCAATTTGATGAACATAAGCTGTTGCCTTTTACGATTGAATCTAGAGAAAGCCAGATTTGGCGGGATGGAGCCCCGCTTGGATTGGAGAAGGAAAGTTGGATAGATCCCCTTATGCAGGGATGTTCTGGCTTTTGGGATCTGGATTTGGGTCAGGGGAGATTGGAGTTGTGGGGGCCTTTAGCTTTGGAGGGACTCTGAAACACGCTCTGAAACATCTTTTGGACTTTAGTTCTGACTATGGAGAATGGGCTGACCTGTCGAGAAGGAATAAAGACATTGTTAGGTTGGAGTTTCCCCGAGATCTACTCCTCAATGTCAAAGGAAGGAAATTAAGAACAAGATCAGCAGAAGATAAAGTAAAGTGCATGTATAAATATGAAGAAGCTCTGCAGAAGGGACATGGAAAAGAGTTAAGAGCCTCGGACAGAAGATCACCAGGTTGATGGACCATATGGAATTGATAGAAAGGACTGACAGAATCCGAGACCAGGGAGAAGAGACGGTGGAAGAAGATTGGAAAAAAGTTTTAAAAAATTTATTTAGAGAAATATTGCAAAATTAATGAGTGTTAGAAAAATGTTGGAATGAAATTATACGGCTTTAGTAGAAATGTTATAAGGAGTTAAAGTATAAATAAGTTTTAGGGTTTTAATGGTAAGATAAGGTTAAAATAAATTAAGATAATTAAATGACAGAAAACAGTGAAAGATGGAAAGGATTTGCTGAAATAATTAATAACTAGAACACAAAAAGGGAGGTGTGACGAGGTCGATGAAACAAGTTAATGAAAGATAAAGATATGGAAATATTGGATGTGTTTTTAATTGTTTTTGTTTTGATGTACTGTGTCTTTTGTTTTTTTTTATATGTACTGTAATGTATTGATTTGTATTGTTTACTTTTTCTCTTTCTTTTTTACTTTTTTCTGTAATTCTTAAACTTTTAATAAATATTATTTTTTTTAAAAAAAGGAAAGGTCACACCCACCTACCAGTCACATGCAAGGAAGGATGCTTCAGGCGAGGAGGAACAGGAAATTCGAAGGGCTGGACCAACACCCCCTGCATGACCACTCTAGGAAAACAAGGAATGTTGTACTTGACTGCTCCCAGTGGATTATACTGTATATATATCCCAGAAGTTAAGAAAAAATGACTGGAGATTCTGTAGGTGATTCTACATATATCTGCATCTTCTTTTTGGCACTTTTACATGTACTCTTGCCATTGGTGTGTGAGATCCATGGGGGAAAGGCACACTGAAGGCCTCATTCTCCTTGATCCATAGTAGATGCTTCAAGAAATGAGATAACTGAAGACCAGGCAAAATAGCTAGAGGTTAAAGGTAAAGGTAAAGGGACCCCTGATGATTAGGTCCAGTTGTGGCCGACTCTGGGGTTGCGGCGCTCATCTCGCTTTATTGGCCGAGGGAGCCGGCGTACAGCTTCCGGGTCATATGGCCAGCATGACTAAGCCGCTTCTGGCGAACCAGAGCAGCGCACGGAAATGCCGTTTACCTTCCCACCAGAGTGGTACCTATTTATCTACTTGCACTTTGATGTGCTTTTGAATTGCTAGGTTGGCAGGAGCTGGGACCGAGCAACGGGAGCTCACCCCGTTGCGGGGATTCGAACCGCCGACCTTCTGATCGGCAAGTCCTAGACTCTGTGGTTTAACCCACAGCGCCACCCGCGTCCCAAGCTAGAGGTTACTACACATTAAAAGGGATTCAAACAGGCCCTGTCCCTAGTCCCCTTCAAGGTTTTATTTAACTTTCTTATGGATATGACGCTCCTTCAGTCGCTATTGTACCCCCAAAATAGAAGACTGAGGACTTCTAACTGAGGTCGTTTCTCGGTTGGGGTCCCAAGAACCTGGGTCATAGTTCTGGTTTGTGGAGCACCTGCTCTGGGGGAGCTGGGTATGCGTTAGCAGATAAAACCAGAATAATGGCAGATTTCTAACATGGTGAAAACATCAGAAACAAACCCAGGAAACTCAGAACTCCCCAAATCCATGGAAGATTTATTTGAAGAGAATTTCGGAAGGATTCCTACTCAGTCTGATTTTTATTTTGGGGGTAAAAACTGAAGGAAAACAAGTTTTGACTGTGATTCTCTGATTCAGGGTGGCATTGTTCTTTCTTCATATGCTCTTCACTGGAGTTAAGAGCAGAAAACACAAGTCAGTTTTAGACCAGACGTACTAATATGGACTGCAATGAAGTGTCTTCTCTTATCCAGGCTAAACCACTGTTCCTCATAAGCTCGATTTCCACACCCTTTTCCATCTTGCTCACTCTCCTCTGCACATGTTCTAGCTTGTCATCATCCCTCTTAAACAGCAGAGACAAGAACTGGACACAGGACTCCAGGCAGTCAGACCAAAGCGGAACGCAGTACTGCTGCTACTTCCCTTGATCTAGACACTATGTTTATGTCAATGCAGCCGACAACTGAATTCACTTTCTTTGCTGCTGCATCACACTTAGGACTCGGGTTAAGCTTGTGGTTTACTAAGACCGCTAGATCCTTTTCACACATACTGCTGTCAGGCCAGGTGTCCCTTATATTTGTACATCTGATCATTCCTGCCCAAGATTGTCCCAATTGAAATTCATTTTGTTAGTTCTGACCCAGTTTCACAACCTGTTAAGCTCATATTGAATCCCGATTCCGCCTTTTGAGGACGCCCATTTGGTGTCATCCACAAATGTGTTGAACGTCCATCAATTCCTTCATCCAAATAACTGGTCAGATAGTATAGCAGGGCATCTGTTGCTGAAGAAATAAGGTTGCCTTCAATTTCTATGTAGGAGAGCCAATGCAAGTTAAGTATAAATAGTGTTTGACTTGGATCTTGGAGGCTATGATTCAAATCCTTGCCCAGCAGGAGCGCCAAGTCAGTCTCATGTCTAAGCCTGACCTACCTTGAGAAACTGTGACGCTAAAACAGTGATAACCTCCATGTTCCCTTGAAGTGGGTGGGATACACTCACTTCAGCTGTTGGGGGCTCTATTATTGGTTTTAGTGCCCCAGCTGTTTAAAATGTTTAAAAGTGTTTTTAAATTTTGGTTTTCATTTGCCTTTGTTTTAAATAAAAGGGCATAGGATGTGCCTGGGAAGAGAGGAGCAGGGGAGAGCAAGGGGGACCCACAATCACAGTAGTTCAAGGTAGGAGTTATGGAGTTGGGAGTTGGAACAGGCTGGGTAATGGGGCACAAAGCACAGGTAGTTACTGACTGTGCCATATGCCAGCCCCTCCTCCAACCTGGGGAACTGCAGTTGTCCTATCTGCCAGCCTTCAGGTCTGTGGCTGCTGTTGCTGAATGCCAGAGCAAGACCTCCCTCATCCATGAACCTACCCAGACCCTGGGATCATCCTCTGACTTATCCTATGTGGTGGAAATGTAAAAAGGTGAAAAACCTCTGGGAAATGATATATAATGAGATGGAAAAACTGTTGAAATATACATTCATTAAGAAACCAGAAGCATTTTTACTGGGCATTGTAGGAGATGATATAAACAGAAAGGACTGCAAGCTGTTTTTATATGCAATGACGGCAGCAAGAATATTACTGGCACAAAAATGGAAGCAAGAAGAACTACCGACGATAGAAGATTGGAGGATGAAATTGATGGACTATGCAGAATTAGACAAACTAACAGGAAGAATTCGAAACCAGCGGGACCAGAGATTCACAGAAGATTGATGTAAATTTACGGATTATTTGAAAAGTAATTGTGATGACCAGATTACATTTGTAGGTTTGCAAGAAGTTTTGTGAGGTGAATAATTTGAACTATTGCATAACTGGATAAAAAGGGAGACATTAGTTAAGAGAATTAAAGGCAATATGAATTTAAGAAATGCAGAAGAAATGATATAAATGGGGGATCATCAGAGGTGTTGATGGAAGTCCAAAAGATTGTATAAGATGTGAAATTTTGTTGTATGTATGACAATTAATATGTTTAAAAATGAATAAAAATTATTTTAAAAAGAGAGAGATCATCCTCTGAGGCCCTTCTTTGTGTGCCTCCTACCTGAGAGGTCCGGAGGGTGGCAACTCAAGAATAGGCCTATTCTGCAGTGACTCCCTGCTTGCAGAATCCTCTCCCCAGGGCATTCCTCTTCAACCAGGCCATTGGCTGATTAACATCTTATACTCCTTTTAAATGTGTTTGTGGGACGGGGGAGGGGGGGGTTACTGGTTTTTGTTTTTTATTCTTGTTTTATTATGCATTTTGCGTTTTTATATTGTATTTTATGTCGTGAACCATCTTGAGATCTACGGATGAAGGGCAAATTTAATAAACAATCAAAAGCTGAAACTGTTCAGCATCGCTGGCACTGGTCTGGGACCAGTTGAAGTGTAGACAAGCAACCGCCCTTGCAACCCAGCCTTGCTAATTCTGATACTGAAATCTGGAATTGCAGAATTCCACTGTATTCAGGAGGAACAATGCCTTTGTCCTACACACTGATAGAACTGAGTAAAAACCACCACCACTCACGGTTAGGTATGTGGAAGAGAAATCAAAGGCAGCATTATTTCTAAAGTATTGATCCTCTACTGATCTGGAGTGCTTAGCTCAATGTTTTTAACATTTCTGAAAGCAAGGGACACAGATCCAATAGATACATACTCTTGAGCTGGGATCTAGCACCCTCATTACGAAAATCTACAAAGGGACAATACAGAATTTTCCTGGCATATCGTATTCCTGAATAAAACAATTGACACCAGTATCGTAAAGGTTACATGATTTATATAGGGTTTTAGCTTTGTATGTACAGATTTCTTCAGAAATGAGTGCAGTGTAACCAGTCTGAAAAACTCTCAAAGTAGATTACATGTCGGTAACAGGCTTGGCTATTTTTGCTTCCTCAAGCTCAGCTTCCAGCCAACGGAATGTGCGGTGGCGACGCAGGACTTCAATTGCTTTCTGTTCTATGGGAGTTGGGACAATACCCAAGTCCTCCAAGCCAGGAAGATCAGGGAACTTCATGTCTGTGGTATGGAACTTCAAACAAACAAACAAAGAAGAAATGAGTGAACGGTGAGCCATCTTATAAATCCATCTCTCACACAGCTGCATCTTTACAAATCAAGTATGCAATATTGTTTGGATGGCCAGTATCTTATTTTTTGGGTGGTTCTTTGGATTCCAAAGAGTTCATTAAGAGTTTCACATGAAACAGTCTGAAATAAAAAGTTAACTTCAGCTACAAAATATACAATTAGATTTTCCCTATTTTAACATCTATCTCTTATACCTGGTCAGAGGAAAGAATATTTATTGAGTGTATTACCAAAGGACAGTTTGGATTCTATTTTCCTATCTGTGATTAGACTAGAGTCACAATTGTGACAACTTTTGTGTCTGGACTTAAGCTCCTACAAAGCAGAAGACATACCTAAGGCTCTTTGCAAAGTTTCCACATTTTGCATTTGTCATATGCAACACCCACCCACTCTTATTGTGGGATTGCAAACAATAACTTCTAGGGAATACCTGATCTCCGATGGACCCACTACCAGAAAGATGCATCCTGCTTATTAAGAAAAAAGGAAGGGTAACGGGAGATGAAGCCTTTAGAACTACATAGGTTCCAAAGACTAGAAAACAAGAAAGAAGCAGGAAAGAAAACTGCACTAAAGGGGAGGGGGAAACAGCAGCTCTTTAGGACCCCAGGGATTCCTCTTGTCTGGCGTCCAAACAATTCTCTTGTCAATCACAGCTCTGACATTGCTCATTGGCTAGAACACCAAAAGGTGGGAGCAGCCAGGCAGATTCATCCCACGGTAATTGCTTAGAACGGTCTTTACACATTTGCTTTATAACACTTTCTCTAGAACGTTAAATACTTTTTTGAAGTGAAAGCTCAGAGTCAAGGCTCCTGCTAGCTTTGGATCTGGTACATCTGTAGCCCCTGCATCTACCTCTTGGCAGTCTTGAATGGACTCAACAGTCTGAAGCCGTCTTTCCCAACCTAAAGATCTCCAGATGTTTTGGAGACCAAGCATTCCTGACTGTTTTTCATTATGGCTGGAGTTGTAAACAGAAACATCTGGAGGACATCACGTTTAGGGGGGCTAGTCTGGAAGAAGAGTACCTCTGCTTCCCCGCTCTCTACAAATAAGAAGTTTGCTTCAAGTAAGGCAGATTTAATTCATGGGTAGGCAAACTAGGGGCTGGATCCAGCCCAATCGCCTTCTAAGCATGTTTTTACATGAGTAGAATGTGCCCTTTTATTTAAAATGCATCTCTGGGTTATTTGTGGGGCATAGGAATTCGTTCATATTGCCCCCCCCCAAAAAAATATAGTCTGGCCCCCCCACAAGGTCTGAGGAACAATGGACCGGCCCCCTGCTGAAAAAGTTTGCTGACCACTGATAACTGATACGTTGCAACTCAAAAGCTAAACATTGATTCCATCCCATTAATAAAATAAAAACTCCATATGTATGTAATGTTAAGAATGCATTCAACCCTAAAAATAACACTGAGAAAGAACACACAGAGATAAACTTTTTCTGTATTCCTATATATATAGAGAGTTCTTATATTGATTATCATTCTGATATTTTGTATTAATTGCATTTTGTTCCGTTCTTAGCCACCTTAGGATTCGCAGGTGATAAGCAATAAATGAGATGAAAATGAAGGCAATCTTACCCGATCCACTTTGTCCCTTGTTATCCATGGCTCAAAAGGACTTATCTCAAAAAATCTTGCAAATAAGCTGTAATTCAAAGTGCCACAATAATTAATACCATGGCTGAACATAGGCAAGGATCTAACTGTTCTTCTCTCAAATCAGCTAGTGAAGTTTCACTCGCTTCGAATTGCTCCACCAGACAAAACAGACTACTTTGTATTTATTAATTCTATCAACCAAAGTAACTGTTGAAAGGAAAAGTTAACTGAAGCCACAAGACACACGTGCTGAAGTTGGGAAAGTGCTGAGAGAACTGAGGTGGCACATCAAGTGAGGCTGGGAGAGGACGGGACTGGAGCGACTTATGAGCAGAATTTGACAATTCCCTTAAAGGTAAAGGGACCCCTGACCATTAGGTCCAGTCGTGACCGACTCTGGGATTGTGGTGCTCATCTCGCTTTACTGGCCGAGGGAGCCAGTGTACAGCTTCCAGGTCATGTGGCCAGCATGACTAAGCCACTTCTGGCAAACCAGAGCAGCACACAGAAACGCCATTTACCTTCCCGCTGGAGTGGTACCTATTTATCTACTTGCATTCTGACGTGCTTTTGAACTGCTAGGTTGGCAGGAGCTGGGACAGAGCAACAGGAGCTTACCCCGTCGCGGGGATTTGAACCGCCGACCTTCTGATCGGCAAGTCCTAGGCTCTGTGGTTTAACCCACAGCGCCACCCGTGTCCCTGAAAATGAAATTAAACCTGAAAATGTTGTAATAGTAATTTCTGTTCTGCAAGTCTCACGGAGGGCATCCATCATGTTTGAGATGGTACCAACCTTTGGAGTACATACAGACAGGGCCAATTCCAGACGACTTCACCAGGTGGGATGGCAGATGGGGGATGAAGGATTATGAAGGATATGATTTGGGTCTGCTGCCCTTCCTGAGCTTATTATTAGAGTAGTCCTTGAATCCATGTCTGCTCTTTACTGGATGAGACCTGCCACAAGGCTCCCAATTTCCATTGATGGAAAGGACTTCCTGGACCTGCTAAGTCATCAAGTATCTTGTGGCTACTGCATAACCTAGGTGAGGGCCTCATACCCAGAAAGATCAGACCAAAGAATGAAGGAGGGAAGCCATGGCCAGGGTTCAAGGCACCTTCCCTAGGACGCCAAATGTCCTGTAGGGGCCTCTGGAGAAAGCCCCTTTTTAAAATGATGGGGAGGGGGACTATTTCTTCTCAAAACGCATTACGGTTTCCTCAGTGCGAGAAGTGAGGTTACAGGGAACCAGGCAGAGGGCCTTCTCGGTAGTGGCGCCCGCCCTATGGAACGCCCTCCCATCAGATGTCAAGGAAATAAACAACTATCTGACTTTTAGAAGACATCTGAAGGCAGCCCTGTTTAGGGAAGTTTTTAATGTTTGTTGTTTTATTGTATTTTTAATATCCTGTTGAGAGCCTCCCAGAGTGGCTGGGGAAACCCAGCCAGATGGGCGGGGTATAAATAATTTATTATTATTATTATTATTATTATTATTATTATTAGCCAGTTAAAAGCTTTTCTGAGAGCATTCTTGTTGCCAGTTCAGAGGTCCCAAAATAGAGTGGCTACTGTACATGCTCTTGCTTAGGGCTCTCTTCACCTTGAGTGATGGAAGGCAGGCAGATTCTCCTAGCACATATTTTTAATGCCACCTCCCTAACTCAACATTCAGGCTGCAAAACCTGAGCCCAGACTGATTAAGGCTCAAGCTACACATGACACCAGTTCTCCTCACTCCCAAAAGCAAGCACACAGCAATTGCAATCAAACAGACAGAGATAGTAAATAGAGAAGAGGGATGTCTTAAGTTTTTCTTCTCTGCCAGTCATCTACCTCCCAAAAACATTCTCCATCCCCAAACTACTTTGGGCTTGTGGAGAGAAACAGAGGTAACATCTCTTGCGTTCTGTAATGGTTCTAGGGGTTGCTCGTGCGTAAGCCGGTGCAAACACCTGGCTGGATTGCCTGAGTGAACCTTTTCTGTCCGGACAGCCACTCACCCGTGGCTGTCTCAATCGCTGGCAGAATCCGTCAGTGGGCGTTTCTTAAACTTCTTCCAGCAAAGAAGCTCGTTGACACCTAGTCTCCTCCTACTTTCTCTGCGCGAAAGCCTTCTGCGCAAGGAGGGCGTAGGCAGCGGAGGACCTCTACTCTCCCCGCTGGTCCCCGGCAAGGAGTCATGGGACCGCCTCGCCGCTTCCCCCATCTGCCCCCCTTCTCCACTGGTGCTACGCTGATTCTCTTCCCCAGAAGATGGGCTGCCTCTCCCAATCCCGGGACGCTCTCCGGAATCCCTCTGGATTTTGCTCTCTCCCTCCAGCACTGATTGCAGTTCCCTGACACGTTCCCTCTAAAATCCAGGACTAGTCCCCTGATGAAGAAAGCAGCCTGCACACCTCTTTCAATGGCAGAGATGAACAGATCTGTGTGAGCACACAAGGGAAAAAACCAAACAACCAACACAGGTAGTTGGAGCCTCAGAGGTAACAACTTATTAAACATATTAAGACTTACTGATAGAGAGGACGGGGCATAGGATACGGAAAGAAATTTCTGTGGAGTACTGAATAAGCATACTCTACGAGGTCGTAAAGGAGGTATCTGTTAGGGCTGCAAAGAAACAGACATTAAGTTGTAAATTTGAGAAAGAGGCCTTGGTCTAAAATGGGGTGCTGGTACCACCAGGAAGGACGTGTGACAGCCTTTGTTTTAGCCACAGTGGTCACTGGTAATGAGCAGCTTTCACCATCCCCTCCACCCAAACCTACAGCCAAACCTTAATTATGTAAAAATATAGCCAAAAGTATTGTCACAAAGGCTGCAAGCCACCCCCAATCTCTGCCAAGTGGTAGCAAGGTGGGTTCTAGGTCAGTGTTTCCCAACCTTTGGCCTCCAGCTGTTTTTGGACTACAACTCCCATCATCCCTAGCTAGCAAGACCCAGTGGTCAGGGATGATGGGAATTGTAGTCCCTAAACAGCTGGAGACCAAAGGTTGGGAAACACTGTTCTAGGTGGTCATGTTTCCATAGGGAATCAAGACGCAGCGAAGATGCTGTGTCTTTAAGAAATATGGTTTATTTTACACATACAGTGGTACCTTGGTTCTTGAACTTCTCACAACTGACTAACACAATATTCTTGTAAAATTATGCAGACTTTAAGGGTATAATAAAATTAGGGATTCAGGCATGTGAACAGGGAAAAGAGCATTCTCCCCAAATGCTTACACAACTTACACATAAAAGAAGGTATCTGTAGTGAACACATACCATCGAAATCAGGCTTCCTCAAACTCGACCCTCCAGATGTTTTTGGCCTACAACTCCCATGATCCCTAGCTAGCAGGACCAGTGGTCAGGGATGATGGGAATTGTAGTCTCAAAACATCTGGAGGGCCGAGGTTGAGGAAGCCTGATCTAAATCCACTGAAAGAGTTTTAAAAAAACAACAACAGGGGGCCAGGAAATGCCTGTAGTGATTTAAGGTGGTCTGAGTAAAAATAATAATAGTAACCAACAACCTACCCAGTCAATGCATAAGTTTTTCCTTTTGAATCGGGGTCCTTAATAGCACTAATTATAGCCTTTGCTACATCAACAACCTATGGGATAATATTTAAGAAATATTAGCATATATTTTAAAGTTACCTTTTTTTAAGCAAGGTCAAAAAGGTAATGAAATATATACAAAAGGAAAAGAGGTATGAAATATGTATCATAAAATGTATTTTCCAACAATACCTACATAGATAGGCTGCTTCACAGTTTTCTTGCCCATAGCAATCATAGGCACGCCCCAGAACCAGCGCATGTCTGAATTAAGAGAGATAAATTACTGGAGGATAGAAGTGAGGCTGTTAAGAGGTCAAAGAGCAATAACAACAGTACTGGGAAGTAAAGATCTCAAATGCACCTGAAGGTGACAGGAGAATTGCCTGCACGAATCTCCTGCATCCGCGCCAAGAAAATGTAAACGCTTTAACTGAGGATGCTCAAAACTTTCAGCAAGCTGAAGCTCACTCTTTGGATACAGCTACTAAATCTGGCAATTGAACATTATTGTTTGAAAATGTTATGCTAATGCAGTGGGGTGGCAGGAGAGACTGATCTATGAAGCTGGAAGTCCGAGGTTCAAATCTTGTCTCTGCCATGAACATGAAAGTGGCCTCAGACAAGTCATTCATTCCTAGCTCCATTTCCCATCTCTATGATGGGTATAATCTGTTATAAGGGTCGCTGAGATAGCACTGATCACTTAAAAAGGAGTAAATAAATATAATAATAATAATAATAATAATAATAATAATAATAATAATAATTTATACCCCGCCCATCTGGCTGGGCTTCCCCAGCCACTCTGGGCGGCTTCCAACAAAATATTAAAATACAGTAAATACAGTAATGATTTTTCATATCAAACAGTGTCATCAACGCTATGGAAATTATCTAGGAGGAAAGCACTGTAACTTAATTAACAAGCCAATCCCATGAGCCTATCTGCATCTCCCAACTTTGCATTTCTATCTCTTTCACCACACTCCACTGCCAAACTCCTGGAAGAAGACTAACACTGGAATCCTATACATATCTAGTCAGAAGCAAGTCCTATTGATTTCAGTGGGATTTGCTCCTAGGTAAGCAAATTCAGGATTGCAGCCTCACTGAAAGCCCCCATAAAGAAAAGGTAAAGGTACCCCTGACAGTTAGGTCCAGTCATGGACGACTCTGGGGTTGCGCGCTCATCTCACTCTATAGGCCGAGGGAGCCAGCATTTGTCCACAGACAGCTTCCGGGTCATGTGGCCAGCATGACTAAGCTGCTTCTGGCGAACCAGAGCAGCGCACGGAAACGCCATTTACCTTCCCGCCGGAGTGGTACCTATTTATCTACATGCACTTTGACGTGCTTTCAAACTGCTAGGTGGTAAGAACTGCTAGGTAAAGAAACATAATAAAGCCATCACAAAATTATGGTCATGTTGCTCCAAAACTGCATACTTATAAGGAAACTATCAATAGGAAGCATATGTTCAGTTTATTTACTTACTACAACTACATGCTTCACTCACTGTAATAATCTGCAACTGTTGTTAATATTTGTAATGAAAACGATTGGCATATATTTGTCTAGTACAATATAAAATACAAAAGGGTTAAAAGACACATTTTCTAAAAACACCTTCAATTTCAGAGGTCACCGTGTTCAACACTTTAACAGAGTTTCCCAAACTTGGTTTCCAGCTGTTTTTGGACTACAAGTCCCATCATCCCTAGCTAGCATGAGCAGTTGTCAGGGATGATGGGAACTGTAGTCTGAAAAACAGCTGGAGTCCCAAGACTGGGAAGCACTGTTCTAGAAGATGAATTTGTAATCTTTTGCCAAATTCTGACTGTCTGAAATTCCATTTCACCTGGGCTCAAGGAAATCTAAATTCCATTTCTAGAGTAAATAATGCAAACAATTTGAATACATGGTCCTGCATCTCTCTGTAAATATGACAAAGATGGGGATAAGTGCGGGTGGGGCAGGGAGGAGAGATCTAATAGAGAGGAACTCTGGAATACGATTTCATTTTAAAAAATTAAAAATAAACCAAGCAAACATATTCTGTACCGGCTTGGCATACTTTACACTCACAATGCTAAACTTAAGTCTCAGAAACAGATAGGATTTTCTGGTGGGCTGGAGCGAAATTACCGTATTTTTTGCTCTATAGGACGCACTTTTTCCTCTCCAAAAATTAAGGGGAAATGTTTGTGCGTCCTATGGAGCGAATGCAGGCACCTTGGCTTCAGCGATAGCAACGTGAAGCCTCCGAAGCGCAGAGGGAGCGCTCCCTCCGCGCTCTGGAGGCTACGCGTTGCTTTCGCTGAAGCCTGGAGAGCGAGAGGGGTCTGTGCGCACCGACCCCTCTCGCTCTCCAGGCTCCAGGGATAGCCGCCTGAAGCCCCCGGAGCACAGCGGGAGGTCCCTTTTCCTTTTGCAAGACTCTCCCAGCTTCAGCAGAGAGGGAGAGGGAGAGCTGAGCAGCACCCCTTCAGTGAAGCAGGAGGAGAAAGGGAAGGGGCTCCGTTTCTCCTGCCGCTTCGCTGAAGGGGCGCTGAGCAGAGAGGGGGAGAAATTTTTTTTCTCGTTCTCCCCTCTAAAACAAGGTGGGTCCTATGGTCGGGTGCGTCCTATAAAGTGAAAAATACGGTAGTTCACTTAGACGTGCAAAGCACATGCAAGACAATTAGGATTCTGCTATTTACAGGAAAGCTCATCTGTTGGCCCATGAACACAACACATTTCCCATGGAATAAAAGGTACAGTAGGCTAAAATCCAAACACATTCTTTCCTGGCACCATAACAAGTTGCTAAGATCTGAAGCAAAAGCTCAAGGATGATTGCTGAATAGATTTGAATAAGATCTTAATACAGATTTTCACAATTATTCTACAATTCTAATTAAGTACAAATGCAGTGTGGAGAGATATTCCATCCCTTGCTCTCTGATATTACTTTCTCCCAAGGAAACAAATTTTATGCTGCAAGGAGTGTACTTACTTGCATAATGGTTGAAAAACCTATCCTCTCTCCCGTACATTTCAGAAGGCTTCATAATGATGGCATCTGGAAATTCTTCCCTCACAACCTTCTCTCCAACAGCCTGCCATCAGGTCATTAGAAAGTGATTAATTTCCCATGCAAGTTCAAGACGCACAGTACTACGAAACTATAATAAAATTTAGAGATACCCTTGGGTTTCACATTGCATACACTTGGGCTCTTTGGCACAATTTAATTTAAAAAAAAATCCAGCCTAGGTTTACAAGAATATACAAATCTATATATTAACATATGGCAATGTAACAGTATTTTTTCTTTTCTTTTTTTCATTCTCACACACTTTCTTTTCTTTCATTCTTTCTTCCTCTCGCTCTTTTTATAAATGAAATTCTCTTAGTAAAATATTATTAATAATAATAATAAAATGTTCCAGTCTATCGGACAGAACACATATTTAGCACCATGAAATATGTAACCTAGGAAATACAAGAATTAACAGCAAGCAGAATGAAGTCCATGCAGACAGCAGGGTAACTACAATGAATGTAAAGACACAAAATCCATCAAAGGGCTTATCTACACTTCTGTTTGGGGATGCGGGTGGCGCTGTGGTCTAAACCACTGAGCCTAGGACTTGCCGATCAGAAGGTCGGCGGTTCGAATCCCCACGACGGGGTGAGCTCCCGTTACTCGGTCCCTGCTCCTGCTAACCTAGCAGTTCGAAAGCACATCAAAGTGCAAGTAGATAAATAGATACCGCTCCAGCAGGAAGGTAAATGGCGTTTCCGTGCGCTGCTCTGGTTCGCCAGAAGCGGCTTAGTCATGCTGGCCACATGACCCGGAAGCTGTACACCGGCTCCCTCGGCCAATAAAGCGAGATGAGTGCCGCAACCCCAGAGTCGGCCATGACTGGACCTAATGGTCAGGGGTCCCTTTACCTTTTACACTTCCGTTTGCTCCAGCACTTTCCCCTAGGAAAACCCAGTTTAGGACTGAACTGGAGCAAACAGCAATCAGGTTTTCAATGGATTGCCGTTTGCTCTGATTTATCGCTAAAGAGCAGTTTTTTCTAGGGGAAAGCGGAAGGACACAGGCAAAACTGCTCAGACCAGTACCTAGAAAGCACTGCTCATATCTTTGCCTTCTAGGCCCAGGACAAGCAGGATTGTGAATGAGCCCATAGACCGTGTCTTTCCAAAATTCCTCTTTGCAACCAGTAAGGTAAAGGTAAAGGGACCCCTAACCATTAGGTCCAGTCGCGGACAACTCTGGGGTTGCGGCGCTCATCTCGCTTTATTGGCCTAGGGAGCCGGTATACAGCTTCCAGCTCATGTGGCCAGCATGACTAAGCCGCTTCTGGCGAACCAGAGCAGAGCACGGAAACGCCGTTTACCTTCCCGCCTGAGTGGTACCTATTTATCTACATGCACTTTTGACGTACTTTCGAACTGCTAGGTTGGCAGGAGCAGGGACCAAACAACGGGAGCTCACCCCATTGCAGGGATTCGAACTGCCGACCTTCTGATCGGCAAGTCTGATCGGCAAGTCCACCCGCGTCCCTTGCAACCAGTAAGAAACACTGAGTGACTCCGATTACTTAAATTTGTGTACACTTGCAACCAGTAAGTGTACACAAATTTAAGTAATTGGAGTCACTCAGTGTTTCAAAAAAAATATTTTTTTGAAATATTTTTCAAAAGCAGCCTTATGGCATCTAGGAAATTTGTATGAAAGGTGCAGACATACACAATCACACACACACAGACACACACACATAACTACAGATGACACTGTAATTAATCATAGCAGAAAGTGAACAGATTAGTGTTAGCCACACATAAGAAAGGACAAAAGACACTCAAATCAATAGTTAACTTTCCCTACAAATTTAAACAAGAGTTTTAAAACTGTTCAAACACTACGCAAGCCTTATTTTGCTCTAGAAGAGTTTTTGGATTAGGAAATTCACTGAGTACCCTAAATCTATGTAATGACTACTTATGTGGAATATAGCGTCATATCTGAGCAACCAGAAAATCTCACAATAATCCTTGAAGAGTTTCTCACCCCAGAGGTTAAGAAGTCTCCCCTCAAGTCTTTTTGTCACTCTCTTCCTTGTCAAATCTGAAACAGCAACTACTGTATTGAGGGACCAGCAGAATTTAAATATACCTAATTCCAATCAAATTTTGGCTTCCTGTTGGGACCATTATGGGGTTTTTTGCACAGAATATGGAATTGCAAAACACCAACATCTAAAAACAAACACAAACTAATGAAAAACTTACTTTATTTCTAAGGTATTTTGAAGGACTTTTCATGTCTGCATTCAGATGAGAAATGTGAACCAAAGTTTCTATCCCAGCTTCCTTTGAGAGCTGAGCAATTTCCCTGGGAATATTAACAAAGACGTCTTCATACTTAAAGTTTCTGGAATAAAGCATAAAGAACAGAATAAAAACCAAGCTCCTTCCAAAATTTAGCAGGTCGTATCACAGTCTTGATATCCCTCGTATTTACGGGAACGCCTCTCCTGGTATGCCCTGCAGAGGACCTTAAGGTCCACGAATAACCATAGTTTAGAGGTCCCGGGCCCTAAGGAAGTCAGACTATCCTCCACCAGGGCCAGGGCCTTTTCAGTGATGGCTCCAACCTGGTGGAATGCTCTGTCCCATGAGACTAGGGCCCTTCAGGATTTAACCTCCTTCTGTCAGGCCTGTAAGACAGAGCTATTCCGCCTGGCCTTTAATTTGAATTCAGCCTGATCTTTTATTTCCCTTCTCTTCCCTCCCCCTCCCCTTTTATGAAGATTACCCGTTCTGAGACCCCACAGCTAATTCTCCCTTGGCCTCCTCGCTGGCCCAAGTAGGACTAATTCAGCCAGCTAGCCCTGGTGATTATCTAATGCTTATTAGATGGATTTCCCCTAAACTGATTTCTGAAATTTGAATTTTATTGTTATTCATGTTTTTATACTGTATTTTATACTGCTGTTACAATTAAGTGTTTTAAATTTGTTGTTAGCCGCCCTGAGCCCGGTTTTTGAACCGGGAAGGGCCGGGTATAAATAAAAAAATATTTATTTATTGATGGTGAAGCAGAGTGTCTGAGAGTGCAATCCTAAAGGAGTACAAAACCCCACAACTTACCGGGTAGCCTAAGGTAACTCAGTCTCTTTCAGCAACAACCATGTGTGATTTGTGCAGCTCTGATTTTGTTTGCTTTGCTCATTATGGCGTGTGCCACTGCCATCTTGTGACCACGACAAACCTCAGCTTTCTTCTCAAAGCCAGTAGCTGGTCTTTATCTGCACAATTGGGGGATTACTTGAGGGTTATCCTCGCTGCAAGATCACATTCACCTGGTGCTATACCAGCTGCACTGGCTCCCGGTGGGGTACAGGATCAGGTTTAAGGTGCTGGTTTTAACCTTTAAAGCCCTATACGGCCTAAGACCCTCGTACCTACAGGACTGCCTCTCCTGGTATGTCCCACGGAGGAACTTACAGTCTTCAAACAAAAACATCCTGGAGGTCCCAGGCCACAGAGAGGTTAGGCTGGCCTCAACCAGAGCCAGGGCTTTTTCGGCTGTGGCTCTGATCTGGTGGAACGCTCTGTTACAAGAGACTAGGGCCCTGCAGGACTTGACATCTTTCCGCAGGGCCTGCAAGACAGAGCTGTTCCACCAAGCCTTTGGCCAGGGCACAGCCTGACTCCCTCCTTTGGCAATCTTCACAGAACTTTAACCTAATGGTTGCCATCAATTTGATTTGAATTAATTTTATAATGAAATGATTTTAGAATGTTGTACTATTTTATTGTTGTTAGCCGCCCTGAGCCCGGCTTCGGCTCGGGAGGGCGGGATATAAATAAAATTATTATTATTATTATTATTACTACTACTACTACTACTATTATTATTATTATTATTATTATTATTATTATCTGACTGCAACTCAGCAGCACAGGGCCAAACCAGAAAATCAGCTGTTACCCTTTCTTACCAAGGGCAGCCAAAAATTGTGAGCCGTTGAAAAATGAAGACAAGATATACTGAAAAGGCCTTCCAGGGCTGTTGCAAACAGCACAGAGGTAATGGGCATGAGATGCTTTGAACAGACAGAACCCAGTCCCTCAACATGGCAGAAACATACGCCCCTGAAGCTCTGAAGTTGAGAGAGTACTAAAGAATTGAGTCCTAAAAAGCAACAGCAAATAGAAAACCACCCGCCCCTCCTTCACTTTCCACCATGCTGGCACAGGTCTGGTAGGCCACGGGATACACAGGTTTATTTGTAATAATAATATTATAATAATTTATTATTTATACTCCACCCGTCCAGCTGGGTTTCCCCAGCCACGCTGGGTGGCTTCCAACAGAATATTAAACAGAATAAAACTTCAAACATTAAAAACTTCCCTAAAAACACCCTTCAGATATCTTCTAAAAGTCAGTTGTTTATTTCCTTGACATCTGATGGGAGGGCGTTCCACAAGGCGGGTGCCACCACCAAGAAGGCCCTCTGCCTCTACTTCTGGTCCTCTCCCCTCTGTCCTTTTGGCTGATTCCTAGATCTGGTTTACAGATTTCCACAGATACAGTGGTACCTCGGGTTACATACGCTTGAAGTTACACACTCCACTAAGCCAGAAATAGTGCTTCAGGTTAAGAACTTTGCTTCAGGCTAAGAACAGAAATCGGGCTCTGGCGGCTCGGCGGCAGCAGGAGGCCCCATTAGCTAAAGTAGTGCTTCAGGTTAAGAACAGTTTCAGGTTAAGAACGGACCTCTGGAACGAATTAAGTACTTAACCCGAGGTACCACTGTACAGCAGTTTCTTTCATGCGCAAAAGATGAAGGAATCTGAGCAGACAAGAAGATATGAGAACTGTACATGCTTACGGTATATGGGGTTGTAATAATAATAATAATAATAAATTTTATTTATATCCCGCCCTCCCCAGCCAAAGCCGGGCTCAGGGCGGCTAACAACAATAATTGTAATTGCCTAATGCTGTCAATTTCTGTGTCTGAGAGAGGAAAGGGGCAGCTAAAGTCTTTTAAGTTTTGCCTCAAGAAGTACATCACTCATTTTAGACTTCATAAGTGTGTTAGTTTTCCATTCAAAAACTTCTGTGCCAGGGGAATAAACTTTCCTCGTGCTTCCCCCCTGGGTCTTCATCTCGCTAGGTTGCATCCACAAAGAACATGTAAGGCATAAGAAACAGGTCTTTTCTTTGGAAAAAAATCAGATTGGACCCTAAAACCTCATGCAGTTTTAGTTTTCTCTTTCTAGAAGAAAAAATTATGATACAGTGGTACCTCTGGTTGCGAACGGGATCCGTTCCGGAGGCCCGTTCACAACATGAAAAGAGCACAACCCGCAGCGGCGCGTCTGCGCACGCGCGGGTTGCGATTCGCCACTTCTGCGCATGCACGTGGCGTCATTTTGCGCTTCTGCGCATGCGCAAGCGGCGAAACCCGGAAGTAACCCTTTCCGGTACTTCCGGGTCGCCACAGGGCATAACCTGAAAGAACATAACATGAAGCAGACGTAACATGAGGTATGACTGTAACTATCTTCAGTCTATGTGACCTCAATCTATCCAAGAGAGCCAAAGAAGAAAGTTACCTCGTTTCCCACTCTTTGCCAACAAGATTGATGACTACATTGCTGTGCTCAAGAGCTCTTCGGGTAGAATCTTTGTCACGCGGATCCCATTCCTGATAGCCACAGCACAAATCAAGAGAGAAATGAAATAAAAGTACAAAAAACCTTTCAGGAAGATGTTATTTATGGCCCGTACCAAACTTTCAACTATTTAGCAAGTGATGCTAGCCAATCATGAACCAGGCTGGATTATTACAAAGAGCATACCATGAACAGGAGCTGTCCCAGGTCACCCATGGGTCGAAGGTACATGACGTCATAAGGCTCACAGCGATATGGGACGATGACTTGGGAGCCGATACGCCCTAAAATTAGAAAGGGGTTTTAAAAGGAGAACTAGGGCATGATATTAATTGAGGATGTTCTATTTTAAGCACTCGGAAAACATCAATGCTTGGCTATATAACTCTACCTGCTGTAATCAATACAATAACTTTAATTCTTTAATGGTGTTTTCAAAGGGGCTTCATGGAAGCCACAATCCTAACACTACATAACCTACAGCAGGGGTCAGCAAACTTTTTCAGCAGGGGGCCGGTCCAATGTCCCTCAGACCTTGTGGGGGGCCAGACTATATTTTGAAAAAAAATATGAACGAATTCCTGTGCTTCACAAATAACCCAGAGATGCATTTTAAATAAAAGGACACATTCTACTCATGTAAAAACATGCTGATTCCCGGACCGTCCGTGGGCCGGATTTGGAATGCAATTGGGCCAGATCCGGCCCCGGGCATTAGTTTGCCTACCCATGCCCTACAGACATTTTAATTTTGGTTTCCCAGCTTCCCACAACACAGCAAGCTACTCTGGAAACTGGGGGAAATTTCAAAAGGGAACAGGGGAAAGGAGCAGCTGGGTCTACTTGATTGATTGACCTACTTAAAATGTTTTAAAAAGTCTGTTACTCCCCTGCTGGGAGTAACTCAAGTTCTTGAACACACTTAAAAGATGTCAGTTGCAAAACCAACATGGTTTTATTGGTTTTGGGGTGGGTGTAAATTAATAAATGGTAGGATTTTGATTATTTGATTATTATTAATGCAGAGGCATTAACATGACAAAAGGTGTTGATGGCCCATTTTAGAGGAACCTTGGGCCTGCAGGGACAGATGGGTGTGTGTGAGAGAAAGGTAACAAGAGAAGTGTATTTAGCAAGGTGTGCAGTGAAGAAGATGGGGTAACAGAGACAGAGACCCATCTTGGGCAGGCTGGAAGAGATGCCTTGGACTCCAGAGCTGCCCTGCTGTGGAGAACAATACCGTGCTGGAAGATCTGTACTCCCTCTAGACTGAATGTGTAAATATGTGAATAAATCGTATTTTGGCAGAGATTGAAGGTGGCATTCAACCTTTGTAAGGGGGGTGGAACCTTTAAGAGGTGGACTCAGAGAAGAAAATCCTCCCTTAGTACAGGTGATAAAAGGGTTGAAAACTACCATCTTGAACCATCATGGCTCCTTGGGGATTTAGCCTGTTTCCCATCCCTATCTGCCACCAGCATCTTGCCCGAAGGTCATTCATTTTTCATCGTACTTGAAATAGGTAACAGAAAGAAAAAATAAGTTCGGTATTTAGGCACACAGTAACTATTGGGACATTTAGTGAACAGCAAGGCATGCAATGAGCTACAATGGGTCAAGACCTTCACATTTCAAATATGTGTAAGCAGCACAAGATGTTGAGTCCCAGGTCCCAGGGTGAAGCAACAGTAGGAGGAATTGTAGACCTGCAGAGCTGGAAGGGACCCAAAGGGTCATCCAGCCCAAACCCCTAAGCTTTGTGAACTTACACATTGGTTTACATCTTGCAAAAGACACTATATCAGATTCATTTTCCTGTTAAATATCCAGACATCTCAAATTTAGTTTTGGAGAAAATTACCCAGGCGATTGACGACATATCGTCCCAGGAAGCCTGTAGCCCCAAAGACAGTAGCCGCAATGCCACTGACAGAGGAGCGCCCACTCCTTCCATGAGGAATCACCAAGTGATGAACTTGACGGTCTTGCTGGACAACAGGAAATGCAGCTGGCGAAGCACCATAGCCTAAAATACAAGAAAATGGAAGCGATACGTGAATAATAATAATAATAATAATTTATTATTTATACCCCGCCCATCTGGCTGGGTTTCCCCAGCCACTCTGGGCGGCTTCCAACAAAACGCTAAAATACAATAACCTATTAAACATTAAAAGCTTCCCTAAACAGGGCGGCCTTCAGATGTCTTCTAAAAGTTTGGTAGTTATTTTTCTCTTTGACATCTGATGGGAGGGCGTTCCACAGGGCAGGTGCCACTACTGAGAAGGCCCTCCGCCTGGTTCTCTGCAACTTGGCTTCTTCCAGCAAGGGAACTGCCAGAAGGCCCTCGGCGCTGGACCTCAGTGTCCGGGCAGAACGATGGTGGTGGAGACTCTCCTTCAGGTATACTGGACCGAGGCCGTTTAGGGCTTTAAAGGTCAGTACCAACACTTTGAATTGTGCTCGGAAACGTACTGGGAGCCAATGTAGGTCTTTCAAGACCGGTGTTATATGGTCTCGGCGGCCGCTCCCAGTCACCAGTTTAGTTGCTGCATTCTGGATTAGTTGTAGTTTCCGGGTCACCTTCAAAGGTAGCCCAACATAGAGCGCATTGCAGTAGTCCAAGCGGGAGATAACCAGAGCATGCACCACTGGCAAGACAGTCTGAGGGCAGGTAGGGTCTCAGCCTGCATACCAGATGAAGCTGATAAACAGCTGCCCTGGACACAGAATTCACCTGCGCCTCCATGGGCAGCTGTGAGTCCAAAATGACTCCCAGGCTGCACACCTGGTCCTTCAGGGGCACAGTTACCCCATTCAGGACCAGGGAGTCCTCCACACCTGCCCGCCCCCTCCTCAAAAACATGCGGGTGGCACTGTGGGTTAAACCACAGAGCCTAGGGCTTGCCGATCAGAAGGTCGGCGGTTCAAATCCCCGCAACGGGGTGAGCTCCCATTGCTCGGTCTCTGCTCCTGCCAACCTAGCAGTTCAAAAGCATGAAGTGCAAGTAGATAAATAGGTACCGCTCCAGCGGGAAGGTAAACAGCGTTTCCGTGCGCTGCTCTGGTTCGCCAGAAGCGGCTTCGTCATGCTGGCCACATGACCTGGAAGCTGTACGCCGGCTCCCTTGGCCAGTAAAGCGAGATGAGCGCCGCAACCCCAGAGTCAGTCACGACTGGACCTAATGGTCAGGGATCCCCTTTACCTTTACCTTACCTTCAGTAGCTTAGGGCCTCATCAAACCAAAACCCGGCCCTGCCTCTGAGACTGTCCAACTGCCCTACCAGACACCGTTGGGGGATTCTGGGAGGTTTTATTCGGATGAATAAAGCCGATAAACAAGGGAAAGTTGGGGAGGGAGGTATGTGTACATGTACAGTGGTACCTCGGGTTAAGTACTTAATTCGTTCCAGAGGTTTGTTCTTAACCTGAAACTGTTCTTAACCTGAAGCACCACTTTAGCTAATGGGGCCTCCTGCTGCTGCCGCGCAGCCAGAGCCCGATTTCTGTTCTCATCCTGAAGCAAAGTTCTTAACCCGAGGTACTATTTCTGGGTTAGCAGAGTCTGTAACCTGAAGCGTCTGTAACCTGAGGTACCACTGTAAATAAAAAGAAGGCTTTCGGGATTTTGCCACAGAGCCTTTCCTTAGAAGCGTTCCGCTGCCTCTCTTTTTTTTTTTAAATGATATTTATTAAAATTTCAAAAGATTACATTAATAGGAAAATTAACAATAAAAAGGAAAAATACAAAATACAAAAAAGAAAAAAACAGTTAAAAACAATTCCATCTTTTCATCACTTCTCTTACATTTACTTATTTCCGGGACCTCCTCATACCTCCCTCTTTTGTATTCCAATTCGATTTGTTAGTCCAGCAACTCCTTTCCCTCCTTTTTAATCCTAATCTTCAATCTTAATATAACATTAAATTTTTACGTATTAGAAACCAATTTTTCCATATTCTTTTATACCATTACAGCTAGAAAACCACTTAACTTCAATTCTAACATTCATTAATTTTACAGTATTTCTGTAAAATCCTGCTGCCTCTCGCCTAGCAGAGGGAAGGCGCCTGCCTCAGACTCCAGTGGCAGGGAGTTCCGAAGGGCAGGCGGAAAGCGGAGGCGCGTCGCCCAGGGGGACCTCGCAGGCTCACCGGTCCCTGGAGCGGAGGAAGCGCCGCCGTGACCTTCCCGAAGGGCGGCCCCTCGGCGGAGAGGAGACCCCGCGCTCTCCCCCCTCCCCCCCCCGGCTACGAAGAGGGAGCGGAGGGAGGGAGGGACCCCCATTCGCCTCCCCCGCCGCCGCCGTCGCCTCTTACCCGCCCTCGGAGGAGTCAGGAGGGCCCTGCAGGGGAGCCGGGAGACCCGAGCGGAAGCCGCCATCTTGCCCCCGTCGCCTCGCCCCGCCCCGCGACGGGTGCCGCGCGAGGCCAATCGAGGAGCGATCGGAGGGAAACGGCCTCTCCGAAAGCGCGTCGGGCGGGGACGACGGAGCGCGCAGGAATTGATCTGCGGGTTCTCGACAGGGCGGGCGGGCGAATCTGTTTTCGGTTTTGTTTTGTTTTTTAATAACAAAAAACGACGGAATTGGAGTTAGTTATTTTATATGAGGCACAGGTATCAAAGGAGGGCCAGCATCTTGTTCTATTTTGTTTTATTTTTATATTATTATTATTATGCATTTTTATCATTAAGGTAACTGATGCACATGAATAATAATAATAATAATAATAATTTATTATTTATGGGTTGGGTTTCCCCAGTAGTATTTCTGAAAATAAAAAATACAGAATACAGGACTATAAGGTGTTTCCTAACATTTTAATTTGAATCCAGTTTCAGAAGGGGGGGGGGGAATCAAATACTCTCTCTCCATCAGTGTAAAGGACTTTCTAAATTAGTTACTTTCTACAAAAATGACTAAACCTAAAATTACCCAAAATCAAAGGGAAGGCCTTAAGACGTGAGCATAGCAGAAGATGAAATAAAATAAACAATTGCTGATCCGTCGCCAGGTGAAAATGATAGGTGAATTTTATAAATAAATAAAAACCCCTATATTAATATTTTGGTTCCAAATTTAGAACTACTTTTTTAATAATTACTGGAAGATGCCTGGTGGAAATCTAGAATAATATTACTTTTGAAATCAGGTAAATATCCCAGTTGTAATGGATTGTAATTAATCAAGATGTGGAAATAGGTTTTTAAAGTTTGACAGGTAGACTAAGTCATATAGCGCCTAAGGTTATTAATTTGAATAATTAAATCAAGGCAGATAGCTGACTCTATAACAGGAGTATTAAATATAATTAATCACTGCAGCACTCCTACAGTGGCCCTTTCTGTTCAAGCAACCAAAGCTTTTAATAAAGTTAATTGAGATTTTCTTAAAAGCTTAATAAAATTTCAGAAATTTGGCCCCCCAAAAATATAGGAATCATTAATCAACTTTAAAGCAACAATTTGGCTCATCTTCATATCAATGACAGGGATTGTAATATTTTTTTCAAATTGCAATGGTATTAAACAAAGCCTTATCTCCACTTTTATTTGCTTTTTATCTAGAACCTACTGCTGAACTATAAGAAATGACCCAGAAGTAGAGAATATCCAAATAAATCGCACACAACCCTGTATTTGAGTATTTGCTTATTCTTTTATTATTAACAAATCATGAACAATCAACAAAGTAATATATATCTTTGGTTTCGGATTTTGGCAGACAGTCGGGTCTTCAAATAAACTTAAAAGATATCAGAAACACTACGTTTTGACAGAAACGGTTGTTTTCTTGGAAAAGAAAACAACTTATGCAAGAAATTACATATATATCAACACATTACAGTCATACCTCGGGTTAAATATGCTTCGAGTTGAGTACGTTCGAGTTGCGCTCCTCAGCAACCTGGAAGTAACGGAACGCGTTACTTCCGGGTTTCGCCGCTTGCGCATGCGCAGACGCTCAAAATGACGTCACACGCATGTGCAGAAGCAGCGAAAAGTGACACGCGTGTGCGCAGACGTGCCATTGCTAGTTACATTTACCTCTAGATGCGAACGGGGCTCCAGAACGGATCCCGTTCGTATCTAGAGGTACCACTGTACAAGTCAATAAAATATTTGGTAGAGATTCTCCCTAAAAAAAACTTGTAATGCTAGAAAAGACATGTGAGGGGATGTTTGGTCCAGCCAGTGGAAAACTTCCTGTTCCTCCTGGCTGGAGCATCCTTCCTTTTGCATGTGATAGAAGGTGGGCGTGACCTAACCTTTCCAGGTAACAAAAGGATGAGTCACGCAGCACCCTTCCCTCTTTTTGACTTCCTTCTTCGTTTGACCAGCTTTTAGCTAGGACTGCTCTGCTAGCTCTCAGCTAGTAGAAGCACTGGGATTATTCTCCCATACGGGGTAGATCCACATGTACATATTTGTAACTACAGTGATGCCCCGCAAGACGAATGCCTCGCAAGACGAAAAACTCGCTAGACGAAAGGGTTTTGCGTTTTTTGAGTCGTTCCGCAAGACGAATTTCCCTATGGGCTTGCTTCGCAAGACGAAACATCTTGCGAGTTCTTGCGAGTTTGTTTCCTTTTTCTTAAAGCCGCTAAGCCGTTAATAGCCACTAAGCTGTTAATAGCCGCTAAGCCGCTAATAGCCGCTAAGCCGCTAATAGCCGTGCTTCGCAAGACGAAAAAACCGCAAGACGAAGAGACTTGCAGAACGGATTAATTTCGTCTTGCGAGGCACCACTGTAGGTCTGCCTTCAGGAATACAACTGTGAACTGATGTGAGTAAACTAATTTTATCATCTTTAAATAAGATTGGGGCGTCTTTATTCTTTTTAAGAGGGATTCAAGGGAATTTACCAAGAGCGTACAATTCAATCTGAGACAGACTGAATTGTATAATAGTGAGAGGCTCACACGAGCCTGCAACCAGCTATCTGCTGTGCATGTAAGAAAGGGGAATGTAACTCTGCTGCGTAAAGGAACTTGCTAGCGCAAGTTAGGAAGGATAATAATAAACAAGATATCCTCTCTTGCCACCCTGAACATTCCCACATATTTTAGGCGCAGAGGGCTTCTCTTTTCCACAAAGGAATGATTAAAGGAGCCTTTAATTTCAGGTCTCATGCCAGTCTTGGGCTAGCCTGGCCCCCTCCTTGCAGTGTTGACTGTTGCCATGGAAAAGCCAGTTTCTCCTGGTGCTTTGTGATGTCAGTCTGCATTCTGGCAAGTGGAGGGTAAGAGAGGAGACCAGAGCGTGGGGAGCTCTCAAAGAATATCCTGGAAGTTTTGGGCAAAATTTCTGCTTTTTTGGTGGGTGGGAATTCTTTTGGATGCTCGCGTTGATGTGATAGAGGTAGGCAAGGACCCTTGGTTCTGCAGGGAGCACATTATGGGGAATTTAAAGGTGTGGAACGGGGTGGTGATAAGCGATATCTGCTGAAATTCCTTTTTCTCCATGACTTCTGAAGACATGTTCTCTTTTCCACTTGGTGACCCTACTGAAGAGAGCTCTTATTTGACCAGGGGGCACCCAGAGAAAAAGAATGAACTCACGAATTCTTACCTGCTGGGTTGTACTTTTCTGTTCATCCACTCCAAAGATCGATCCAAATGGCCTCGCTGCTGTTTCGTCTGTTGTGTAGTAGGCGTTAACGATCAGTCAATTTCCCTTCTAATGGGGCCCACCTGATTAATGAGAAGTGAATGAAAAATAGAATATTTGCATTTCTTCCAGGTTCAACATTAAGAGAGTAAAGGGAAAGTTCCTGTTGCTCTCGCTCTTTGCCCCATTTCTGAGGTCACATGGGGAAATTTCTCAGGTGCGCCTTTGTGTCAACCTAGCTCACGGATCTTAAATATTGAGCAGCTGTTATTATAAACAGTTTAATAGGGCAATATGCTAGGCAGTCACACCAAAGGCACAAAGGAAAGCCATTTCCTCTTTCCCGGGCTAAACATACCCAGCTCCTTCAACCATTCTTCAAAAGGTGGATCTTGAATATTGAGCAGCTCCTTCAACCATTCCTCATAAGGTTTGGTTTCCACATCCTTGATCATCTTGGTCACCCTCCTCTGCACATCTTCCAACTTGTCAATATCCTTCTTAAAATGGTGGCACCCATAACTGATCACAGTACTCCAAGTGTTCTGTAAATTTCTTTAACAAGTTAAAAATAAATAAACATTAGCTTTCGGGCATGAATGTGAATTCTGCATAGCAGATTGGGGGGCACAGGAAGAGGAGAGAGAAATTTTGCTGTGTAACTCTCAAGGATAATACACAGATCAACTTTATTAATAACTCTGTTCATCAAAATATCTGTATTTTATGTCAGAAAAATTCTTCGGCAAGTGAGATGGCTGAGATGCAGAGGAAATACAGAGTGACGTAATTCTAGAAAATCTCTGCTGTATCACATTCTCATTTTGCTCAATTAGTGGCACTCAGAATTGCAAAGGACAATTCCATTAGAGTAAATGGGAGTTGCAGAAGAGCATTCTGGTACTTACCGTATTTTTCGCACCATAGGACGCACCGGACAATAGGACGCACTTTGTTTTAGAGAGGGGAGAACACGGAAAAAAATCTCCCCCTCTCTGCCCAGCGCCCCTTCAGCGAAGCGGCAGGAGGCGCTGTGCAGAGAGGGGAAGAACTTTCCCCCTCTTGTTTTCCCGCTCTAAAACAAGGTGCCGTTTAAGGTGCGTTCAGGCGGCTACCTCGGAAGCCTGGAGAGCGAGAGGGGTCGGTGTGCACTGACCCCTCTCGCTCTCCAGGCTCAGGTCCTTTCGACCTGCTCTTTGGGGCTGGCGGGGAAGCCCACCACCAGCCCCAAAGAGCAGGTCAGGAGCAGCGGAAAGGCGCAGCGGAGAGGCTCCTGCCATAGCCGCGCGTCACCTCTCCAGCCGGGAGAGGGTCGCGGGGCTATGGCGTCTTCGCTCCATAGCACGCACACACATTTCCTCTTCATTTTTGAAGGGGGAAAAGTGCGTCCTATAGAGCAAAAAATACGGTAATTTCATTTCAACGGGTTTGGAAAAGGATAATTCTCCAATGGATTACGCTCAAGGATATTTGCTGTACTGGATTTGATGTTAATGCCCTACAACTTAGTGGAGAGCTGTCAACAGCAATTTATTTTGTTCCTCTCTCATAGATTCATTTATGTATATATATATATGGCAACTTATGGAAGCCATTCCTGGAAGTTGAGAGTGTCAGCAGCTTTCCAGAGACGTCCCTTGGGCCTACAAATCATATGAAAAAGAATGGTGGGTTTTTAGAAAAGGAAGAAAAAGGACAGAAATGTTACCAAAGTATAAGAGACTGAAAAATAATATTGGCATTCGTGAAGATGGTTGATAACTTTGTTGTATTTTTCTGCAGCTATTCCTAATTAGTTCATTTTCTGCTGGGGTTTTTGGTAGCTAATTTTTCTAAAGTTACTGGGGTATTGCGATTCATTGTTAGAGTGCTTTGATAAGTTAATAATGAGTTTTGTAGTTTCCTTGAATTATTTGCATTGCTATTTATGATATTGTTCTGCTTTGGTTTTGCTGTCTCCTTTAGGCTTTCTTCGGACTGGAAAAGTGGAATGTAAATATAGATCTTTAAAAGAATCTGCTTCAGATAGTGATTGTAATACTGTTTGTTTAACACTTTTTATTATCCTCCAGAAGCTAAGTGAAATATAAGAGTCGCAAAGTGATTTCATGCTCTTTATTCAGCTCATAGTGGTGAGGAGGAATGAATGAAAGTCCCCTCAAAGTATCTGCTTTATATACATTATTTACACAATGGGCTGCACATGATTGGCTAATTCCGGAATTCTACTGTAAGCCAATCAGGTTGTGGATTCACTTCTATCTGGAGCATGATTGGGTGGTTCCTGCCAACCAATCATACTGCTGCATTGTTCTAGGACCAATCAGACTGCTGCATTCTGAAGCCAGCAGAGCCAATACAGCACTCTAGCTCAGTGGGTAGAGCATTAGACTCTTAAACTCAGGGTTCGAGCCCCATGTTCGGCAGAAGGTTGGACTAGATGACCCTTGTGGTCCCTTCCAACTCTCTCCCTCCCCTCCCTCTCTCCCTCCTCGTAAACAACATGAGACTCTGCCCTTATATCATATTCCGAGAGGACAATAAATGGGACATATTTTAGGGTGGTATATTGAACCACGAGACTGTTTTGTCCACGAGACTGTAATGAATCCACTTTGTGGACTTTTGTAGATATGTAACTTTGAAAACTCTGTGTTTCCTACCTCCAGTAATAGATGATAGGGATTTATTTATTTTTTTAAGGGAGAATGTTGTGTCTTGCCAGGGAGCCTCAGAATTTTAAGTTAACGCTTTGTTTTTTTTAGGGTTTACATAATTTTAAAGGGATTGAATGTTGTGGTTTTGAAATCCAGAATTTTGCTTCTGCTTTTACAGAGTTTTATTTGAGTCTGTGTTTGTTTTTATTGACATTAACCTGTGTTGATTTTTTACAAATACATAATTCCCTTCTGATTTGTAAAAGGTCTGGTGACTAGATTCTGATTTGTAAAAGGTCTGGTGACTTATTCAACATCTTTATCAACGACTTGGATGATGGACTCAAGGGCATCCTGATCAAATTTGCAGATGACACCAAACTGGGAGGGGTGGCTAACACCCCAGAGGACAGGATCACACTTCAAAACGACCTTGACAGATTAGAGAACTGGGCCAAAACAAACAAGATGAATTTTAACAGGGAGAAATGTAAAGTATTGCACTTGGGCAAAAAAATGAGAGGCACAAATACAAGATGGGGACACCTGGCTTGAGAGCAGTACATGTGAAAAGGATCTAGGAGTCATGGTTGACCACAAACTTGACATGAGCCAACAGTGTGACGCGGCAGCTAAAAAGCCAATGCAATTCTGGGCTGCATCAATAGGAGTATAGTATCTAGATCAAGGGAAGTAATAGTGCCACTGTATTCTGCTCTGGTCAGACCTCACCTGGAGTACTGTGTCCAGTTCTGGGCACCACAGTTCAAGAAGGACACTGACAAACTGGAACGTGTCCAGAGGAGGGCAACCAAAATGGTCAAAGGCCTGGAAACGATGCCTTATGAGGAACGGCTAAGGGAGCTGGGCATGTTTAGCCTGGAGAAGAGGAGGTTAAGGGGTGATATGATAGCCATGTTCAAATATATAAAAGGGTTAGATGTCACATAGAGGAGGGAGAAAGGTTGTTTTCTGCTGCTCCAGAGAAGCAGACACGGAGCAATGGATCCAAACTACAAGAAAGAAGATTCCACCTAAACATTAGGAAGAACTTCCTGACAGTAAGAGCTGTTCGACAGTGGAATTTGCTGCCAAGGAGTGTGGTGGAGTCTCCTTCTTTGGAGGTCTTTAAGCAGAGGCTTGACAACCATATGTCAGGAGTGCTCTGATGGTGTTTCCTGCTTGGCAGGGGGTTGGACTCGATGGCCCTTGTGGTCTCTTCCAACTCTATGATTCTATGATTCTATACAAATAAACAAATCTGAATTAAGCTGAATATGGCCCTCTGGAAATTTAACTCTAGTTGTAATTCCTCTTTATTGCAGATGACAGAGAGTATCGACTGGTTGCAGAGCCAGAGTGGATTGTGTAAAGTTGATCGTTATACTGCAAGTGATGAGGAGGACCAGAACTGGACAGTAAGAAATAGATAGTTATTTCGGCATAATTGCTTTCTGGAGACTAATGTTCTTGCTTCTTAATGTGCTAGGACTGAAGATGTGTTTGATCCTTTACGTTTGAGCTCAGGTGCCGACAGTATTTCCTGGGTTCGGTACACTATATGTGAATTGGGTTCTCTGACCCAGTGACAAAGAGCACATAGATTTGCATAAAATGTGTTTTCCTTTGCAGGTGGAGTGGAAGGCCCCAAAATAAGCCAGCAGCCACAAATGTACAGTCATACCTCGGGTTGAATGTGCTTCGGGATGAGCGTGTTCGAGTTGTGCTCCGTGGCAACCTGGAAGTAACAGAGTGCGTTACTTCCGGGTTTCGCCGCTTGCGCATGCGCAGACGCTCAAAATGACTTCACGCGCATGCGCAGAAGCACCGAAACATGACCTGCGCACGCGCAGATGCACGGACACGATTTACGTTTGCTTCTAGATGCGAACGGGGCTCCGGAACGGATCCCGTTCGCATCTAGAGGTACCACTGTAATGTCTACCAGACAGAATCTGAACTGGTGAAGCTTTTCCCCATAGTTCTGCTTCCATGCCAGAAAAGGCCTGTTCAATTTCTGTCTGCCACAGGGGTGTTAAAGGCTTCTCCCAGTACTACATGGCTTCTCCCAGTACTAGCTCTAAGCCAAGGCCTAGGTTCCCATCCCGTATCTACTTATCTGGGAGTAAGTCCCAAGAAACAGACAGAGACTTCTATTATAGCTTAGTTGCATCACACATTGGGGTTACATTCCAGAGGCAGCACATATACACGGAAATCATATATAGCTATTTTTTTGACTGACAAGGGGCGGAAACCCCACAGGAAGCCCTACCCCGTTGTCTCCCTTGTCTTCCCTCACTCCTCCACATGCGAGCAGGGATGGAGGAAGAGGGTGCAATGGATGCAGACCACCCCAGGTGTCACCACTGAGGGGGGTGACAAAATGCCAGACAGCACACTTTTCCTGGACCAGGCAATCAATATCCATTAGAATGGCACTTGTGACTTTTCAGTGTTTCCCAGAATCAAAAGAGCGAGGAAGTTGTACTTACTGACTACAGTGGTACCTCGGGTTAAGTACTTAATTCATTCCAGAGGTCCGTTCTTAACCTGAAACTGTTCTTAACCTGAAGCACCACTTTAGCTAATGAGGCCTCCTGCTGCTGCCGCGCCGCTGGAGCACGATTTCTGTTCTCATCCTGAAGCAAAGTTCTTAACCCGAGGTACTATTTCTGGGTTAGCGGAGTCTGTAACCTGAAGCATATGTAACCCGAGGTACCACTGTACAATAACCACGGGAACTAAACCGTTGTGAAATTGTCTTTTGTTTGCTGTTTAGACCGACTCAGCCAAGCTTTTTCAGCAAACTGCCTCTGACCCGCTCAAAGTCTTAAGCTGGCTCCGAAAAGATCTGGAAAACTGTGCCATCGGAGTCCAGAATGTGTTGAATGCCAGTAACAACGCAGGGGGTGCAAAATCGAGGGACCCGTCCACGACGAGGCAAAACATGCCGCAACGCAATGTGCGTTCCCCGGGCGGTTTCAGTGTCTGCGATGAGGAATTCAGTGTGAACGTCAGCTCCAACAGGGCTTCGCCCACCTTCCACTTGTCCATGAAGGCTTCTTGTCAGAAGGAATCCAAAGATGAAGAAAGCGATGGGTCTACTTCACCAAACACAAACCCTGATCCGGATGACGTATCTTTTTATTGCAATAGGCTTTCCAACCTTGCCATAGCTATGGCCCGGAAAGAGATGAACGACCGGTCAGATGGCAACAACACATGCATACATAAGTCGCTTTATGGCCCTGCTGGGGACCACGGCCACAGGTCTATCGGTGTGGGTACGGAGGACATCAAGCACAATGTACCACCCAAGATGTGTGAAGGCGAATACGAAGAAACCCCAGCTTCTAAGAAGAAGACCGCCTTTTATTACAAAGAAGAAAATGCAGAAATACCCAATAAGAGTGACCCTTACAGGGACGGGATCAAAGGCTGCAACCGCAAGAAGCGCTTTGGTCCAGACGAGTACAGCAACTCCCTGAGCAAAGGCATATTGGTTTACGCCAACAACGTGGTTTCCGATATGATGGTCTCGGTTATGAAGACCATGAAGGTGAAGGTGAACGACTCAAACATCGCTTGTGCCGTGTTGAAGAAGGTTCTGCTGAAGCACTCCAAAGAGGTTGTATCTGATTTCATAGACTCCTGCATGAAGAACTTACACGATGTCACCGGAACGCTCATGACCGACTCTGACTTTGTTTCCGCCGTGAAGCGAAGCCTCTTCACGCAGGGAAGTCAGAAGGCCTCCGAAATTGTCCAAGCCATGCTGAATCGGTTACACAACGCTTTGATTGTGCAGAAGCACGTGAGCGATAGGGGAAAGTCTCAGAGCATGGCCTTTGCCAGTGTCAAGACAGGCTCCGGACATGATGGAAAGTCTCAAAACATGAGGTTTTCTGCCACCAAAACAGAATCTTGCAAAGAGAAAGAAATGACCTGCGCAGAAACCGTGGGCAACCACATCATAAAGGAAGGCCTCACCATGTGGCACCAGAAACAACATGACGACTGTTCAAATCCCCAGTCATCAAAGGCTGGGTGGAATCCAGAAAACCAAGATCTTGCTAACCTCTCAACAGATTCTTGGGCAAGAGACCTGATTGTGACAGCATTGCTGCTGATACAGTACCATCTAGTCCAGCAGGAGAATGCATTGAAAGAGGCCGAATGTGGCAGGAGCGGCAAGGCAGGTGGCACCGGGTTTGGGTTCTTGTCTCAAGAAAAAGGTGGCAACGCCTGCACACTGCCTTTATCAAAACAGTTTGACTCGTTGAAGCAAAGTGACGACGAGCAGTCGGAGACAAATGCCGAAAATGACATGTCAGGTGTGGTAGTCATGCTCATGCAAAAGCTCATCAACGAGACGGTCAACAAATTAGGAGGAAACGCTGGAACTTTGATGGCCGACGAGGCCTACAAGAGCACTTACAAATGCCCCGAGGGACCTGGGCCTTCAGGCGCTTCCGAAGTAGACCACTCCTACGAGGAGGCCATTTCTGGACTGACCAAAATGATTCTGGATCAGTTTGACGTCAACAGGAAGGAAGGAGGCAGCGGGCCCTTCATTGACAACCTGGTGGATACAGTGACCAAACTGTGTCTCATGATAGCCAAATACAGCAATCCCGAGTCAGGTCTGGGGGATATGGGAGATGGGGAAGACGCTTGCGGGCCTCTGTATGCAAAGGGCACAGATTCTGCAGAAAGCCGAATAGGGTCAGGGGAAGACACGGTGTCTGGCCGCAAAGTGGTTGTAACCAACCAGAATGCTCCGGAGAACATTCAAAACAAGCAGCTTCAAGCCATCCTTCAGTGGGTAGCAGCCTCTCAGTTGAACGTCCCCGTGTTGTACTTCATGGATGATGATGAAGAGACCCTGAATAAGGTAAATGGGAAGAAACTAGTGGGGGCATTTGCGTGGGATGGTATTAAGTTGTGCATGTTATTGCAAGAAGTTTTGTTGCCTCTGTATTTCCCTGATATATCACAGATAACCTTTCAGGGTTAGGGCAGGGGTATTGGGGAGTCACCTTCCAATTTCGATTACTCTCCCTCTTGCCCATCCCCTTCTTTCATCTCTTTTCCTCCTGCTGCAACCTCTCCTTCTGCTCATGCAGAAAAGAAAATTGCGCAAATGGAAGGAGAAAACAGCAGCTCTTTAGAACCCCAAAGATTCCAAGTAACTCACTAATCATCAGTCACAGTTTTGACTTCATTCATTGGTGAAAAACACTGAAAGGTGGAGCAGCCAGACGGGCCTCTTCTCATACAGACCACTTAGAAAGTTGCCTGAATGTTTTGCTTCCTAACTTTCTTTCCAAGAATGCTAGAGACTTTTTTTTAAAAAAAGTGAAAGCTCAGAGTCTGGGGCCCCTTGCAGGCTTGAGCCCTGGAGCAACTGCTCCAACTGCACCATTATAATCGGTGCTATTTTTCTAGAAAAAGAGGTGCCAGAACTCACCGTGAACACTTCCCTCATTTTTTTAGAATAGCAATGGCATCTACCTGAGAGATGCAGGAACTGAGTTCTGGTTAGTTATGGCTGAAAAAGCCCTGATTATAATGTTGCCATTGGATGAGTTTAATCTTGTTCAAATGGTATTTGGTACCATTAGTCACATTTAGACATTTAGTTGATACAGAACCACAGAACACAGTTTTCTGGTGGTTCCAGTTCTAGGTCTGTGAACGGTCCAAGAAGATGGTAATACTATTTAGCCCCATGGCCTTTGTCCTATGGAATCCCCTGTACTCTTTAATATCTACATAAAGACACTGACAGTGGTTATCTGGGTTTTGCGAGAAACAAAGCAATAGTGGTGCCAATCTTCAAGAAAGGCCAACCCGGTGACCCAGAGAACTATAGACCCATTAGTTTGTTATCAATAAAGGGAAAAATTATGTCTGCCACCTCTGCACTAGATTGCCTGCCTTTCTGAATGCTACTAGCATCTTTACTGAGGCACAAGCTGCATTTAGAGAGAACTGCTCAACTTCTAATCGCTGTATAGTTCTATTCCACCTTGCCGAGAAATATTCAAGACCTCTACAAGCAAACTGTATGTAGCTTTTATGGCCCTAAAAATCAGCCTTTGATTCCATCACCAGAGTCGAGTGATGGGGAAAGTAGGAAAAGGTTCTGGTTGACAATAGACTTTTCTGCCTCATCAAGGCCCTTTATACTAATAGCAAGCTATTAGTCAGATGTGGTACCCAGGGACAGCTGTCAGGTGAAATATCTATGTCTAGAGGAATCAAACAGTGCTGTATCTTTGCACCCTCCTTGCTTAACATATTTATAAATGACCTAGAGGATGACCTACTTGGCCACATGCCCAAACCTAGGGTCAGGAGGACTCCATTACTACTGTATGCTGATGATGCAGCTATTCTGTAACGTTCCAGACCAGGAGAAACTAAGGAGGTTCATGTCTTATTGCGTACAGAATGATCTAAAAATTAACTTTGGGGAAACTAAAATCTTGGGTTTTGAGAAGACATTTCCCCAATGCAAATGGTTACTAGACAGGCAAGCTTCCAATACCTGGGGCTGACATTCCATCACACAACGACATGGACCACCCATAGATCTGTGGCCCTCCAGAAAGTACAAGTTAGTCAGTTGGCCACGCTTTACTAAATATTCCACCTGCCACCAAAGTAAGGTAAAGGTAAAGGGACCCCTGACCATTAGGTCCAGTCGTGACCGACTCTGGGGTTGCGGCGCTCATCTCGCTTTATTGGCTGAGGGAGCCAGCGTACAGCTTCCGGGTCATGTGGCCAGCATGACTAAGCTGCTTCTGGCGAACCAGAGCAGCGCACGGAAACGCTGTTTACCTTCCCACCGGAGCGGTACCTATTTATCTACTTGCACTTTGACGTGCTTTTGAACTGCTAGGTTGGCAGGAGCAGGGACCGAGCAATGGGAGCTCACCCCGTCGCGGGGATTCGAACCACCAACCTTTTGATCAGCAAGTCCTAGGCTCTGTGGTTTAACCCACAGCGCCACCCGCATCCTGCTGCCCAATTACTATATGCCTTTAATATCTGGAGTGGAGGAATAACATTTGAGTTGAATAATCTCCAGGCTAAATTCTTGAGGCCTCTCCTCCAGATCTCCAGATATATGCCTAACTCAGTCAATTTTCATGGAATCTGGGGAATGCCCTCTACTGACCAGGGCCTGGTGGGCAGCCTTAAAATACCAGTTTAAGGTCAATGTTTTCAAACTGGGCACAGGACTACTCCAACATGTACGTAGCTCAGGACAAGTTCGTAAGGTGCTGGTCAAAGCTCAACGCCCGAAAAGCTTCCACAATTGGGCTGTCCCCATTTCTTCTTGAACACTTGGGCTTTGACATAGCCTTGAAATCACTAAAACAAAACTGTGGGCCATTGCGTACGGTGATCTGCAGGCCCGTTCACACTTATCCTGCTCACCAAGAGCTGTGAGTTTACAGTATGTTGGGACACTTTACACACCTGAATATCTAAAGAACTTGACAGTGATCAACTACCGCAGACTTTTTACCACGGACAGACTGAATATCTTTCCTTCCGAATTGCTTCAAGGCAGATTTGCGGGTATTCCTTACTCTGCTAGATTATGCCCCTGTACAAATCAGGTAGAAGAATCTATACAGCATATTCCACTGGCCTGCAGACTATACAAGCAGGTCAGACAACAAAAGATTCTTCCTTTAATTGCAAACCCACACAATTTTATGTTAGGCACCTATTAGAGGATAGGATTCCAAGCATATCTTTGGCAGTTGCCAAGTTTCTTTCTGAGGCGATAAGAATCAGAAAGCACTTTGTATTAGTTAAAGGTCTGGGAGAAGCTTAGTTTTATCCTCAGGTAGTATGTATGTGTTTTGTATTTTTATGTACTGGAATCTATTTGTGGGTCTTTGGACTGCATTAAAGAATTGACTGACTAGGCAATGTTCTGTTTCCAGATGTTGTGGACTACAACTCCCATCAGGCCCAGCTAGCATGAGTAACGGTTAGGGAGAACAGAAGTTTAGCTTGGAAAAGCTGGATGACCCTATGTTGACTTACCCCTGTGCTGCAGTATAGCAGAAGCTGGGCCTGATTGTATAAACTGGGCTTCCATCTTGAGTAGAATATGATTTTGGAAATTGGCTATTGGGCAGATGGTGCAGGAGGGTGGGAATGTGAAAGTTCTGGTGGGTGAATGTGAACCAATACCAGCGCCCCACCCACGCTCCCCAAATAAATCGCACTCATCGCTGTCTTTTCCTCCCAACAGCTTCAGCAACTCTCCACAGTGGCCGTGGACAGGGGCTACAGCGTAGGAGAAGTGATGCAGGCAGTTCTGAAGTATGAGAAGGAAAGGCAGCTGGGGGAGGCCTTGGGCAACTTTGTGCGGCTGCCAGTTCTGGACTGGCTGCTTCAAAACCTGTGAACACGACGGCCTCTCCCTGCGCCCTCCGAGCGCAGGCTTCTCTTCCGTCACAGCATTAATTTCCACAGCACTCATTTGTCAGATATGATGTTATGAGTTTTACTAAATCTTCCCCTGCTGAGCAGTCAAATGAATAAAAGGAAATACTTAAGCGGCGGGGCAGTCTTCATTCCTAGGCATTTCAACTAAAATGGGGCCTTTGAGGGAAACTTTGGAACTTGGAACTCCTCCAGTGATGGCCACCAACTTGGATGGCTTTAAAAGAAGATTAGACAAATTCATGGAGGAGAGGGCTTTTGGAGGCTATGCTCTACCTCAGGCTTCCTCACACTCGGCCCTCCAGATGTTTTGAGACTACAATTCCCATCATCCCTGACCACTGGTCCTGCTAGCTAGGAACCATGGGAGTTGTACAGGGGGCGTGCAGGTGTGGGGGATTCCCTGGTCCTGAATGGGGTAACTGTGCCCCTGAAGGACCAGGTGCGCAGCCTGGGAGTCATTTTGGACTCACAGCTGTCCATGGAGGCGCAGGTTAATTCTGTGTCCAGGGCGGCTGTCTACCAACTCCACCTGGTACGCAGGCTGAGACCCTACCTGCCCACGGACTGTCTTGCCAGTGGTGCATGCTCTGGTTATCTCCCGCTTGGACTACTGCAATGCGCTCTACGTGGGGCTACCTTTGAAGGTGTCCTGGAAACTGCAGTTAATCCAGAATGCGGCAGCTAGACTGGTGACAGAGTGGCCACCGGGACCACATAACACCGGTCCTGAGAGATCTGCATTGGTTCCCAGTACGTTTCTGAGCACAATTCAAAGTGTTGGTGCTGACCTTTAAAGCCCTAAATGGCCTTGGTCCAGTATACCTGAAGGAGCGTCTCCACCTCCATCGTTCTGCCCAGACACTGAGGTCCAGCGCCAAGGGCCTTCTGGCGGTTCCCTCATTGCGAGAAGTGAGGTTACAGGGAACCAGACAGAGGGCCTTCTCGGTAGTGGCGCCCGCCCTGTGGAACACCCTCCCTTCAGATGTGAAGGAAATAAGCAGCTACCCCAGGGGTCTGCAACCCGCGGCTCCAGAGCCGCATGTGGCACTTTTACACCTTTGCCGTGGCTCCGGGGCGGGTACTAACGAGGGGAGGAGGCGCATTGTGCGCCCCGACACTCCCCACTGTGGCGGGCGCTGTACTGGCTGTGACGTCGCATGGGGCGGTGCGTGCGTTAGTCACGCACCGTCCCGACGTCACCTTCCCGCCCGCCCGCTACATTGTAAGGGGCATGTACGCTGGTCACTGCATTGAAAGGGGGCATGTACGCTGGTCACTGTTTTGAAGGGGAGTGAAGAACACACACACACAAAAAGGTAACTTGTTAATTTAACGTTTATTTCTATGAGGAGGAGTAATTCTGAGGGGTCAAACAAATAATAAAAAAGTGACAAAAAAGTTATTTTTATAATGACGAGTTTTGCGGCTCCCAGTTTTTTTTTCTTCGGAAACGGGTCCAAGTGGCTCTTTTTGTCTTAAAGGTTGCAGACCCCTGAGCTATCCTATCTTTAAAAGACATCTGAACAAAAAGTACAAAAAGCCCTATTCAGGGAAGTTTTTAATATTTAATGCTGTGCTGTTTTTAACACTTGATTGGAAGCCGCCCAGAGTGGCTGGGGAAACAGCCAGATGGGCGGGGTATAAATAATAAATTATTATAATATTATTATTATTGTAGGCCAAAAACATCTGGAGGGCCAAGTTTGAGGAAGCCTGCTCTACCTCCACAGCTGGAGGCAGAAATAGTTCTGAATGCCAGTCACTGGAAGCCACTGGAGGGAAGAGAAGCTCTTGGTTTCATGTCCTGCTCCCTGGCTTCTCACAGGCATCCGGTTGACCACTGTGACAGCAGGATGCTGGACTTAGCTGGGCAGCTTGATCCAGCAGGCTGGATCTGAATTGTTTTTCTTGTGGCAGTTATTCTGTTGCAAATGTTTTAAATACTGCCTTCTTGGCCACCAATGCTTTTTGAATTCTATTCCGTCTCTTATAGTTTCTCTAGAGCAAAGAGGCTTATTAGCAAGGCCACAGAGCTCCTGAAGTCTTCCTGATTTATAGTTTCACAGGAGTACAAAAGTTATTTGACGGAGGAACCAGCCATACCCTCAGACTTCAAGTTGACACTGCAAGCCATCCTTTATGAATGCTTACAAAATTATGTGGGTGATCTGAGTTCAGATGCCACTCCCGTTGAAAGGATCATTTCCTCCTCTGAGCTCAAAATACTTTTTTTTACAGAGTGCAAAACCACATGGCTCCCTCCAATGCTTCCATTAGAAAGCAGTAATTTCAATATTATCGCAGCAATCAAGATTTTATGGCTACCTTAATCATTTTGTGACATCATCTGCGTTGTGGAACCTTGTGCTATTATGAGATTCCAACCAAGTCATGGCTAAAACGAATTTGGTTTTGCTTAATGTTAATGATCTGGGAGCAAAAACAACAACAACCCCAGAATTGAGGCTTTCTGGTGAAAGGCTGATCCAGATATTCCAGGAAACTCACCAGAAACATAAAAGGTAAAGGTAAAGGACAGCTAAGTCCTGTCAAAGGTGCAGCGCTCATCTCACCTTTCAGGCCACGGGAGCCAACGTTTGTCCACACGCAGCTTTCTGGGTCATGTGGCCAGCATGACTAAGCCGCTTCTGGTGCATGGAGGACCATGACGGAAACCTGTCACGTGTGGTGACGTTTCTGTGGGTGGCTTCTAACACCAAACCCCTCCTTCCATTTGCTTCTCACCTGAGCACAAGCTGTCCGTTTTGCTTCCAGTGGCCTTGTGGTGTCAGTCGCTGGATACAGAGGGTGAATTTGGATTTCAACAACACAGTTAGAAAAAGTTGTTTTGTGAGAGATTATCTTGGAAACTGGAATGGTAGCACATATAAGGTAAAGGTAAAGGGACACCTGACCATTAGGTCCAGTCGTGACCGACTCTGGGGTTGCGGCGCTCATCTCACTTTATTGGCCAAGGGAGCCGGCGTACAGCTTCCGGGTCATGTGGCCAGCATGACTAAGCCGCTTCTGGCGAACCAGAGCAGCGCATGGAAACGCCGTTTACCTTCCCGCCAGAGTGGTACCTATCTATCTACTTGCACTTTGACGTGCTTTCGAACCGCTAGGTTGGCAGGAGCAGGGACCGAACAACGGGAGCTCACCCCGTCACAGGGATTCGAACCGCCAACCTTCTGATTGGCATGTCCTAGGCTCTGTAGTTTAACCCACAGCGCCACCTGCATCCCATATATAAAGGTAAAGGTACCCCTGCCTGTACGGGCCAGTCGTGTCCGACTCTAGGGTTGTGCGCCCATCTCACTTAAGAGGCCAGGGACCAGCGCTGTCCAGAGACACTTCCGGGTCACGTGGCCAGCGTAACGAAGCTGCTCTGGCGAGCCAGCACCAGCGCAGCACACGGAAACGCCGTTTACCTTCCCGCTATAAAGCGGTACCTATTTATCTACTTGCACTTGGGGGTGCTTTTGAACTGCTAGGTGGGCAGGAGCTGGGACCGAACAACGGGAGCTCACCCCGCCGCGGGGATTCGAACCACCGACTATACGATCGGCAAGTCCTAGGCACTGAGGTTTTACCCACAGCACCACCCGCATCCCTATCCCATATATAACAGGCATTTAAAATGTGTGTGTGTGTGTGCGTGTGTGTGTGTGTGTGTGCACAGGGGCCTCACACAATGCCCCTTTATCACTCTTGTGCAAATTATAGGGCTCCTATCTATTGAATTGGGGTCACAATGCAGAGCTCTGGTACCCCTATCTTGCTGCTCTTTCTGATTTTTTCTTTCTTTCTCTTTTCTGGGAAATGTTTTAAGTTGTGGGGGTTTTTTAACACCTGTCGCTTCTGGTGTTGTTAACCACCCTGAGATCTATGGATATATGGCGGTATACAAATTTAATAAATAAAATACGATATGACACTTAAAAAAACCAAAACCCTGACTGAAATAACAGCCCATGAGCTGTGCAAGAAATGTCTTGGAGGTTAGACAGAGGTCCTATGTCTTCACCTTGCAGTACTCACAAGTAAAATGATCAGCCACACCCTTGTTCTGATCAAAATGAATTTCTGTCCCTCAAGAGAGCAAAATATATTCTATTTGAACTGCAAGATAGTACCCATTTCCACTCATACAATCTTCCTCCACACCAAGAAATGTGCACAGACCGTATACAGACAGTTATGTTAAATTTCTGTTCTTGAACATTTTACAGCAAAAAAGTTACCTAAAAGCAGACCACAAATGATATGCAAAGAGGACTAGTCATTGCTTGTACTTGATGGGTGGCAAGATGCTTGTATTTTTGTGCATGACCTTCTCAGTCCTATGGTCTCTCTGTTCTCTTTTAACAGTTTTGTCCACCAGGGTTTCCAGTTCTTTTTCTGGAGTTTCTGGCTTGTTGGAATCCTCCTTTTCCTCTTCGTTTGCATCTTGGGAGGTTATGATGGGAGATAATTTCTGAATCGCAACGGATAACTTTTCAGCGGGATCAGATTTTATTTCTCCAGCAGATTGGTGCCGTGTGGTTTCATCTGCAGAAAAGGGGAGACACAAAATTTAAGGGAAAATGTATTACTTTAGAGAGCAGCAAATCTAGAATTGCTTTAGGACTTAAATACAATAAAATACAATAAATACAAAGAGGAGTGTTCAAGTAAGGTTTTGGCACCTGATTAAAACACTTTTGTATCCAGCCTTGTGGATTCTGGCATAGTTTAGAATTGTTTTTAACTGTATTCGTAATTTTAATATTTCTTGCAAACCACTTATTTTATATAGAGGTTATATATTGGTTATATATCAAGCAGCATGCAATTTGCTCAGGGTTCAAGCCCCACGTTGGGTGAAAGATTCCTGCATTACAGCAAACTGGACTAGATGACCCTCTTGGTCCCTTCTAACTTGACAGTTCTGTGAATCTAAGTGTTGAAAGTTGCAACACACACAGAAGCCACATTTCTCCTCTCAATCCTCCTCCCCATTCACAAAAATAAACGCAAACAATTAAGCAAAAACCTAGAAACAAACATACAACTGCCCGCCATTGCTCTCTCTTGACAAATATTAATTATAAAAACCAGCTATCGAAACTGACAACAACAGCCTTCTCCTGGCTAGCTGCAATGAACGTGCTTTGAGGTGTGGCCTTAGGGAAACCAGCACTGAGCATGCTCAGACTGTACTCAAAGGGCCAATACTGAAGCTGCTGCTTAGCCCTGGCAACAAGAGATAGAGAAGAAACCTCCAGCAAACACATGCCTTTTTTTCCTCCTAAGACACAAATAACAGGGGCCTCTTTCTCAAAGTGATGCTTTGGGATTGTGATGGGCAGAGAACAGCAGGTTGACAGAAATGTTTGCAGAGCTTTCCTGAATCTGGACAGAAGAGTAAAATGCATGTTGTACAGGGAAGAGTGTGTGGCTCTGAGATTTGTGGAGAGGGCTATGCCTCAGGGAGGCAGCCTCTGCTAGCCTCTGTACCTGCTTGAGGTTTCTGTGAGTGGTGCAGGTAGTAATATAATAATTTATAATAATTTATTATTTATACTCCACCCATCTGGCTGGGTTTCCCCAGCCACTCTGGGCGGCTTCCAGCAAAACGTTAAAATACAATAATTCATCAAACATTAAAAGCTTCCCTAAACAGGTATAAGTGCAGTGGGCTGAAAGAACAGGAAGGTTGAGTACACCACCAGGGCCGGCCCACCCATGAGGCTGACGGAAGCCGCCATCTTGGGCGGCAGAATCCCATGAACACCTTTGCTCACCCCTGCTGCCAACCGCCAGAGAAGCAAGGAGAAATGGCAGCAGCAGCAGCAGCAGCTTCCAATGAGATCTCGAGATAGTTCTGCAAGATGTCTCTGGAAGCTACCACCACCTGGAGCAGAGAGGGTGGGACCTCCCCGTTTTGTCTCTCCACACTACAAACATGTAGCTGTCCATCACTGATGGACTCTCTCCACCTTCATAATCAATCCCTGGGGAAATAAAGCTTCCTCTGTTCTCAGTCCCTCCTTTCTCCCTCTCTTTCCACGGCAAACATAGGCAACCAACCTCTATCCCTGAAACAGCTGGTGGTGAGGGGGAACTGGGCTCAGGAAACAGACATCAAATGGCCTGCAGCGGCGTAGCGTGGGTTGTCAGCACCCGGGGCAAGGCAAGCAATTTGCGCCCCCTAACCCGGGGCAAGGCAAGTAATTTGCGCCCCCTAACCCCTAACCTGCCGCCGCTGCCAGCTTCTTCTTGCTGCTGCCTGGTCTGGTCTGGTGTGGTTCTCTCCCGCGCTCAGCGCTGCGCTGGGCGGCCGCTGCACTGTCCCTCCCCCAGATAGTCCCTCGCTCTCTCTCCGCACCGCACGCCTGGCACCCACCCCCTCCACAGTGGGCGGCGACCCAGCGGCTCGGATCGGATTCATACAGCCAGCACTGCAGTGAGAGAGAGTGAGTGAGCCAGGTGGGGCAGAGAGCTGCGAGTGCAAGCGCGCGCTCCCCAGATGTTGTGCCCAGTGCGGCCGGCCCCCCCTGCACCCCCCACGCTACGCCACTGATGGCCTGTGTTTTCTTAGCAAATGCAGTAGCAGAAGACAGACTTCCTCCAACCCCAAAGCAAACAGCGTGTGTTTGTGTGTACATATCTTGACTTGGTCTTGGAATTGGAGGACACACCCAAGAGAAAATGATGTTTACCGTATTTTTCGCTCTATAAGACACACCAGACCACAAGACGCACCTAGTTTTTGGAGAAGGAAAACAAGAAAAAAATATATATTCTGAATCTCAGAAGCCAGAACAGCAAGAGGGATCGCTGCGCAGTGAAAACAGCAATCCCTCTTGCTGTTCTGGCTTCTGTGATAGCTGCGCAGCCTGCATTCGCTCCATAAGACGCACACACATTTCCCCTTACTCTTTAGGAGGGAAAAAGTGAGTCTTATAGAGCAAAAAATACGGTATATTTTCAGTTCATTCCCCCTGCCACCCCAAATAAGTTTCTTTTTCCCCCAAAAATTTTTTTATTAGTTTTCACAATATTATAAACAAACAAACACACAAGACAAACAAACATAAATCATACCCTTATTGAAAATTACACTTATTAACTTTGTTAAGTGACTTCCTCGCTCCCCCTTGGTTGAATTTCATTGCATATCCTTTTAACGGTTTTCCAAATCCCAATTCTTATGAAATTCAACTTAAACATTAACATCCTTAAATCTTCACCTTATGGAATTAAACATATTAATTCATCACTTAACATAAAATCCACAGCCAATTAAGTATCTGCAAGCTATTTTCAGTTAATTTAACTTGACAAATTTAACTAGATAATCATTAAATTTATTCCACTCTTCCTCACCCCACATCAGTTTCTGGGCTGACAGAGGCTGCTTTGACATCCAGGGAACAATTGCCATAGGCTGAGAGAATTTAGGAACCGGGTTACTGCCAGGGAGACAGTGGCCATCAGGCAGGCCCCAATCATAGTCTCTGGATGATCACCGGTCTCCCATGGAAACAGCATCAGTCAATTAGCGACACGAGCCTTAGAGACATTCCAAGATTCATGCACGCCCTTTCCAGCAGTCTCCGCAACGGAAGATTCAGACAGAAGAGCATATTTACTGCTTTATTCAACGTAGGTCAGAACAAAGGAAAAACATGACTGCTTGCATCCGTGTCCAGGAAAACAGCCGGAACAAAAGCTATATACAAAACGGAAACTCCCAGTGAGCAGGAAGTAAACAGGCATGTGACGCACAACAGTCACGCCTGACTCTTTTTAGGTGGGACGGAAACTATATCCTAACAGGGGGGCTATGTGGGGTCCTTTCCATTGGCGAGGCGCAGCCATAGACACCAGAGCTTGAGAGCACTTGTGATGTGGCAATTGCACGGCCCTCTGCTTTCCGAAATCGCCCACACAGGTGCAACTACTCCCTGGGGGTACCTGAACAGAGAAGCACGGTCACATTATACTTTTTATCGTGCTCGCCACACTTTAGGGGAGCAGAAAACTGAGCTGGGTAGAAAGCAACAAAATGCGCAGCAAGGTAACCAAATAGATTCTGTGAAATGTATAGGTTATGCAAATTCAGTAAATGCGCATTGTTTCTATTATTTTGTATAATCTGTATTTCAAAGCGCCATGCAATTTTGCAATAAATTACATGAAAAGAGTTTTATTTTTCATTTTTTCCCTGCTTCTGCCCATCATGGGGAAGGGCAAGGAGGCCCCACCGTACAATCACTGAAAATCTCCTCTGGCACTGACTATTTCAAACATATCTTTTCGACCATAAAAGATGGAACCTTGCTGCTGCTTCTTTATTTGGAGCTGGAATTCTTTGGAAGCTGGGTTCAGCTACTAGTATCCCATAACGTGGCCTTTCTGGTTTCCATAACATAGAGAGAAGCAGACCTCAAGATGCTTCTGAACTTGGCAGGTGCTTCCTGGTGTTTTGGTTTTGGTTTGTCTCCCTCTGAAATACCTATTTAAAGACAATTCATTGGGGGGGGAAGAAAGAACCAAGAACTATGAGTCCACCTTTTTCTGGCTGAGCACTCTTATGGGCATTTTCCTTCTTTTTCTCTGCGTCGCCTGACTTCGTCGTAGGCTTGGGCTTTTGTTTCGCTTTATGTAACCATGGGTCCTGCATCCAGGAGTGGTGCATTGCATCTTCCGGAGTCATGCGCAGGGAAGGTTTCCATCTTGACATAAAACATATGGAGAACATCAGTATGGAGCATGATGCACATGTATTATACACATACAAACCTATGTGCATATGGGGTTTATTACTCACATTATCCTACACGTGACAGCATACGAAAACACCACACTCATATGGTATGACCTTAAAAGGTAAAGGTAGCCCTGACCATTAGGTCCAGTCGCGGACAACTCTGAGGTTGCTATGCTCATCTCGCGGTATAGGCCGAGGGAGCCGGCGTACAGCTTCCGGGTCATGTGGCCAGCATGACTAAGCCGCTTCTGGCGAACCAGAGCAGTGCATGGAAATGCCGTTTACCTTCCTGCCGGAGCAGTACCTATTTATCTACTTGCACTTTGACTTGCTTTCGAACTGCTAGGTTGGCAGGAGCTGGGACCGAGCAACGGGAGCTCACCCCGTCAAGGGTATTCGAATCACCAACCTTCTGATCAGTAAGCCCTAGGCTCTGTGGTTTAGACCACAGCGCCACCCGCATTTTCACAGCAGTTTCATCACTGCACATCACATAATACACTCTGCAAAAATCTGAGTGTCTAATATATAGGCACTGCACCCAAAAAAAGGCAGAGGACCTGTTCTCCTTAGAGCCTGAAAGGAGGCAAAATGAAAAAGAAAGATAGATGAGGGAGATCAGTTTGAGAATGCCAGAATGCATAGGTAAGTTTTAAACAGGCATTGAAAGGAGTCAGGTGGGTCCTGGGAGGCAGAGCTTCAAGGGCAATAGATCTAACTTTAGCCACCTTTGCAGCCAGCCACCAATAACTCCCAAGCCACCAAGTGACTGTGGCCTTCTAAAATCATGTCTTTAATTCTGCCAACTCAGCTCACATGCTGACTGTGATCCCATCTAGTATCACCCTAACTTAGTGGTTTTAAATCTTGTCTATCAATGAACCTCTTCCCTGCATGTCTGCCATGGGGCCCAAGCAAGTTTATGAAAACATAAATAATATAACTCTTCATTAGAGCATGGTGTGAACCAGCCACTTGAAACACATCCAATATGTTCTTTAAAGTTGCACATTCTTTGGGGAGATAATGCAGTGGTAGCCAAGCCGCCTTTCAGGAAAGTTTGTTCACCAGGACTGATATACTAACTGAGAAACCTCTGACAAACTTCCAAAGAACTCCTGGAGTCCCATGTGAAATATCCTGCTTCTTTCTGCAAAACATTTTCATTACATACTCTGGCAATATGGGGAATTAGCAAATCAAAATAAACCTTGCTACCATAACTGAGCAACAGACATTTAACCAACGCTTAAGGACAGAAAAGCAGGATTTAAGAGTCTATATATGCAATGGGCAAAACAAATGAAAGCTATCTTACACAAGGCACTTTTTCAGAAAATCCAGAAATGCACCATCATACGTTTTCAATACAGCGCTCAGTTCCCTTGTGTTCGGGTTTCTTATTCTCCCCCTACTATTTGTAAGATTCTTTGGAGTACCGCTGGAATCTTTAAAACAGAAAAGCAACATTTTAAAACTGTATACTCATTTGCATAATATGTAAAGTTTTGATGCTGGAAAGGTAAGTCCACAGAAGATTTAAGTCTGCCCAGATAATATTTATTTAGAATAGGGATGTCCAGCGCTGTAATGTTGGGATGCACCCTATTCAATTGGAAGTGCATTTTGCCATAAAAACCGATTCCTTATTTTTCTGGTCAGACTCCATAACTAATGTGGTGCCGTTAGGAGCCAGGAATTCCTAGCAATGTAGCAAATGACCCCAGGTGTAACTTTGCTTAATTCACATGTACAGAAAAATACCTTACAGTGCAGAGCTTACATGAAGCTTTTTGCTCTGTGGGTAAACTTAAAACCCACCTTGATTAAAAGATTAGAAGAACCATCAGAGACCTGGGAAGATTTTGGCAGCATAGACTAACAGTTTGCATCTCTGATCCAGAAGAGTGCCAATGTTGTTCACAAAACCAGTAATTTTCACTCGAAGAAAAATCTCTCAGAGATTAACGATTTAGTGCTTTAATATTTATGTATTGCAGCCAAAACTGCAACAAAAGCTTCAAACGAATGAATAAATACTTAAAACACATCTCACCTTTCCATCTCTTCAAGGTGGTTTACAATTCAGAATAAAACAATTACATTCAAATCCACACAAAAAAATTAAAAACCCCAACCATCGGTCTAAACGTATTACAACAAAGGAAATTCAGTGCAACAGTAAACTAGCAATAGATACTTTATTATTGCTTTCCAAAAGCACGAGAGAGTAACTTGGTGCCTAAAGATAAAATAAATTATATTTCTGGGAGGCCTATTCCACAATCCACAAGGCCAACACAGAAATGCTTGATCCCCAGCCCATGTAGAAGAAGAAGAAGAAGAAGAAGAAGAAGAAGAAGAAGAAGAAGAAGAAGAAGAAGAGTTTGGATTTGATATCCCGCTTTATCACTACCCGAAGGAGTCTCAAAGCGGCTCACAATCTCCTTTCCCTTCCTCCCCCACAACAAACACTCTGTGAGGTGAGTGGGGCTGAGAGACTTCAGAGAAGTGTGACTAGCCCAAGGTCACCCAGCAGCTGCATGTGGAGGAGCGGGGAAGCGAACCCAGTTCACCAGATTACAAGTCTACCGCTCTTAACCACTACACCACACTGGCTTTCATAACGCTTGAAGGGGGCAGCTGGGGTAGAGCCTGGGGAGATCTTAGAGGGCAGGCACGCTTATATGGGAGCAGGCAGTTCTTCTGATTCCCTGGGCTCCTGGGTGCAGTAAGACTTCAGAGGTACTTTGAATTCAACCTGGAAATGCACTAGAATAGTAAGGGAGCAACTGGTTTTCTGTGGGAAATTTGTGTTCCAATACTAGGACATGGCTTTTATTGGAAATGGCGCACCTTGTTTGGGAAACCCCACTAAATTCCTACCAAAATACTAATTTTATTTTGTTGTAAGATAAAATACCTGGATAACTCAGGCAAATACAGCAACAGTTAAAAGATTAAGTATCCATCCGTGAGGGAAATGAGGAAGGTATTTTAGGTAGTCTCATCCAAGAAGAAAATGCTGAGTTGAACTATAAATGAATACTGTTTAGATGTTTGTGTCATGCAGGCAAAAAAAGGATCCAGGGGTGAGATTGCTGGTTGAAGTGAAGGGGGGCTGCAGCAGGGTTTGTGTATGTGTGAATGTAGACTCTCAAATGGGGAGACAGCAAATAAATACTATTTAATTTGTGGAAGGGGCATTCATTTAGAAACTGGCTTAATTAAAGTATCTGCATATAATATTATGGAACATATAATATAGAAAGTTTTAAAAACAAACACCATTCTTCTTCTCTGTGCCATTTCTGTTTGCTGTGTGGGCAGATGATTTGCACTAGAGTTGACATCAGCTGCAACATTTTCAAGCTATAGCTTGATATTTTTCGGCTTGACGGACCAAAGCTTGTCAACAGAGTCAACATGCCCACCATAGTCCGAGCCCAAACTGCAAAAGCAGGCTAAGCATCAGCCCAAACTCAGATGGTGTGATAAGAACGAGCACTAAATGAATGTAGACAAGCTGCAAGGCCAATTCCTAGTCTGCGCTGCTCTTAATTCCAAGGAAACGAAACCGAAGGCGTGTGCTAGCACCCTTGAAATCTCCACCACTCAGAGGCTGGGGTGTGTATCTAGAGCAAATAAATATGCATTGTGATCCCTCTTGCACAAAGCACCATACGATATGAAGGTCTTTCTTCCACAAATGCCCTGTCCACCATAATGATGGGCATTATGCGAGTAAGTCAATAACAGCAAGGGACTTACCAAAGAACGTTCGTCTTCTTGATGCAGTCTGAATGAAATCAGCTGGTGGAAGACCTAGTATCTTTAACACACACAAAAAGTCAGCCTGAAGGGCACCTCTGTTAAGTATATAACAAATTAATGGTCTTACACCTTTAACATGAAGGACATGTTGATATAATGGCTGAGCTCTTTTTTATTCTACCGCAGAGTCAGTTGAAAAGAGGGGGAAACTACCACAAACAGTAAAAATAAGTCTTCTGAGGAACTCATCAGTGGTTCCAACCTAACTGGTGGTTTCTATCTGTACTGGATCTGATTCTCCTCAGCACTGTTATCAACGGCTAAAAATGAAAGTTATGCCTGGCACAAAACTGGGAGGGAGAACTAACGTATCAGGAGACAGAAATAAAGTTCAAAACTATCTTAAAAAACTGGGCTGGAACTAATAAAACCTCTGTACATCTAAATCAATTTAGAAACTGACTTTCATAATCAAATGAGAGAGTATCTGTTAAATGGTACATTTTGAATTTCATGTTCTTCACAAAGAGTGCTGCCCTCCTTTTTCTGGGTCAACTATGGGCCTGTTGCATGCCAGAAAGGGGCTTTTAATACTTGGGAGTTAGAGTGTTTAAATCACTTCACACACATAATCTCCTTGAAACACCCAACAGGTCTGTGTTATTATCCCGCATTTCAATTCCCCGTCACTAGGTGATATTTTGGTCTTTGTGTTCTGGGTTGCATGAATTCCTGTGGGGATATTAAACATTTCACAGGCACTCTAATGCCAGTGTAATGCCACTTGTATGCAAGTCATTTCTGAAATGCAACGTTTTATTTCATAAGGACGTGTTTTGTACAGAAAACAACTGTGTGTGTGCATCTTCGTAGACATACGCTAGCTAATTTGTGTTTAAAATGTTTGTGGTAGACATAATTTTTGTTTGACACATTGAATTCCTCAGACTTTAATAGATAAAATTCACAGGTAATGAAAGAGATGCCTTCGTTTCATGTGAACAAGCATGACTGAAACCTGGTGAGATGAGGGTGAGAACCTGTTCAAAAGGCATGGATCAAACAGAAAGGAGAAGTAACATTACATGTAAAGGATGTGTATGCCTGGAAGGACATTCATGACTTGGAGCATGGAAGGCAGGTTGAGAGTATGGGGGGGGGGGGATTGTTGGAGAGGGTATGAACCGTGACCACACTTCCATGGGGTTGTGTCTCTGGTTGTGTCCCACCCCCTGGCTTTTTGCAGGAAACCCCAAGAGCATCTCTCACAGATGGCTGTCCAACAGCCGAAGACCTCCATTTAGGGAGATTGCAGCACCTCTCAAGATAATTGTTCCCATTGCCAAATGCTGTTACCTTTAAGAAGTTTCTCCCGATAGTCAGCTGAGATCTACCCTCCTGTACCTTAAGTCCACTAGACCTAATCTTGCCTTTTGGAGTAGCAGGCGACAAGTCCTTGCTGTTTTCCATGTAAAACCCTTTCAGATATCTGAAGAATGCTATCACCTCAGCCTTGTCTTCTCCAGGAGAAATCAGCCCAACCTTCCATATTTGTTGTCCTGCTCTGAACACTCCCAACACCTACATATCCTTCTAAAAGTGCACAGTTTTCCAGATGAAGCCGAACTAGTAAGGAATAAAGTGGAACTTTATGTGACAAATCTTAGAGGAGTTTCAAAAACTACCTGCGATGTTGCAAGAAAGAAAGAAATCCCCTTTGTGAGCATGCATAAGTTCCTGTGTATAGCTAAACTTGTTCTTTGGAGTCTGGGTTGTTTCTGCACACCTGCTAATATTAAAATCAGAAGTTACCTCCATAATGCATGCAAGCTGCTCCACTTCATTCTCCCCAGGAAAAAGTGGGTACCCTGTGTAGAGTTCAGCCATAATGCACCCTAGACTCCACATGTCAATAGGGGTTGCATAGGGGTGACCAAGAATCACTTCTGGGGAACGATAAAATCGACTCTGGACATACGTATACACTGGAATAAAAAGGCAGGGGGAAAACATTGGACATGTAAATTATCTCCTCTTCCATTGCCACCGATCCTCGCCTCGATGCAAGTTCCTGAGCTCCTTATCTTAAGTTCCATTATTTTGGTCTTGACCAGAGGTCAAGACCAGAGGTTTCCAACCAATTTGAGTCCAAGGCTCCCTTGACCAACTACATTCTTTCTCCAGTCTATTCATTTATATACATGTTTCTAGAAGACAGTGTGTTGAACTCTCAGTATAGCAAAAGTTGATATTCTAGCTCACAGGTTTTCAACCTTTTTGGGTCCATGGCTCACTTGACCCACTACATTCTTTCTGCGGCACCCTTGTGGGGCTCAGGAGCCCCTTGACTGCAGAGCTGGCAGCCTCTCACCCCTTTTTGAACACCCTCCCTTTTGGAGTGTTCCCTCAGCCTCCTCTCCCCTCTCTCTGGGAGTCCTCTGGGCAGCAGCAGCCACCGACCCTGGTCTCTGAGCTGCCCCATCCACCCCAAAGAGAGGTACCTCCTCACGATGCCTCCCCAGGAGTTTGGAAAGAGGATGCCCCCAGCCTCAGGGGCCCAACAGAGACTGGCCAAAGGTGAACATGAGGCCAGCATCTTACTCACCTGAGGAGGCAGCCGTGGGCGCTGCCTGGCCTTCATGGTGGAAAAACTCCCCTTCAGCACCGGGAAATCCACTCCGCTTCCCAGTGGGGAGGAGTTGCGGTGGACCACATGACCACCCACTCCCCTCCGGGGGCAGGGGACAAAGTCCCACATCCCCCGGAGGTTCCCAGCAATGTCATTTGTCTGCCAGCCATTTGAACTCAGGCGTGAGCCGGATTGGAGAGCGCGTGAAGGATTGGTTGCAGGTGCGAGAGTATTTGGTGGTGAGCCTAGGGCTCGTGTGGCAGTTAGGCATTGGTTTGAAGAAGAGTTTGGATTTGGTATCCCACTTTATCACTACCCGAAGGAGTCTCAAAGTGGCTAACATTCTCCTTTCCCTTCCTCCCCCGCAACAAACACTCTGTGAGGTGAGTGAGGCTGAGAGACTTCAGAGAAGTGTGACTAGCCCAAGGTCACCCAGCAGCTCCATGTGGAGGAGCGGGGAAGTGAACCCGGTTCACCAGATTACGAGTCCACCACTCTTAACCACTACACCACACTGGCTCTGGGGGAGGCGAGGTGTGGCCATCACCTGCCCCTCCAAGCTTAAGGGTATTCCGTTAAAGGAACCCGGGGGTGTGGATCTTGTCCAAAGTCCAGGGCTGGGCTAGGGCCATGCCACGACCCCGTCGGGAACCCAGGGGGAGCTCAAGTTGGTTTGCATCGATGGGGCTCCCCCTACCGGTGATTGACCCTTACTGGACTCCCTGCGTGACGGGCAGGAGTCAGATATAGCCGGGTCAATTCCAATGCCTAAGCCAATACCACTCACATTCTGTAACCAATAAAGTTGTGGCCTAAATTTGCCCAATAACATTAGCCTAATATCTGTGTCCTTGTGTCTTATTCATCAACGAGAGGGTGGTCTCGGGGTCTCGACACGCAACTCAGCTCCCAGGCAGGCCTTGCACACAGTAAGCACAAGAAAGGCTAGCGGAACACCTGCTTGCCAGGTATCCCACTAATTTGTCCATTCCCAACTGCAAGGACTGGAGGACTGGCTGGCTGGGCACCCTCTCCCACTGGCTTGCTTGCTTACTCGAGAGCCAGTGTGGTGTAGTGGTTAAGAGCGGTAGATTCGTAATCTGGGGAACCAGGTTCGCTTCTCCGCTCCTCCACATGCAGCTGCTGGGTGACCTTGGGCTAGTCACACTTCTCTGAAGTCTCTCAGCCCCACTCACAGAGTGTTTGTTGTAGGGGAGGAAGGGAAAGGAGAATGTTAGCTGCTTTGAGACTCCTTCGGGTAGTGATAAAGCGGGATATCAAATCCAAACTCTTCTTCTTCTTCTTCTTCTTCTTCTTCTTCTTCTTCTTCTTCTCCAAGGCCACCTCCACTCCCGGCACTCTCCACCCCCCGAGCAGCCCCACAGGCACCATTCAGCTGAGGCGCTTGTAGCCAGGGCTGCTGCAACAAACAGCCATGCAAGCCAATGGGGGGCAGAGATGTGAAAGGGCATCAGAGGAGGGAGGGAAGGAAAGAGGGACAGAGGCCAGTGTTGATTTCCCTTTTTACTTCAAAAAACTATTTTAAAAATTCATTGTGCCTTTGATGGACTATATGGAACTGGCGGAAATGACTGGTAGAATCCGTGACCAGGGAGAAGAGTCGGTGGAGGAAGACTGGAAGAAATTCAAAGATTATCTACAGAAACACTGCAAAATTAAAGAATGTTAGAGTGATGTTGGATTGAAAATGAGTGGTTTCCAGCTGTACAAGATTTAAAATTATAGATAAACTAAGATTAAGGATTAGGATTAAAGAAGTTTAAGGAAATGGAAATTTGGCTTTTAAGAGGTAAAATTTTAATGTTATATTATATTAAGATTAAAGATTGGGATTAAAAAAGAGGGAAAGAAATTGCTGGACAAACAATTTGAACTGGAATACAAAAGAGGGAGGTATGAGGAGGTCCAGAAAACAAGTAAATTTAAAGATGGAAACGAAAAGGTGATATTGTTTTTAATTGTTCTTTCTGTCTTGTATTTTGTTTTTTCTTTGTTCTTTTTTCTTTTTCTTTTTCTTTTTTTTTGGACTATGTACTGTGCTTTTTTGAATTGTGTATTTTTCGTTTATGTTTTTCTGTTTAATCTTTTATTGAAACCTTAATAAATATCATTAAAAAAAAAATTCATTGTGCCTTTGTTTCTTACTCCCTTGTAAACTGCCCCAGGATTATAAATTTATACTGAAGATGTGGAGTTTGAAGTACATAAGTAAATCAATCAAAAATTAAGAAATCTAATAAAGAAAATTACATCTACTTGACTTTTCTGCAAACCTCTTTGGTGTTCATAGCAGCTTGATCCAAAGTCGATAACTTTAAATGAAACCTGCCCAGGTTGGGGTTGGTTTATTAATATGTTCTCCTAAAATGGGGGAAAGCGAAGAAGGGGGAGAGAAAATATCAACACACATCTATCAGGTTAGCAGACTAACGGCAAAAACATTTTTACAGGGGGAAAACAACCAGACTGCAAATATAGTGGTACCTCGGGTTACAGACGCTTCAGGTTACACACGTTTCAGGTTATAGACTCCGCTAACCCAGAAATAGTACCTCAGGTTAAGAACTTTGCTTCAGGATGAGAACGGAAATCACGCGGCAGCAGTGGGAGCCCCATTAGTTAAAGTGGTGCTTCAGGTTAATAATAATAATAATAATAATTTTTTATTCATATCCCGCCCTCCCCAGCCGAAGCTGGGCTCAGGGCGGCTAACAACAATCAAAATAATCCAACATTCTAAAAACATTCATTATAAAATTAATTAAAATCAAATTAATGACAACCATTAAGCAACATTCTATGCAGATTGCCAGAGGAGGGGGTCAGGCTGCGCCCTGATCAAAGGCCTGGTGGAACAGCTCTGTCTTGAGGGACAAAGGTAGGGTGAGCAAGGATTACTCACCTCCATCACTGGTGTTGTGCAATGCCAGGTCTATAGGCAACAAAACCGCCACCCTGCGAGATTTCTTCAACTCGTAGGGGGTCGACCTGGCTTGTGTGACGGAGACCTGGGTGTGCGAAGGGGCAACAGTTACCTTACGAGAGATGGCGCCCCCGGGTTTCTCCGTCCTCCACCAGTCGCGGACTGTGGGCCGGGGGGGAGGAGTTGCATTATTAATCCGGGAAGATTGTTCTTTCAGGGCTCTACTATCGCCATCGATCCCCGGCATCGTGTTGGCCTAGTGTGGGGCTCCGAGGTGAGCTTGGCTGTCTGGCTGGTGTACCGGCCACCTAGCGTACCAGCAGCCACCCTGTCAGGCCTGCTGGAGGCAGTGGCCGGCTGGGCCTTGGAGATCCCTAACCTATTGGTATTGGGGGACTTCAACATCCATGCTGATGCCACTCCCTCCTCACAGGCTCTGGACCTGGTGTCTTCCATGGCGACACTAGGGCTCTCCCAGTTTGTTTCGGGCCCCACACATCAAGCAGGCCACACGCTGGATTTGATCTTTGGCGTCGGTATAGATGTGATCATGTCTCCTTCGATGAAGGTGCCATGGTCTGATAACTATGCTCTGAAAGCTGAGGTTAAGAACAGTTTCAGGTTAAGAACGGACCTCCAGAACGAATTAAGTACTTAACCCGAGGTACCACTGTAATTGGTCTGCTGCCACCCTTAGCCTGGCTTAAATGTGCCATTCGGTGTATTAAAAAATGTATATTTGTTCATGCAGGGTTCTATATGCTCAATGTTAGAGAACTGAGATCTGAAGTTGGTGGAAATGACCCCCATCAAGGAAGGCTTTTCTAATTCCTTCCCAGATTGGCCCAGCAGGTTTATGTGGCCCCTCTACAGTTATGCAGCAGTTGATTCCCTTTCTGGGGCTAACTTTCATGGTTCCTATGGAACATGATAAAGTCTCAGGGAGGCATGTTTTCAGTGTGGTTGACTAACCTGCCCTTTTCTGACCTGGTCCCTGCCCTTCTGAGCTAAGCATTCAAAGGTGCCAGGGCAGAGGTCAGCAATGTGTCCTTTCAGTCAAGGACGGTCCATTGTCCTCAGTTACTTTGTGGAGCCTGCCTGATGTTTTTACATGAGTAGGATACATGCTTTTATCTAAAATGAATCTCTGAGATTCATTTGTGGGCATAGGAATTTGTTCATTCCCCCACAAAAATACTAGTCCGGCCCCCACAAGGTCTGAGGGACAATGGACCGGCATCCTGCTAAATAAAAGTTTGACTGACATTCTGCTCATGTGCACCTTTGAATGCTTAGCTCAGAAGGGCAGGGACCAGGTCAGAAAAGGGCAGGTTAGTCAACCACACTGAAAACATGCCTCCCTGAGACTTTATCATGTTCCATAGGAACCATGAAAATTAGCTCCAGTGAATGGAATCAGTACTGCTTCAGAACTGTAGCCATGTGGGCAACATGACAACCTGCTGGCCAATCTGATAAGGCATTAGTTTGAGTTCTTGCTGATGAGAGTCAGTTCACCAACTGAATGATCTCAGTTCTCTAACATTGAGCATATAGAACCCTGCATCCACAAAATACATTGTCATACACCTAAAAGAGGAGGTCAAAGATGCTGGGATTTCTCACCAGACACCACCATATACAGTGGTACCTCGGGTTAAGAACTTAATTCGTTCCGGAGGTCCGTTCTTAACCTGAAACTGTTCTTAACCTCAGCTTTCAGAGCATAGTGCTCAGACCATGGCACCACTTTAGCTAATGGGGCCTCCCGCTGCTGCCGCGTCGCTGGAGCACGATTTCTGTTCTTATCCTTAAGCAAAGTTCTTAACCTGAAGCACTATTTCTGGCTTAGTGGAGTGTGTAACCTGAAGCGTATGTAACCTGAAGCTTATGTAACCCGAGGTACCACTGTACAAGGGAAAGTGATTTTAATATAGACAGTGTCTCATAGAAAACAGACCTTCATTAGGAGTCTGTACTAGAGGAAACTGAAATAAACATCATATCTCTAACATAAGCTAATGCTTTGGTCTATATATTTGGTCATATGACACTCAGTGATTTGGAAATTTCACTGAATGGTTAAAGCTTTCCAAACATCACTGCTCCATCAACATAAAACAGCTATTGTGATGTTGAATGCTTAACCATATGAGAGTCATCTATACCTCAGTATTTCATTACTTCCTTTTACTTTCAAAGAGGTCTAGTCAAGCTAGGTAAAAGGTAAAGGGACCCCTGAACATTAGGTCCAGCTGTGGCCGACTCTGGGGTTGTGGCGCTCATCTCGCTTTACAGGCCAAGGGAGCCGGGGTACAGCTTCCAGGTCATGTGGCCAGCATGACTAAGCTGCTTCTGGCAAACCAGAGCAGCACACGGAAACGCCGTTTACCTTCCCGCCGGAGCGGTACCTATTTATCTACTTGCACTTTGACGTGCTTTCAAACTGCTAGGTTGGCAGGAGCTGGGACCGAGCAATGGGAGCTCGCCCCGTTGCGGGGATTCGAACCAACCTTCTGATCGGCAAGTCCTAGGCTCTGTGGTTTAACCCACAGCGCCACCCACGTCCCTTGGGTAGACCCGCGTCCACCCAATGAAATCTAGGCAAGCTAGACATAACATTAAATAGTAACAATGGGAGTTTTCCTTCCAATGCAAATAGCAGCTTCGGAGGAGCATTTATTTTTGCCAGGATAGAAAGCAAGAAGATAAGGGTTAAACTCCCCTTTGCTACTTGCAGCAGTAATCACCCCCAGCACCTACTATTTGCATTTTTTTAAAAAAAGTGCATGTTAAATGCAAATACACACATAATGTCCCATCTTGTTAGGACCTAACTGACCCCATTCATTGAAATGAACTCATTACACAGAAATACACACACACACACACACACACACACACACACACAAACACGGGGGGGGGGGGGAATACTGTAGAATACACAGTAGAATATACAGAATATGAAACAACACAGTTTAAGGGGGGGGGAATGTTTACATATTTTTCTACTCCTTGGTGTAAATAACAATCCATAATGTGCATGAGAGTTAAAAAATTAGCCACTGACAAGGGGCCCAGGAGATTTTAAGTGAGGGAGAGAAAAATAATGTTATGCAATTTTGGAAACAATAATCTTTAGTCTTGTCTAAAGACTTGGACTAGAGGGACGTGGGTGGTGCTGTGGTTTAAACCACCGCGCCGCTTGGACTTGCCGATCAGAAGGTCAGTGGTTCAAATCCCCGCGACGGGGTGAGCTCTCATTGCTCAGTCACCAGCTTCTGCCAACCTAGCAGTTTGAAAGCACACCAGTGCAAGTAGATAAATAGGTATCGCTGAGGCGGGAAGGTAAACGGCATTTTTGTGCGCTGCTCTGGTTCGCCTCATGACCCGGAAAAACTGTCTGCGGAAGCAGACAAACTCCGGCTCCCTCGACCTGTAAAACGAGATGAGTGCCGCAATGCCAGAGTCATTAGTGACTGGACTTACGGTAACTGTCAGGGGTCCCTTTACCTTTAAAGACTTGGACTGTGCTTCATTACACAAAATCTGCAATGATATATAAAAATGGTTGTACTTACAGGCTTTAGATCACAGTGAATAATCTTTTCTGTGTACAACAACTGTAAACATCTTAATATACACAGGGTGAATCTACGAATCAAACCCAGTGTAAAACCTTGGAAATTATTTTTCTTGATTAGTTCATACAAATTTATACTGTGGGGTGAGAGAAAAAAAAGCATTTACACATTATACTGTGAACAATTTTAAATGGCAGAAAATACATATTTCTTTATTCTACTTCTGACTGAAAGGATAAAATCTGAACACACTTAAAGTCCAAGACCATGTCAGAATATTTACATCCTTCAGAGAAAAAGTATGGCTATCTACGCAGTTACCTCATAAAAGTTTCAGCATCTCTAATGGCAGCTGCTGAGCACTGTGATCTAATGCAGCTAATGACGATTGGAGTGAAAACTGATTTGGGCAGTTGTTGTTGTTGTTGTTGTTGTTGTTGTTTAGTCGTTCAGTCGTGTCCGACTCTTCGTGACCCCCTGGACCAGAGCACGCCAGGCACTCCTGTCTTCCACTGCCTCCCGCAGTTTGGTCAAATTTATGCTGGTAGCTTCGAGAACATTGTCCAACCATCTCGTCCTCCGTCGTCCCCTTCCCCTTGTGCCCTCCATCTTTCCCAACATCAGGGTCTTTTCCAGGGAGTCTTCTCTTCTCATGAGGTGGCCAAAGTATTGGAGCCTCAGCTTCAGGATCTGTCCTTCCAGTGAGCACTCAGGGCTGATTTCCTTCAGAATGGATAGGTTTGATCTTCTTGCAGTCTATGGGACTCTCAAGAGTCTCCTCCAGCACCAGAATTCAAAAGCATTTACCGGGAAAAGTTCAAAGTTACCTTGTAGGGATGTGGGTGGTGCTGTGGGTTAAACCACAGAGCCTAGGTGTCAGGGAACTGCCATCAGTGCCGGAGGGAGAGAGCAAAATCCAGAGGGATTCCGGAGAGCGTCCCGGGATTGGGAGAGGCAGCCCATCTTCTGGGGAAGAGAATCAGCGTAGCACCAGTGGAGAAGGGGGGCAGATGGGGGAAGCGGCAAGGCGGTCCCATGACTCCTTGCCGGGGACCAGCGGGGAGAGTAGAGTTCCTCCGCTGCCTACGCCCTCCTTGCGCAGAAGGCTTTCGCGCAGAGAGAGTAGGAGGAGACTAGGCGTCAAAGAGCTTCTTTGCTGGAAGAAGTTCAAGAAACGCCCACTGACGGATTCTGCCAGCGATTGAGACAGCCACGGGTGAGTGGCTGTCCGGACAGAAAAGGTTCACTCAGGCAACCCAGCCAGGTATTTGCACCGGCTTACGCACGAGCAGCCCCTAGAACCACTACATGCAGTTTGGTCAAATTCATGTTAGCAGCTTCGAGAACACTGTCCAACCATCTCGTCCTCCGTCGTCCCCTTCCCCTTGTGCCCTCCATCTTTCCCAACATCAGGGTCTTTTCCAGGGAGTCTTCTCTTCTCATGAGGTGGCCAAAGTATTGGAGCCTCAGCTTCACGATCTGTCCTTCCAGTGAGCACTCAGGGCTCATTTCCTTAAGAATGGATACGTTTGATCTTCTTGCAGTCCATGGGACTCTCAAGAGTCTCTTCCAGCACCAGAATTCAAAACATCAATTCTTTGGCGATCAGCCTTCTTTATGGTCCAGCTCTCACTTCCACACATCACTACTGGGAAAACCATGGCTTCAACTATACGGACCTTTGTTGGCAAGGTGATGTCTCTATTTTTTAAGATGTTGTCTAGATTTGCCATCGCCTTTCTCCCAAGGAGCAGGCGCCTTTTAATTTTGTGACTGCTGTCACCATCTGCAGTGATCATGGAGCCCAAGAAAATAAAATCTCTCACTGCCTCCATTTCCTCCATTGGGCAGTTACCATGCATCAAAGCTGCTCAAATGCCTGGATAGGTCCCCTTAATGACTTCTGATTTTTATATAATTTATTTATTAAATTTTCACCCGGATCTTCCTTCCAAAGGAGCCCGTGGCTGTAGATACTTTGAAAGTTTCATCAAAAAGGATCACTTCCAAGGGGTACAACACTGGAACACCATAAAAATCTTCCCGGTAGGAAATTAGTTCTAGCATACCACAGCAAACCGTACCAGAACTGCTTGGGTTCTCAGATGACAGAAAACCACCATCTTTCATTATGGTTATTTAAAAGAATAGAACCGTAGAATTGTGGAGCTGAGAGGGACCCCAAGAGTATCTAGTGAAATGCAGGAATCTCTACAAAAGCACCTATGTCAGATGGCCATCAAACCTCTGCTTAAAAACCTCCAGTATCAACTTCAAATCATTCTCTTGTGTGTGTGCGCATGTGTGTATTCATTTTAAAGTTCTAAAAGTTGGAGTTTCTAAATATTTTAAGTGCTCATAATACATGCATTCCAGTCTACACAAAAAGAAGAGGGAAAGGGGGGAAATTAGATTGTTTTTTAGACTCTGAAAATAAATTTTGAATGATTTACCAGGAGCGACTGGAAATGCCAAAGATGGTGAGAACCTGTTTCAGTGACGGGATATGCCTCAGGCCAGGCCTGCTCAGAACTTAGTGAGGCCCTAGCCCCAGCCTACCAAAGACACTGAGACCAGGCTGAAATCTGGGCATCTACAGTGGCTGTCTCTCAAAAGAACCCCCCAAAGTGTATTGCCTGAGGAAAGTGTGTAAAGGTAAAGGTAAAGGGACCCCTGACCATTAGGTCCAGTCGTGGCCGACTCTGGGGTTGCAGCGCTCATCTCGCTTTATTGGCCAAGGGAGCCGGCGTACAGCTTCTGGGTCATGTGGCCAGCATGACTAAGCCGCTTCTGGCAAACCAGAGCAGTGCATGGAAACGCCGTTTACCTTCCCGCCAGAGCGGTACCTATTTATCTACTTGCACTTTGACGTGCTTTCGAACTGCTAGGTTGGCAGGAGCAGGGACCGAGCAACGGGAGCTCACCCCGTCGCGGGGATTCGAACCGCCGACCTTCTGATCAGCAAGTCCTAGGCTCTGTGGTTTAACCCACAGCCCTACCCACGTCCCAGGAAAGTGTGTAGGAATCCTCAATTAAAGCCAAAGGTACTGCACTATTATGAATCTTGCTAATAACTAGGACTCACATTTGGGCCTATTCCCCATGGAACCCATAGATCAAGGGGCATCTAATGGACTACTCCCTCAGGATTGGCACAATGAATGATGCTTGAATGTTCAGGCTCCATACAAGGCAGTTTCATACGTTCGAAAATTATAAGTGGATCCGCAATATGCAACCTGATACAGAGCAATGATCAGATCTCCATTATACTGCTTAAAGAGATGTCTATGCTTGTGGAATGGAAATGTGAAAACTTAGTGATTGCTTCCCCTCCCATTCCCCCATCTCCAATTTGGGCGTAAATATACACAACAGTTTACGTAATTGTTACTATAGATAAGGAAAAGTTGTCTTACCCTAACAGTTCAAAGGAAATGCAGAAATGATTACGGAAGTAAAAATATTCTTTCATGTGGACGACATTGTGCGCATTGTCTTCATCCTTTTGCCGTAGAGCATTGAGGATGCTAACTTCTACCAAGGCTTGATTATGAAATCTAAGTGCGACAGAAGGGTTTTGGTTTTCATTTTTTTACACAGGCTGATGCCAGAACCTAGATCATTCCCGTGTGTTGTTGAAAATAGCACTTAAGGCAAATTACTCTTAGCACAGGCACACTACACAAAATACAAAGATGAATGTGACTTTCTATACTTGTCTGATCACAGGAGGGCTTGTCCCATGTGCACTATGCGTGTTCCTCATCATGTGTTTAGTGTGAAGTCTAGAGTGGGCTTCTAACCATGTCAAGCAGTTAGAAACCTCCCCAAGATCTTCGCACCAAAACCAGCCCTCGAAACAACTTACAATTTTGAAAACCTGAATATGAATTTTGTTTGTTTAGTCAGAAAGCTGTAACAATAATTTCTTCAATTTTTTGTTAGCTGAAAATTTTTTACGGGTTTTCTGGCTAAACACTGATTAAATCCACTCCCATCTTCTGCTAAAATAATAAAACAAATCACAATTAAATAAAAAAAAAATTATTTCTATTCAACTAACATCTAACATTGTGGTATCTTGATAAAGTTTATAAAACTTTTGACATACCGTACCTCTTTTTGTTCCTTATTATCTTCACTGCTACTTTTTCACCTGTCTTGTGGTCCAAACACTTCACAACATGCCCAAATGATCCTTTCCCAATAACAGCCAGTATTTCATATCTGTATGCGATATGATCACTTAGAACCTATACAAGGTGACAAAAAGTGGAAAGCAAAAGTAGTACGTGCCCTTGTATCTCTGGTGCTAAAAGGACCTAGGGTCCTAGCAGATCACAAGCTGAACATGGATCAACAGTGCAGTGCAGAAGAAGAAGAAGAAGAGTTTGGATTTGATATCCCGCCTTTCACTCCCCTTCAGGAGTCTCAAAGCAGCTAACATTCTCCTTTCCCTTCCTCCCCCACAACAAACACTCTGTGAGGTGAGTGGGGCTGAGAGACTTCAAAGAAGTGTGACTGGCCCAAGGTCACCCAGCAGCTGCATGTGGAGGAGCGGAGACGCGAATCCGGTTCCCCAGATTACGAGACTATCGCTCTTAACCACTACACCACACTGGCTCTAGAATGCTATTCTAGTCTGCATCAACAGATGTCTAGTGTGCAGATCAAGGGGAAAAATAGTACCTCTCTCTTCTGCCACACCTGGAATTCTGTGTCAAGTTTTTGGCACCACAATTTCAGAAGGATATTGACAAGCTGGAATGTGTGCAGAGGAGGGCGACCACAATGATCACAGGTCTGGAACCCAAGCCGTATGAGGAGTGGTTGAGGGAACTGGGTATGTTTAGCCTGGATAAGAGGCGGTCGAGAGGAAATGTGATAGCCATCTTCAAATATCTCAAGAGCTGTCACATGGAACATGGAGCAAGCTTGTTTTCTCTTGCTCTGGTGGGTAGGACTCGAACCAATGGCTTCAAGTTAAACAAAGTAAATTCCGACAAAACATCAGAAAGAATTTTCTGACGGTAAGAGCTGTTTGACAGTGGAACAGACCCCCTTGGGAGTTGATGGACTCTCCTTCCTTGAAAGTTTTTAAGCAGAGGTTGGATGGCCATCTGTCATGGATACTTTAGCTGAGATTCCTGCATTGCAGAGGGTTGGACTAGATGACTCTCGGGGTCCCTTCAAACTCTACAGTTCTGTGATTCAATGACTCCATGAACAAAACACAAGTACATGTTCCATGCATTCATCACCCAGTGACACGTGGGTAGCAGGAACGCAGGGATTACAGACTGTGGCTCAGATTAAAATCTTCCTTCTCATTTTAGATCAAAATCCAAGCTGAAGAAGAATATAGGCTGTAAATGCTCATCTCATATTTGAGGTGAGCATTATGAGTCCCCAATATTCATATTTCTGAGCCAGGATTTATTAAATGCAATGAGAAAATTACTCTTCACTTCCTCTCATTGGACAGCTCTTACACAAGATGAACACCAATAGTTCTACATTGTTTCCAAAGTCACGGATGCCAAAGCAATACTGCACTTTCAGCCTCTTACCTTTTTGTAGGAGCCATGATCATCATCGTAGGAACTGTTGTTCTCTGCATCAGGATAGGCTTCAATCTTTTTAGCTCCCAGTCCAAGAAACCACAGCTCTCTATATTCCTTAATCTCCCGCTGTTCATACGTTGTTAGCTGGTTTTTAAAATGTTTCAAGGCTTCTGATTTGGAGACAAAAATCAAACACTGAATATTGGATATTGTGTTCATTTATTTATTGCACCTATATATTCTGCCAAGGAACCCAAAGCAGCTCACGAGTTAAATACTAAAGCAAACAAATTGTACAAAATATTGATGAACCAACTTCCTGGCCTGGACTTCTCTTCTCTGCATTCACATAACTTAACCATCATGCAGGTAATAAATAACTTGTTTCCTCGTTCTCCCCATCTCTCAGAATATGCTGTTTAAAGCAGTTCCCCAAAAATGCTGGCTATGGCTGCTGGGAGGTGCAGAATAAAAACATTATGGAGAGCACCGGGTTAGAGGAAGCTAGCTTAGTATTAGTGTCCCTGCATCAGTGAGATCAGTAAAGGTAAAGGGACCCCTGACCGTTAGGTCCAGTCACGGACGACTCTGGGGTTGCAGCGCTCATCTCGCTTTACTGGCCGAGGGAGCTGGCGTACAGCTTCCGGGTCACGTGGCCAGCATGACTAAGCTGCTTCTGGCAAACCAGAGCAGCGCTGGAAACGCCATTTACTTTCCCGCCGGAGCGGTACCTATTTATCTACTTGCACTGGTGTGCTTTCGAACTGCTAGGTTGGCAGGAGCAGAGACCGAGCAACGGGAGCTCACCCCCATCGCGGGAATTCGAACCGCCGACCTTCTGATAGGCAAGTCCTAGGCTCTGTGGTTTAACCCCCATCGCCACCCGCTATTATTATTATCCCTGTAGTGCAAATTGGAGTGGGAAAACTGAAAGGCTGGCCTGAGATCTGCAAGTAAGTTCACAGTTGGGATGTGGTTTGAACCAGGGTTTCCCCACCACTACCCCATTTTATAGCTTATATACTGTATTTACCCACTCCAAGTCTCATTCAAGCAAGGTTATGCTTAAAATTCTACAAGGCAGGCTTAAGCGGTATGTGGACCGAGAACTCCCAGAAGTGCAAGCTGGATTTTGAAGGGGCAGAGGAACCAGAGACCAAATTGCTAACATGCGCTGGATTATGGAGAAAGCTAGAGAGTTCCAGAAAAACATCTACTTCTGCTTTATTGACCATGCAAAAGCCTCTGACTGTGTCGACCACAGCAAACTATGGCAAGTTCTTAAAGAAATGGGAGTGCCTGATCACCTCAACTGTCTCCTGAGAAATCTCTATGTGGGACAAGAAGCTACAGTTAGAACTGGATATGGAACAACTAATTGGTTCAAAACTGGGAAAGGAGTACGACAAGGCTGTATATTGTCTCCCTGCTTATTTAACTTATATGCAGAATTCATCATGCGAAAGGCTGGGCTGGATGAATCCCTAGCCGCAATTAAGACTGACGGAAGAAATATCAACAACCTCAGATATGCAGATGACACAACCTTGATGGCAGAAAATGAGGAGGAATTAAAGAACCTTTTATTGAGGGTGAAAGAGGAGAGCGCAAAATATGGTTTGAAGCTCAACATCAAAAAAATGAAGATCATGGCCACTGGTCCCATCACCTCCTGGCAAATAGAAGGGGAAGAAATGGAGGCAGTGAGAGATTTTACTTTCTTGGGCTCCATGATCACTGCAGATGGTGACAGCAGCCACGAAATTAAAAGACACCTGCTTCTTGGGAGAAAAGCAATGACAAACCTAGACAGCATCTTAAAAAGCAGAGACATCACCTTGCCAACAAAAGTCCGTATAGTTAAAGCTATGGTTTTCCCAGTAGTGATGTATGAAAGTGAGAGCTGGACCATAAAGAAGGCTGATGGCCAAAGAATTGATGCTTTTGAATTATGGTGCTGGAAGAGACTCTTGGGAGTCCCATGGACTGCAAGAAGATCAAACCTCTCCATTCTTGAGGAAACCAGCCCTGAGTGCTCACTGGAAGGACAGATCCTGAAGCTGAGGCTCCAATACTTTGGCCACCTCATAAGAAGAGAAAACTCTGTGGAGAAGACCTTAATGTTGGGAAAGATGGAGGGCACAAGGAGAAGGGGACGACAGAGGACAAGATGGCTGGATAGTGTTCTCGAAGCGACCAGCATGAGTTTGACCAAACTGCGGGAGGCAGTGGAAGACAGGAGTGCCTGGCATGCTCTGGTCCATGGGGTCACAAAGAGTCGGACACGACTAAACGACAACAATTTACCCACTCCAAGTCTCATTCAAGCATTTGTCACAATTTTGTCCTCATCAATTTGTTTCTGTTAAAAAAAAATTAGCATTCAAAATTTGTACCTGCTGAAGTCAGAGGCAGCTTTAGACTGTGGCTTTTTTCTGTTTCTGTCTTGCTGGACAGAACTATAGCACTGTTTTCACGAGGAGCTGAAGAAAATGATTGGCCTGGGGCTCTGTTTTCCTGCTAAAGAGTAATATGGTGCTTTGTAAAACACTTGCCTTAAGTCCATACATCTCAGCCCCTTTTTCTCAGTCCATCTCTACAGTAAAATAATTTCAAATGAGTAATTCTCGTCTGATTAAAACAACAGAGGCCATCTTTAGACAGCTGTAACAAAGGCAATAAAGAGCCTTCTTCCTCCTTAGGCATATAGGCACATATGTATGGACAGGAACTGGTATTTCTCTGCTGGGGGGGGTGTCAGATTTTCCACACCTTCAGTTTTAAAACGACACACACAAACATGCCTCTAAACCGATTTCCTCTTTCTCTTCCTGCTACCCCCACTCCTTGCCACATGCTTCAAGCCTTAAAAATATTTTTTTCAAGCACCTTGAAAGTTTACCCAATTAAAGAAAACATTTTAAAACTTAAAAATAACACCAATTATTTAAATTTTAACTATTGTTCCAGAGAAAGGAAAAGGAACTTTTTTTATGACACAAGAGCAAGCCAGTATCTACTATGTACCATCAGCCACCAGACCTCATCCCTGCAGGAACGACTGTAAAGTATTGTTCCACTTGATCACTCTTATTATGTATGGGCTGTCAGAGCACAAACCTGTGCTCTAAAAGTGCTGGCTAGTAGACTGTAGGATATGGTGGAAACCCAACTACACCTTCATATCTTGAGACAGCAAAGCATCTCTAGGTATATGCCAGCACTAGGTAAAGGTAAAGGATCCCTAGACAGTTAAGTCCAGTCAAAGGCGACTATGGGGTTGTGGCACTCATCTTGCCTTCAGGCCGAGGGAGCCGGCGTTTGTCCACAGACAGCTTTCCAGGTCATATGGCCAGCATGACTAAACTGCTTCTGGCACAACGGGACACCGTGACGGAAACCAGAGCACATGGAAGTGCCATTTACCTTCCCGCCACAGTGGTACCTATGTATCTACTTGCACTGGCGTGCTTTCATACTGCTAGGTTGGCAGAAGCTGGGACAGAGCAACAGGAGCTCACTCCATCACACGGATTCGAACCGCCGACCTTCTGATCAGCAAGCCCAAGAGGCTCCGTGGTTTATACCACAGCGCCACCCATGTCCCAAATATGCCAGCACTACTCCATTCTGGTGCGTCTGCACCACTACGGTGCAGCTCTGCTGGGAGGGTGACCAAAGCAGGAGCAGACTTATACATGCCAAACCAATCCTACGTATTATGAGGCTCACGGCTAATCGTGATTATGGCTAGGAGGTCACTACTCATCCAGAGAACTCCAGTTCCATCCAGCTCAAAGCTTAGTGAAGGGAGGCAGAGGGACCCCCTGATACCGACTATAATGGTGGCATGTGTGTCCCATCCCTCCCACCTGGAGGGCCAGGGCTCCACATTCCTATGCTAGATCCCTTCCTCACGCCCCAGTTCAATCTCACTTCTGCTAGCCTCAGGATCAGATACAGTGGTACCTTGGTTCTCAAACGCCTTGGTACTCAAACACAACTGGGAACCCAAACACTGCAAACCCGGAAGTAAGTGTTCTGGTTTGCGAACTATTTTCGGAAGCCGAACATGCTCTGTTTTGAGTGCCACACTTTTTGTTTTGTTTTTGCAACTGCGTGGAACGCAGTTCAGCTACTGATTGATTGATTGATTGATTGATTGTGTGACTGTAGTACATTGTTTATTCCTTTCATTTTATGGAACAGTGGTCACATTAGATAGTAAAATTCATGTTAAATCACTGTTTTAGGGGTTGTTTTTAAAAGTCTGGAACGGATTAATCCATTTTGCTTTACTTTCCATGGGAAAGCACGCCTCGGTTTTGGAACGCTTTGGTTTTGGAACGGACTTCCGAAACGGATTATGTTTGAGAAGCAAGGTACCACTGTACAGACCTTGACTAAATTGCTACCAGTGCTCAGTGGCTCTGCCATTCTCTGCTCATTCAGGCTCCATGGATTCTAAGTGGGATTGGCTACTGCTGGGATGTATAAGGGATGGGAGTGGCAGGCAGGCGGGCCCAAGAGGATGATAACCACCAGGTGTGGCTAGCTAAGAGGGGAAAACATAGTTTATCAGTGAAAAGGGTGGGCCAAAATGGCTCAATGTTCCATGCAGAAACCTGGTTGCGTGTTCAGACCCAGAGACCTCCCCCCTGGATAAACACACATTTGACTCAAATTTTAGATTTGGTTTTTGCCAGAATTTAGGCCACAACTTTATTGATTACAGAAATGAGTGGTTGCATAGGCTCTGGTTCGACTAGCTCCCTGCACCTTTGCAGGTAGCACTGACCCAGAGCTCTCAGCCAAAGGCGAACCCCTGAGGTGGGTGGAAAGCCTGGGAATGGACTATGTCCACTCCCCCAGATGCTCTCCTGGACTCAGGCATGGGCACAACCCCTTCTCAGGGGTTGACCAAACCAAGTTGAGTCCCTGGATTCCTTTAATGGAATACCCTTCACATAGGGATGGCGAGAGCGTTCTCCCATCCCTATCACCTGAACCAGAGCCTATCCGCAACCTTACAAGTTGTGACGATTTGCTACGCAGTTGGCGAAACCCAAATGGCACCAGCCAATCAGCCAAGTGGGGGAAATTCCTGCCATGCCCCTGTCCCAATGACAGACGACACACGACGGCATAGCAAGGTCAAGCGCAAAATGCCTTAAATATAGGGAGAGGTGGGCGGGTGTTCTGATGCACGAGCCGAAAGAGGAAGCTCTGGGTCACGTGCATGGGTTTATATAGGTCCCTCGGTCCGTTTAGACAGCTCCCCATTGGCCAGATTAAACCTAGCAACAAGGGACCTACCAATCAGGTGTTGTGGCTGTCCAATATACTCACCCACAACCAGGCGGTTGGTCTCCAGGTCTCACCGCAACACGTGCCCTCTTCTAGAGAGGACATGCTCTACAGAACACACCCCATGTTTGTCTCAACCACCACATTCTCTTGGGGCCCTCTGTGTGTGTCTGTGCTCTTGTCTTCTGCAAGAGGGTACCACACCCTGGATTTGGAGGTGAGGGTTACTGTATATAAGGCCTGAGCTTTTCTACCAGGTTAGGTAGGGCTCCTTCTACAATCAACATGATCTCCATTTACTAAATAACTCAGAATTTCCTCCTGCAGTTTTGAAAATCTTAAGAATGCCTGGTAAACATCAACGTTTATAAAATAAAAATAAAACTTCTGACACCATGAGATGCACGCATCTACATACACGATATTCCGCAACTTTTCTAACCACAACAATGAAACGTAAAAACGTAGTACTGATCTCTGTTCGGCTTACCTGATGCAACGCATTGACATTCTGCAAGTTCTTGGCGGTTATTTGCGGAAGGATAGCATCTTGCTGCTGCGACTTCACAGCACTTGAAACCAAATTGCTCTTAACTTGGCACTCCAGGTGAGGGAGCACGCTTATGCTGCTATTTAATTTCTAATGGGATAAATAAAGTTAGCACAAAAAGAAATAGTTTGGATTTGGTTTCATAAAGTATTTAAAACATTAAAAAATAACTTTTGCGGGGTATATGAAATCACGAGCAAACAGATTTACACAGCAAATTGATTAACGAGTTTTGCCTGCTGCAAGAAGTGAACTAACTGCTCCCCTTTGTGTCCTTTAGTATAGGAAAGTCCTGGCTCCTGGACAAGCCAGAGGATTTAGATGAGTGGAGTATATTTCTCCTGCCTGGTTCTAAACAATAGAGCAGGGGTCAGCAACCTAAGGCCCACGGGCCACAAGCAGCCCACGGGGGTCATTTAAATGGCCCCTGAGACACCCCTGAACCGAGCCACCCTCTCTGCGAGTCCCCGCACACTGCACTGGAAATAGCATCTGCACATGCGCAGACGCCGGAAATCGTGTCTGCACAGATGCAGGCACGCACACTCGCACGTGCGTGTGATCCGGCCCAAGGAGGGATCTCCGCTGGAGTGAAGCGGCCCAGGCGAGGTAAACCTTGCCAACCCCTGCAATAGAATCCAGACCCTTCCCACAGAAGTTAGGAAAATAGACTGAGAGTGTTCCCCAGGAAGTAATTTCCAGCAGCAACCTGAACTCCATATATGTGGAATCCTATTTGTAATATATTCAGGACATGGGGAAAAAATAGATTTTTTCAGGAAAGGGGAAATGACAAGGAACAGAGGCTAATTTTTTAAACAAAGTCCCACAGTTTCTCAGATGTTAATGGCCCAGAGATGGAAAAAAGACCAAGTCCCGACCAGAGAAGAATGGCAGATTAAGTTGACGGATTATGCCAAAATGGCAAAAATGACCGGAAGAATCAGAAACCAGGAATACCAAAATTTTAATAAGGAATGGGGGGAATTTATAATTTATCTTAAAAACCATTGCAAACAGTTAAAATTGTTAGTAGGATTGGAATAATACTTGTAGTTTAATGTTGAATTTTAAATATATGGAGATGTAAAAGATTTGGATTATTATAAAAGATGCAGGAGGAAATGGTTAACAAAAGGACCCACAAAGGGGAGGAGGGAAGTTCAGGAAATTCTTTGGAATCTTGTTTTTATTTTGGTTGTTGATAATTGACTGCAAAACTTTAAACTGAAAAACCAAATAATTTTTTAAAAAAATTAAACAAAGTCTCCCACTCAGTTTATTTCAGAGTTGGCAAGTTTGCTTGGCTTTGCTTTATTATATTGCCATATTGCTTTTCTTTCAAATGAATCGCAAAGCGGTTTACAAACCATACATAGCAATAACAGAACAGAACATCACAAACACGGCATAAATCTCACCAGGCAATTAACAAATCATCAGCTAAACAATTGCAATCTACAAAATACCATTAACGAAACAACTAAAAAAAAATTAGCTAAACAGCACAAATGCAACAAAAGTCATATTATAGGATGAACAAATTAATACGGCATTTAGAATCAATAAAACAATATTAACAGATTTTACCAAAATAGCAACCCAAAAATAAACTAAGCACTGCTAAATTCACATACACACACTCGCCACCCCCATAAGTCATAATCTTTCACTCTATTCAGTCCATTAAAAGACACAAACGCAGAACAAGTAAAACCAACCGGTTGTAATGTAAAGCTGTTTGAAAGTGTGCTATATTATCATTGCCTGGAGACAGATGAAAGTTGCCTTTTAGACTTCAGGATAAATAGACCTATATGTTTACTTGGATCACTTGTCCTGCTTTAATAAACTCATCAAGTATTTCCTCCCTCTTTTTTAAAAAAAGAATGCACCTTTTTCTTTTCTTCAGAAAGCATAGTAATAGTAATTTAGGACATGATTTATGAAGAGTTTTAAAAAATGCTAAAACATACATTTCAGAAAAAACAAAAACCCAGAAATGTTTTTATTAGGCATTTTAACAATAAACATTCTAAACGAAACCAAAAGACTGTTTCTTTATGCAGTTACAGCAGCCGGAATCGTAATAGCGAAATATTGGAAGAACGAATCAACACCAACAAGAGAGGAATGGCAATTAAAATTATGTGAGTACTTGGAACTCGCTAAAATGACGGAGTTAATAAGAAACAAATCGGTAGATAAGGTTGAAAAATAATGGGAATGTTTTAGTAACTATTTGACAAAACACGGTTCCAATAATAACACTTGGCTGTGTCTAGAATAAATTTCACAGATAGAAAAATATTACTTTTTCACCCCAAGGTGAGGACAAACAATTAAATACAGATTAAAAATAGGAGTAAGTTGAATTGAAACCGCAAAGAGTTAGGCGGAAGTCAACAAAACAATAAATTGATAAGGGATTCAATCCAACATGAAGGATTTTGTGTACAAAATACCCTAGTATTGGTTTGAATTGGTTGAATATTGCTTATTGATCGATAGGAATTTTTAGTTTTAACACTTTTCCGGTTGTTTTTCTTTTCAATGTTATTATAAGTATATATTTATAATATCTTAAATTTCTAAACAATTTTACTATGTATATTGTAACATTCATCTTAGTCTAAGAATGCTGTAAGATTGACTTATCTTTCCCTTTTTTATGTTTTTTTTGTTTTTCTTTTGTGAAAATTTTGAAAATTAAAAATTGAAAAAGTAATAGTAATTTAGCTAAATCATAGCAGCTTCTACTTAACACAGAATATACAAGTTAAAATATACTTCTGTTCCCATACTGTATGGCGGAATGCCCATATCACACTGCAACAGCCGTATTATGAACCAACATAGACACACACAGTTTGCAGGAAAGAAGCAAAACAAACTTTCAACAAGGGTTACCTTCGGCTGCACTCTGCGGTTCCTCCTCATTGGTAAACAACAGACGTTGAAGACACTGAGATCACAAAAGTTTGGGGCACGTCTTTCACACCCCATAATGACAGAGCTCCATGATTTAGGCCTGTCTCCATTAAAATGTTCACTCTGAAAAGTGAAATCCAACACCACTCTTTTTCTAATCCAAAAATGTCACAGCAAGATGGAATCTATCAATAATATTAGTCAAGTGTTCTATTTTAAAAAACACAAAACAAAACATCAATCTTTAGTAGATTGATATTTTAATGTTTCTCTCACAACATGAGCTCAGTAAACATGAAGGAAATTGTGAATATTCGCATATTCTGTATGCAGGTGTGTCAAGGAAATCCTGGAGATGTTAACAGGAGCACGTTTGTCAGTGAGAATAATGAATGAATCTTTATTTGCGACAGCCATCAGTAAGATGTCAGTGAGATTCATTTCTACAAAAATGTTTCCTGAGAACCAATATGTATAATTTCTTCTCTTGTTATTAAAATAAATATTACTCTCTTTCAAAAATAACAAGCACCACAGGCGATTCGGCCTCTACAGAAAAATTATAGGATTAGAACAGAAACATATATGTGCCTTTTTATAACTTTTGCGGCTTGATTTTTTTATATATATATAAAGCAGACCTCATTGAAAGTTTCTATGTAACTTTCTCATTTTGCTATTTTAAAAATGTCTATGACTTCAGGAACATAAGAAAATTCACATACGCCAATTATACTGCTGCAGAACGGGGGAAAATTGAGGATGAGAAAGCAAAAGACAAAAGAAAATTTAGAAAGTGTCAAAGGGCAAGGATCATCCCACGTGAGACAAAGATGAAGAGAAACATTATCAGAACATAAAAACAAGTTTGGTTTCAATTTTGTCACGAATAGCCCAACATCCTGAATATTTCAATAAATTTCTACAGCTATTTATTCAGTTATTTTAAAGTTGAACTGTTTTGCAGGGGCACCGTCACGAACTGGCTGGATGCAGAGTTGTAGAAGGAACCGGCTGGGGAACCCCCAATGGAAGAAGGCTCAGAGTCAGGGGGTTGGTGGTGGGATGGTGATGGAAAATCAGAAGGAGAAGAGGGAGGAGGTGGTTTCAGAAGCTGAAGAGATAACAGGGTTTAGTGAGCTGGGAGAGTCTTCTTCTTCTTTGATGATCACTCACAGCCAAGTACAGTCATACCTCGGGTTAAATACGCTTCGAGTTGCGCGCATTCGAGTTGCGCTCCTCGGCAACCCGGAAGTAACGGAGCGCGTTACTTCCAGGTTTCGCCGCTTGCGCATTCGCAGATGCTCAAAATGACGTCACGCGCATGCGCAGAAGCAGCAAAAAGTGACACGCGCGTGCGCAGACGTGCCATCGCTAGTTACGTTTACCTCTGGATGCGAACGGGGCTCCGGAATGGATCCCGTTCGTATCTAGAGGTACCACTGTAAGATTGTCTTCCATAAACACGGTTTTAACAATGAGTCCGTAAGTGACTGTGAAGGCCAATTCTGGATCCACATGTTCCACAGTGGGGACATTGGTTTCCGGGCAGGAGTTGATCACGGTGTGGATTTGCCAAGCATACCTTCCTCTTAGAATGTTTCTCCCTTGCATCCTGAGTTTGAGTGTCTTCAAAGCCCATGACACCTTTGGTAAAGGCTGTTCTCCAATTTGAGCGCTCGCAGGCCAGGGTTTCCCAATTGTTGGTGTTTATCCTACATTTTTTAAGATTTACCTTGAGACAGTCTTTAAACCTCTTGTGATGACCACCAGCATTACGCTTTCCATTTTTAAGTTCGGAATAGAGTAGTTGCTTTGGAAGACAATAATCAGGCATCCGCACAACATGACCAGTCCAATGAAGCTGACGTTGAAGAATTATCGCGTCAGCACTGGTGATCTTTGCTTCTTCCAGTACACTGGCATTAGTTCGCCTATCTTCCCAAGTGATGTGAAAACTTTTCGGAGACACCGTTGATGGAAACTTTTGAGGAGTTGAAGATGACGTTTATAAGTGGTCCATGTTTCATAAGTATACAGTAAGGTTGGTAGTACAATAGCTTTGTAAACAAGCAGTTTGGTTTCCCTGAGAATGTCCCAGTCCTCAAACACTCTGCACTTGAATCAGGAGGAAGCTGAACTTTCAGAGCTCAGGCAATGCTGGTTTTCGGCATCAATGTTGGCCCTTGTGGAAAGATAACTGCCCAGGTAGGAGAAGTGATTGACATTTTCCAAAGTCACAGAGAGCAGTCGAGAATCAGAGACAAAAGTAGAGGGGGGCTAAAAGGCAAAGAGGAAGCCAGGTTGTCTCCCCCTCCTGCTGTGACCAGCTTCACCCCCACCCCCAGTCTCCCAGGACCAGAAGAGATATGAAGAAGACAGACAAGATGACAAAGTCTCAGATTGCTTAGGAAGGACCTGGGGAAGTAGGAGACTTCGGGAACTGTGGCAAAAATTCAGATTTGTCAGACAAGCCTGAGTATTCACCACACAGCATCATGCAATTAAAAATAGAAATTTACACCTCAGACAAAAGCAGCCATCCCAAAATTTCTAATGTAAAGTTTGAAGTTTTGAGGTCCTATGTGGAATATCAATTTGCAGAGACAATTTAGATTAATAATAATAATTTTATTATTTATATGCTGCCCATCTGACAGGGTCTCCCCAGCCACTCCAAATATTAAAAACACAATAAAACAGCAAACGTTAAAAACTTACATTGACATCTCCTTGACGTCTGATGGGAGGACATTCCCACAGGGTGGGCCCCACTACTGAGAAGGCCCTCTGCCTGGTTTCATCTTATTATTTAGGCTTCATATTTTAACCACACATTTTAAAAACATTTAACATGTGCTTTACGAAAAGGCACCTACACAGAAAAGGGATTAACAGGGCAGTCTGGTCTTGAAAGTCTAGGGGGAAGTACTGAAGAGATCTGGTGTGAAACCAAGGGAGCTTTAAGACAGAGATTGTAAGTGGGTCCTGGGATAGCAAGAAGTGACCATCCGTCTATCTCAGGAATGACACATAATTTACAAAGGAGAGGTATAATTTGCTGAATGTGTTCTTCTGCTCTGCAGGTATTTTCTATTACAGTGGTACCTCGGGTTACATACGCTTCAGGTTACATACGCTTCAGGTTACAGACTCCGCTAACCCAGAAATAGTGCCTCAGGTTAAGAACTTTGCTTCAGGATGAGAACAGAAATCGTGCTCCGGCAGCACGGCGGCAGCAGGAGGCCCCATTAGCTAAAGTGGTGCTTCAGGTTAAGAACAGTTTGAGGTTAAATACGGACCTCCAGAACGAATTAAGTACTTAACCCGAGGTACCACTGTAGTTGCTTGTGCTGCTATGCTTAAATAAAGTGATTTGTGAACTTCTACAACAAGAAAGTGTGGTTGCTCCCAGTTTGATTGCGGCTGCTGTGATAGCTTTCCGAAGGGCAATGGTGTCCACTCTGCAAAAAACAGCTTCTGCACTACGGTAATGTTGACCAGTTCCTAGGCAGCGTATCATTAAGAAGCACCTTCGATGTGACAGTCACCACTGGTGTGTTGACTTTGGGAACAGCTGGAAGATATGTCCTTAGGTAGATGGTGGAACTTACTGCAGAAGACGTGAGTAGCTTTTTGAAAGTTTATGCCATCCTTTGCATAGCAGCTTGTGGAAGCATATCAGAAACCGAGGTGTTGTGGAAGGAGGTGCTGCTGAATAAAGTAGATGCTATCTTTGCCAGCTGGATGCTGACTGTGTAGCTTCTTACTTTGCCAGCCAGATTAATCCAGCCAGAAATTTTCCACTACCCAGCAAGAAGCCTGGGAAGGTCTGCCCCAGAGTAGTTCTTCCATGACCTCCTACTCCCCTGAACGCTCCTCTTCCTTTCTGGGATTCAAGCACAGCTGGAACTGAGAAAAAGTTACAAAGGTATTGGATCTTCCCCAGATTTTTCCTTTTTTCTGAGCATGTTCATCAGGATCCCTGCCTTATGAGGAGGATTTTGTGGGTTTTCAGGGTTCCTCTGTTTTCTGGGCAAGTTAAAAGGTACACGGGACAGTTCGGTTGGACGATGCAAGCTCTGTGCTCACAGCATGTTACAGAGGCCTGGAATTTCTTTGGTTTACTGCTGGTTGTCCCATGATGGTGTCTGTTTTTGGAACCTGATTTAGAAAGGCTACAAGATTGCTGAGTTCTCTTTTTTTTAATTTTTATTGATTTTAACATATAAATTATAAAATATACCACAAAACTTATCACTTATACAATCTTGTTAGACTTCCATCAGCACCTCTGATGATCCACCGTTTTAACCACTTCTTATGCATTTCTTAACTTTATATTGCCTTTACATCTCTTAACAGATCATCCTTCCCCTTCTCCATTTTTGCGATACTTCCAATAATACTCCTCACAAAACTTCTTGCAAATCTACAAAAGTCGTCTCATCTTCACAAATACTTTTCAAACAGTCCATAAATTTACTCCAGTCTTCTGTGAATTTCTGGTCCCGCTGGTTTCGAATCCTTCCTGTTAGTTTATCTAGTTCTGCATAGTCCATTAACTTCATCCTCCATTCTTCAATCATCGGTAATTCTTCTTGCTTCCATTTTTGGGCCAGTAATATTCTTGCTGGTGTTGTTGCATATAAAGAGTGCTTACGTTCCTTTCTATTTATATCACTCCCCACAATGCCCAGTAAAAATGCTTCTGGTTTCTTTATGAATGTATATTTCAACATTTTTTTCATCTCATTATATATCATCTCCCAGAAGCATTTCACCACAAGATTGCTGAGTTCTGACCGCCTGTTCTGTGCCTACAGGGTGAGCGGTTTTCGGGCAACTCCCGCTTCCACTCCTAGAACAGCCTTCTGTTAGGGGATTTAACTCATATTCCCTTCATTTTGTCTTCAGGTGTAGTATTTGTTTGAGCTGATATGAGGGAAGCACTTGTCCATTGGCAGCTTCCAGCCCTCACGTTCTTTTAGTCACTCTGCTGGTCTCGGTTGGGAGGGTCAACTGCGGCATGGGGTGGCTGGAGGTAGATGTTGGACGTGAGCCCTTTTGGAGCTTGTCTCTGGCAAAGAAGGCATGAAGTCTTTTGGGGAGTAAGGGAGTAAGCCCTTCCACATCCCGTTTTATTTCATAAGATTGTTCTCCTGATCCCAAGCAAATGGCCTTTCTCCCAGGCTAGTTGCCCTCCTACAATGGAAGGGAAAGCTACCTCTGAAATCAAACTTCTACATCCAGCTTTTGAAAATGGCTCATAGAAAAGGAATAAGAAAAGTGGTTTGAGGCTATGTTGAGATGACTGTTCTGTGGAAGCAGGCAGAAATTCTATGTCAGTCAGAGCATAATGGAACTCCACTGCGTTGGGGCACCATGCCCCTTTAATCATGCAGTCTAGACTGGAATATAGAATTTGTGCAAATGCTTTGTTTTTCAAGAGACAGAAAATAAAACAAATCCCAATTCCGCTATATAAACTGAAAGTGAATTCTGCTTCCATCTCTGCTGTCTAAGACTAATTACAGTTCTAGCCAGGTTCTTCATAATGGCAGAGATGTTGTGGGAACCCAAAGGGGAAGGTTGGTTCAGGTATGGAGCACTTTTGCACTCAAGGAAAGGTTAACGTTTATTATGGCTGCATAGTCAAGGACACGTCCACAAGTTGGATGTGAATATGAACATGGGTTGCTGTTTCTGCACTTTTGTCAGCCATGGTTCACACATAAGGACTTTCCATTTTATGCCTCCAAAATGTATCTAATTGTTTCCGATCCACACTAGTGGATGGTACTTGATGTGAAGCCTTTGTGCTGTATGTTTTTTCTTTCCCTCAATTAGTGCTTCCCCAACCTCAATGAATTCTGGAAGAAGAGTTTGGATTTGATATCCCTCTTTATCACTACCCGAAGGAGTCTTAAAGCGGCTAACATTCTCCTTTCCCTTCCTCCCCCACAACAAACAGTCTGTGAGGTGAGTGAGGCTGAGAGACTTCAGAGAAGTGTGACTGGCCCAAGGTCACCCAGCAGCTGCATGTGGAGGAGCGGGGAATCGAACCCAGTTCGCCAGATTACAAGTCCATCGCTCTTAACCACTACACCACACTGGCTCTGGAAGCTTGAGGCCCCTTGTTGGCATGCCCAGATATTTATTTATCTGTGCATATGCTCCTTGTTTTTTCTCTCTATTTTTTTTTATAAGATATTTATTGAAATTTTTAAAGTGTTACAAAATAAAATAGAAGCAAAAGAAAGTACAAAATAAAAATAGTTAGCAAAGTAGAAAAAGAAAAAAAACAAACCCCTTCCAACCATATGAATACAAATTCAAAAGCAAGAAAAAGTGACAGAAAAAAAAGAAAAATACAAAAATACATCACAAACAATTAAAAACATTTAAAAACAAATTCATTATTTTCAAATCCTCAACTGTCATTGCCTTCTTTCTTAGACCTCCTCCTCCCTTTCTTTGTATCCTAGTTATTAATTATCCCAGCAAATCCTTTCCATATTTCATAATATTCTGTCATTACATTACCCTAAACTGTTTTAATCTTATCTTTCTATAATAAAATAAATCTTAAAGCTTAAAACTTAAATCTTATCCTTACCAACTTCTCATAACCATAATATTCTTTCATAATTCTTTAAACATCTTTGCTAAAGCCAAGTAATTTCATTCCAACATTTTTCTGACGTTCATCAATTTTATAAAACAGTTCTAATGGTAGAGAAAAGAGATACAAACAGATCCAATCTTCATCCAACGTCCCTTCCTCCTGGTTCCGGGTTTTGTCAGTCCTTATTGTCCCATCGATCTAGCCCATTAACCTGGCAACCTTATATCCGAGGCCCTCAAGTCTCTTCCATGTCCCTTCCACAGCTCTTCTTCATATTTGTAACTGTATTTTCCCTTGTCTCCTGCTCGTGGTAACTCCAGCTTGACAATGTTTTTAGCCCTTCTCGACAGATCAGCCCCTTTTCCATATTCAACACTAAATTCCATATGGTATTTAAAAGCATGTTTCAAAGACCCTCCAAAATTAAGAGCCCCCACAATCCCAAACATCTCACGGCCCATTGCCATATTTGAAAAGTCCAAACATCCCAGCATAGGGGGGTCAATCCAGCCCCCCATTTCCAAGCCAAACCAAACTTTTTCTTTCCAAATCTGGCTTTTTCCAAGTTCATTTGTCAAATCCGAAAACTCATATTCCTGTTGGGCCTGTTCTGTCAAGACACACTCCTGATTTAATTCCTGAGTGGGCTCCACATATTTTCCCACTGTCTGTTCAAAATTTCCCACTGCCTGTTCAAAATTTCTAGTCGAAGTCGCCATCCAATTCACCTTCTCATGTAACTGTTCCAGTAGGGCATTTGTTTTAAAGAACGCACACAACAAAGCTTCTGAATACATTGTCCTGCAAGGTCAGATGCCTGTTCCCACGATTGTAATCTGTAACAGCTGCCGGCTCCCTGGAATTGGTTACAGTTTCACAGTCTCCCTCTAGGGGGAAAATTTCTATTTGTTCTTGCAACAAAGTTTCCCTTTTTGAGATACTTTGTCAATATTTATTCCTTTAAAATGCGAAGGGGAACAGTGGAATCACTATGTTTCTCTTCTTTTAGCTATCTGTCAAAAACACTTGTCTCTGGTCAATGAACTTCAAACGTCAGTCCTGACACCCCGCTCCAGGATCAGGACGGAGGAAAGTTACTTTACTTTAAACTCACTTTAAACAATACAAAAAAGACCCCCCCCCTTCTCCTGCTGTCGAAGGGGGGTTCCACAATTTTAAATGATGAAATCCAATCCTTTAAAGGTGATTTTCTTAGCTCTAGTTTACGTTGTCTTTGCTTTATTCTGTTTACAAAAGAACGGAAGGCTGACTTCCTGTTTAGACCTTCCCGTTCCGTACCAAATTAAAATAGGTTTTTAAGATCCAATTCTTTTCTGCTCGCTAGTCCTTATTTGATGTCCAATTGTTCAAAGTCTAAGTACTCACAGGTGCTTATTTTAAAGTCCTAATTGTCCCAGGAAAAAGGCAGCGCTCTCCGGCAACAGCTATGCGGCTTCGCTCCACGGAAATAGCAGTTGACTCAGAGCACCGCGCCACTTCCCCCTCTTCACTTCGGAGCCCGTTAGTGGGCTCCTTAGCGAGTTGGGGGGGGCGCTAAAGGTGCCCGCCGAGTCTCATGGTCACAGGCTACATCCGCCTGTGATTTTTGAAAGGGTCCCCGCTTCGCCGTAGCGGAGAAGACCCGTTTCCCGCGGAGCTAGTCCCTCCAGTTCAGAGGGAGTCCGCCATTGCCGGTGGCGCCACCCTGGAAGTCTCCTTGTTTTTTTCTCTCTAAAGAGTCTAAAAAATATGTACAAAGTAAAGTTTAAAAAATGGTCATTTTGAAACAGCAAGTTGAAAATAAAATGTGCATGTGTGTGTCAGAGAGCAAAGAATAGCCAGGCGTCAAGATATGAGTGGCACTGATTCACTCACAAAGGAGAGAGCAGAGAACCAATTGGGTGGAGGCAATCCAGTTGAGTGTTTTCTGAAGTTCCCTCCTTCCCAAGGCTTTCCCATTCTTACAGCTGTTTATTCCTAAGTACATTCCATTGAAGTGAGGCTTAACTATTTTGAAGCAATGGCTGCCTTTACCATTGCAGCCCGATCTTCTCTAGCCGACTGCTGACCTTGAAAGCTGTTGGGGGCATGGTGACAAACAGCAAACACCACCAGAACCCACCTACCCAATTTTATGTTGAATTAACTTTGCTTCACAAAATTTCCTTGGGTGGAGTTTACTGTGGGAAAAGTGGGGGCTGCCAGTCGAATGAGGAGGATGCCATGTGGACAATACCAAAAATATTGAGACACAAGCAACTGCAAATCTGTGAAGAAGCAATCTAACTTAAAACACAGTGAATTACGGTCTCTTCATACACATTCCCACCCACTCCTGGAGTGAGATCAACTTCCTCAAGATGCAATCCCATGCTTCTGAGGAAAACACCAGCAGCTCTGCTGCAGGACCAATCAAGCCAGGTTCCCTCTTCACTGCAGAGTGAACTGCTAAAAATAAATTAAACCCTATGTATCTCACCTGCGGATGCCGGTCTTTATGATTTGTCAGCCCTAAGTTTCCTTTCTTGAATTTGTGTGTCAGGGATGTGTTTTCTTGGGGAATTAAATGAGGTACCTCCCGTTGTCTTTGGATCACAGCTTTGGGATCAGGTAGAGTCTGTAACAGCAAGCCAAGAAATTATGAGCAACTTCCCATGGTGCACATTCTAAACCCTGAAAAGGTAACTTTGAACTTTTCCCGGTAAATGCTTTTGAGTTATGGTGCTGGAGGAGACTCTTGAGAGTCCCATAGACTGCAAGAAGATCAAACCTCTCCATTCTTAAGGAAATCAGCCCTGAGTGCTCACTGGAAGGACAGATCATGAAGCTGAGGCTCCAATACTTTGGCCACCTCATGAGAAGAGAAGACTCCCTGGAAAAGACCCTGATGTTGGGAAAGATGGAGGGCACAAGGAGAAGGGAACGACAGAGGACAAGATGGTTGGACAGTGTTCTCAAAGCTACCAGCATGAGTTTGACCAAACTGCGGAAGGCAGTGGAAGACAGGAGTGGCTGGCGTGCTCTGGTCCATGGGGTCACGAAGAGTCGGACATGACTAAACGACTAAACAACTAAACAACAACAACAAGTCATAAACAAGCCTTGGGGAAATGTGCCCATTTCAACAGTGGGAGAGAGAGTACGTGAGCGACAAAGAGGGAGGGAAGGAAGGAGACAGGGCAGGCGAACGGGTTTGGTAGTCATCTTCCCTGCCTCACACACGTCTTATTAATTGTAGTCTTCCCTCCTGCCAAGCGGCAGAATCGTGGGGAGCGGGAGAGAAGATGTGGCTGAGCCTGTTTTCTCCGGCTGCTCAGCTCTAAGGAGGGAAATGAATACAGGTGACCCTTGTTTTGCGGGGCGGGTCCTGTTCTGGACCCCTGTTCACGTCAGAAGAAGGGCATGTAAACCCGCCCCACCCCACCCCTTTGGCATGATGGGGGCGTGTGCACAATCACACATCATTCGGACAGTCCTAAAACAGGAGCTACCTGTACAGGAGTATAGGAAGAGAGCTCTTGGCCGAGGGAAGGGAGCATAACTGCAGATCATACTTATCTCTTTCTCCAGTCATTCTTAGCTGTTTGACCACTCAGGGGTCCGCAAACTTTTCAGCAAGTTCACTGTCCCTCAGACCTTGTGGGGAGCCGGACTATATTTTTTTGGGGGGGGGGGAATGAATGAATTCCTATGCCCCACAAATAACCCAGAGATGCATTTTAGATAAAAGGACACATTCTACTCATGTAAAAACACGCTGATTCCTGGACCGTCCGCGGGCCGGATTGAGAAGGCGATTGGGCTGTATCCGGCCTCCGGGCCGTAGTGTGCCTACCCATGGCTTAGTTCTATGAATAGATAGGTGGCAGTGATACAGACCCCTGAACCCCCAATCTATTTATACACACACCCTCACACGTCACCCCCACCTTTCTGTTCATACAACTGAGCACACTACTAATCCATTCACTGGGTGTGATGCGTTTGAAAGGGAAGATATTGTTATGATTATTAATACCACACATTTTCATCCGATGGGACCCAAGGAGGCTTACGGATAAAAAACTAGAACCACTATAAAAACACAGAGAAATCAATCATTAAAAATCAATATTCACTCACACACACACACACGTACTTCAACTTGCCTTGATATTTGCATTATTTGTAGCTATGAAGACGTGCAACATACAGTTTAGCAAATGAATTGTTCATGTATGCAATGGATCATTATAAATAATTATCAATTGACTGCTTACCAAAGGTAATTGGGCATAAGCTGCTTCACTTGATGCTTGATCTATCTTTGTTTTGCTTCCTGTGTGGCATATGTCTCCCTTAGGAGTCTTCCCTATTTAGAAAAATATAGGTTAGGAGTCTTTCTACACAGGAGGCATATCTAAGTTTTACTGGGCCTGTCACTTAAAGATAAAACTCACTGTGTTCAATGAAACTTACTCCTAGGCAAGTATCCACAGGTTTGCAGAACATTGTAACTGCCAAAGCCTTCCCTAAAACAGGAAGAGTCAAACTTTGCAATCTTGAGAGATTTTATTCTCCAGATAGTGACCCAGGGGCCAGATGTGTATTGTTGTGAGTTTGGGGGGGTGGGGTTCGGGATCCAGGGAGCAAGTGACCCAGGAGCTCAGCTGCAAGGCACCTAGATGGCAGGTTATCCCACACTAGGAACTTAGGTAAAAGCAAGCCCTAGGCTCTCTGGTTTAGACCACAGCGCCACCCACATCCCATACTACGTGTTAAGTTGTGGGTGAACATATCAGACGACACAGCGATTTTTCAAACACCTCTTGTTTATTCAGAGGCCAGAACAGAACTGAACCGAAGGGTTCAGCCAGCCTGCCTATATAGAGCTCCACTAGAACGCAACAGTAACCATTTTCTGTAACTATCCAATCACTGAACGTCACTTTCGATCCCTTATTTGCATATGTGGACCTGAGTGAAAACCATCTACAGTATCCCCCTGCTGGCCAGGGTGAGAACTTCAGTACATAACACTAGGAACTTAGGTTGGGTTTGAAAAAAATAAATAAATAAAGATGGGAATCTATGCATTATGGTTTATGGTGGGGGGGCAACGGCAGGTGAGACAGGCACCCATGAAAACAACTTAAGGCTGCAATTCTAAATCTTATTAACACAATCTAAGTACACTTACCTGGCAGTCAGTCATACTGAACTCACTGTATTGCACTGCTAGATAAAAGCTGCAGTTAAGTGGCAAGACCCCGAACCACCCCCCCCTTTGTTGGAATAAAGCCACTTGACACCAGTATTTTAGGTTAATAGGCTAAAAAACGTCGCAACTATATTGGTTACAGAATGTGAGTGGTATTGGCTTAGGCACTGGAACCGACTATATCTGACTCCTGCCCGCCTGCAGGAGTCTTGTGTTTTTTTTGGTTTTTTTTTAAGAATAATTTTTATTTAAGTTTTAAACAACAAAGAAAGAAAAGAAAAACATACACAATACATATCTCAAAAAAAGGAAAAAAAAGATAACAAGAACACACAAAAAAGAACACAATTCAACAATAAAAGACAAAAAACATAACAATTAAAAACAATATCTCTTTTCCATATCCGTTTTTTTAGTTTGCTTATTTTCTGGACTTCCTCATACCTCCCTCTTTTGTATTCCAATCCAAATTGTTTGTCCAGCAATTTCTTTTCAACTTTTTTAATCCCAATCTTTAACTTTAATATAATATTGTAATATATGTCTTCAATTTCTTTAAACCTGATCTTTAATCTTAATATAAAATAACATTAAAATTTTCCCTCTTAATTGTCAGATTTCCATTTCTTTAAACATCTTTAATCCTAATCTTAATCTTAGTCTATCATTAACTTTAACCTGTACAGCTGGAAACCGCTTATTTTCAGTCCAACATCACTCTAACATTCTTTGATTTTACAATGTTTCTGAAGATAGTCTTTGAATTTCTTCCAATCTTCCTCCACCGACTCTTCTCCCTGGTCACGGATTCTACCAGTCATTTCCGCCAGTTCCATATAGTCCATCAGTTTCATCTGCCATTCTTCCAGTGTGGGTAGGTCTTGTGTCTTCCAATACTTTGCGATGAGTATTCTTGCTGCTGTTGTTGCATACATAAAGAAAGTTCTATCCGTTTTTAACACCATTTGGCCGACTATGCCCAGGAGAAAGGCCTCTGGTTTCTTAGGGAAGGTATACTTAAATACCTTTTTTAATTCATTATATATCATTTCCCAGAAAACCTTAATCTTTGGGCACGTCCACCAAAGGTGAAAAATGTACCTTCAGTTTCTTTACATTTCCAGCATTTATTATCGGGCAAGTGATAAATTTTTGCAAGCTTGACTGGGGTTATGTACCACCTGTATATCATTTTTATAATATTCTCTCTTAAGGCATTACATGCCGTAAATTTCATACCTGTGGTCCACAACCGTTCCCAGTCAGCAAACATAATGTTATGTCCAATGTCCTGTGCCCATTTAATCATAGCCGATTTTACCGTTTCATCCTGAGTATTCCATTTCAGCAGCAAGTTATACATTCTTGACAAATTCTTAGTTTTGGGTTCTAACAGTTCTGTTTCTAATTTTGATCTTTCCACCTGGAAGCCAATTTTCCTGTCCAATTTAAATGCCTCCATTATCTGATAATAATGAAGCCAGTCTCGCACTTTATTTTTTAGTTTTTCAAAACTCTGCAATTTCAGTCTATCTCCGTCTTGTTCCAAAATTCCGCCTGCAGGACTCTTGGAAGAGTTAACCACCAGTAGGGGGAGCCCTTCTGATGCACATCAACTAGAAACTCCCCCAGGGTCACTGCTAGGGGTCATGTCATGGCCCTAGCCCCCGCCTAGACTTCAGACAGGATTGCGCCCCCGGATTCCTATAACGGAATACCCTTGAAATAGGAGGGGTAGGTGATGGCCTTGACCTCCCCTCACCTCCAATCTAATACTCCAATGCCTAACCGCCACCCGAGCCAAACTGCACGAGCAGGAAAAAAGGGGCGAGTTCCCACCCACGGGCTGCTAAATAGAGCACGCCCCCTGGCCGCCCGGATTGGTCGGTCTGGGGCGTGATGCGGAGAGGACTCCCTATGATGCGGGGGCTAGCCACACCCCCGAGCACAGGGCGGGCTCGTGTCCAGCCCACAACTCCATTTCCCTGGGAAGGGAAATGACTTTATCTTCCATTTAGAAGACATCTGAAGGCAGCCCTGTTTAGGGAAGTTTTTAGTGTTTGAAGTTTTATTCTGCTTTTAATGTTCTGTTGGAAGCCGCCCAGAGTGGCTAGGGAAACCCAGCCAGATGGGCGGGGTAGAAATAAATTATTATCATTATTATTATTATTATTATTATTATTATTATTATTATTTCCTTATGAGATAGTTTGTCATCTCAGGTGTGAGGTCCATCTGGTAAGTTTTACTTAAAACTTCAAGTTTCAGGGGGATACTGTAGATAGTTCAGGTCCATATATGCAAATAAGGGATCGAAAGTGACGTTCAGTGATTGGATAGTTACAGAAAATGGTTACTGTTGCATTCTAGTGGAGCTCTATACAGTGGTGCCTCGCAAGACGAAATTAATTCGTTCCGCGAGTTTTTTCGTCTAGCGAATTTTTCGTGTTGCGAAGCACGGTGTCGGGAAAGTTTTGGAAAAGCTTCAAAAATCACCAAAGTCTTCAAAAACCTCAAAAAAGGCTACCACACCGCGTTCTATGAGTTGCTCCTCAAAGTCAAGTCGCAACTGTATTAACGGTGTTAAGCAAAAGGAAACAAACTTGCAAGACGTTTTCGTCTTGCGAAGCAAGCCCATAGGGAAATTAGTCTTGCGAAGCAGCTCAAAAAACGCAAAACCCTTTCGTCTAGCGAGTTTTTCGTCTTGCGAGGCATTCATCTTGCGGGGCACCACTGTATAAGCAGGCTGACTGAACCCTTCAGTTCAGTTCAGTTCTGGCCTGTGAATAAACAAGAGCTGTTTGAAGAATCGCTGTGACGTCTGAGATGTTCACCCACAACTTAACAGATGCCTCATAGACATATGAAGAGTACACCAACCAGCTCTTCAACAGGATGCAAATTCTGGCCTCACTTTCACATGCATTGGTCTACTTCCCAGAGATCCAGCTGAATCCTATATGCTATGTTTGTTGAGTTCTGTCAAGCATGCAGTGAGCAGATTCACAGGCACCTTTGCGATTTTCCTGATGTTTACCTAAGCTGTTTGACGAAAGCTCCTACAGAGGACAACTTTCATTTCAAAATAGAAGAAGCTTACAACCTAAGCTTTGCTTACCGCAGGGATCGGGCTGGCCTGATCCAATTCTAATTTTTTCTCCATCTTGCTTTGAGCTGTGAACAACAGCACTCCGTTCCCTTTCCTGTAAGAAAGAACAGGGAGAAGGAATGTATAACCAAGCCAGAGATTTCCTGTATATGTGAATGTTCTCCAGTGGAAAAGTAACAGATTATCAGGCAAAAGCACTGGTGCAACGTAATTTATTTCGCTAATTAGCACAAGTAGACCCTATTCTAGCTCCAAACAGCCTGAGAGCAACGTGTAGAATCATACGACTGGAAGGGACCTCAAAGGTCCTATAGTCTAGCTCCCCGCCAGTGTAAGAAACCCACTGATAGGTGGCCATCCAGCCTCTGTTTAAAAGCTTGCAATGGAGGAGAGTCTTTCTGAGGCAGCCTGTTCTACTGTCAAACCACTCACATGGCTAGGAAGTTATTTCTAATGTTTAATTGACATTTCTTCTTATAGCCTGAACCTGAGAAGTGGTGATTAACTCTTTCCGCACACTTTAGGTCCTAAGGAAAGAGCTGCGTTACCATAGTACAGTGGTACCTCAGGTTACATACGCTTCAGGTTACAGACTCCGCTAACCCAGAAATATTACTTCGGGTTAAGAACTTTGCTTCAGGATGAGAATAGAAATTGCGCAGCAGCAGTGGGAGGCCCCATTAGCTAAAGTGGTACCTCAGCTTAAGAACAGTTTCAGGTTAAGAACGGACCTCCGGAACGAATTAAGTTCTTAACCCGAGGTACCACTGTACCAGTCTTGGAAAGGCAGGGATATCTTGCCTCGTAGCCATGTGATGGTAAGTCTAATGAGATGCATTCTTTATTCTGTGAGTCGGGGTATTGGGATGCCCTGTCACCTGGAATTCCCCTTAGTACATTTCCAGGCACCTTGCAGCTCATGAGGCATAGCTGTCAACTTTCGGATTTGAAAATAAGGGATCAGCAGCCTCACCTGTCCCGGGGACAGTCTAAAGGATATCTAACAATCCAGGATAGCAGCGGGAAGTGGCGGGAAGCGGCACTGAAATAAGGGAATTTCCCACAAAAAAGGGGAAAGTTGACAGCTGGACTAGAAACATATTTTGAAAAAGGAACAGGCAATTTTGGAAAAGGGGTAGGCAACCTAAGGCCCGTGGGCAGGATGCAGCCCAATCACCTTCTAAATCCAGCCTACGGACAGTCCGGGAATCACCGTGTTTTTACATGAGTAGAATGTGTGCTTTTATTTAAAATGCATCTCTGGGTTATTTGTGGGGCATAGGAATTCATTCATTTCCCCCAAAAATATAGTCCGGCCCCTCACAAGGTCTGAGGGACAGTGGACCGGTCCCCTGCTGAAAAAGTTTGCTGAGGCTGAGGATCCATAATCCTGTGTTATATATATTGTGCTAAATGGGGAAACGGGACACGGGTGGCGCTGTGGGTTAAACCACAGAGCCTAGGACTTGCTGATCAGAAGGTCGGTGGTTTGAATCCCCGCGATGGGGTGAGCTCCCATTGCTCGGTCCCTGCTCCTGCCCACCTAGCAGTTCGAAAGCACGTCAAAGTGCAAGTAGATAAATAGTTACCGCTCTGGCGGGAAGGTAAACGGCGTTTCCGTGCGCTGCTCTGGTTCGCCAGAAGCGGCTTCGTCGTGCTGGCCACATGACCTGGAAGCTGCACACCAGCTCCCTCGGCCAATAAAGCGAGATGAGCGCCGCAACCCCAGAGTTGGTCACGACTGGACCTAATGGTCAGGGGTCCCTTTACCTTTAAATGGGGGAAATAAAAGGTATACAACTGCTGCGACATTAGTTTTGCTTACCTTTTGGTAGGCATTTGTTTTTTCTCCAGGCTTCAGTATAACAGGGAGCGCACTTGATCTGCCTTTTCTTATTTTTTCAGCCTTGGTGACAATCTTCTTCCTAAAGAGTAAACATGGAGAAAATTAATCATGCAAACATTGTAGGAACAACGTTATTCTAGATTTAGAAATATAAACTGAAATAGTTTGGGGAAATAATTTGTACTGTACCATGCTTAGAAGAGTTTTTTTTTTAAATGTAGAAAGGATAATATATATTAAAAGTAAAATAAGATAAGAATCAGTAGCCATGTAGCCAGCTAGGACAATAAAAGTTTAACTAAAAGGAAAGAATATTGTGCAGGAACATAGGTTATATAATCTGGGGTATGTCAGGAAATAAGGATGGGGGGGAGAGAAAATGATTAGTTGAACTTGCACATTTTCACTGACGCTTTGTTCTTTTTAGTAAGCAGCTTGTTAAGTTGTGGGTGAACATATCAGACGACACAGCGATTTTTCAAACACCTCTTGTTTATTCAGAGGCCAGAACAGAACTGAACCGAAGGGTTCAGCCAGCCTGCCTATATAGAGCTCCACTAGAACGCAACAGTAACCATTTTCTGTAACTATCCAATCACTGAACGTCACTTTCGATCCCTTATTCGCATATGTGGACCTGAGTGAAAACTATCTACAGTATCCCCCTGCTGGCCCAGGGTGAGAACTTCCGTACATAACACAACTGGAAGTGTCCTTCCTATTATCACTGTTAATATTTAAAAATCAAACTTTGCTATCAGTGCATGACCAGCAATAGTTCAGAGCTCACCAAGAAAACCAGGAAAATGCGAACCTTTCTATGATTCAAATGGCCTAGTTCCTTCCTCAACAACGGCAGTACGCCTTTAAATCAGCTTCCTACACACTTTAATTCAGTTTCCCTCATATTTTGGAAGCTCACATTCTCCTTCTCAGGTGAACCCTACCCTCCATCACAACCACAACACCCCAATGCAGATCCAAATATGTTTAAAGGGGTTCTAACTGAACTGTTAGAACCCAAAACTAAGAATTTGTCAAGAATGTATAACTTGCTGCTGAAATGGAACACTCAGGATGAAATGGTAAAATCGGCTATGATTAAATGGGCACAAGACGTTGGACATAACATTATGTTTGCTGACTGGGAACAGTTGTGGACCACAGGTATGAAATTTACGGCATGTAATGCCTTAAGAGAGAATATTATGAAAATGATATACAGGTGGTACATAACCCCAGTCAAGCTTGCAAAAATCTATCATTTGCCCGATAACAAATGCTGGAAATGTAAAGAAACTGAAGGTACATTTTTCACCTTTGGTGGACGTGCCCAAAGATTAAGGCTTTCTGGGAAATGATATATAATGAATTAAAAAGGTATTCAAAGGTATACCTTCCTAAGAAACCAGAGGCCTTTCTCTTGGGCATGGTCGGCCAAATGGTGATAAAAAGGATAGAACTTTCTTTATGTATGCAACAACAGCAGCAAGAATACTTATCGCAAAGTATTGGAAGACACAAGAACTTCCCACGCTGGAGGAATGGCAGATGAAACTGATGGACTATATGGAACTGGCGGAAATGACTGGTAGAATCCGTGACCAGGGAGAAGAGTCGGTGGAGGAAGATTGGAAGAAATTCAAAGATTATCTACAGAAACACTGTAAAATTAAAGAATGCTAGAGTGATGTTGGATTGAAAATAAGTGGTTTCCAGCTGTACAGGATTTAAAGTTATAGATAGATTAAGATTAAAGATTAGGATTAAAGAAGTTTAAGGAAATGGAAACTTGGTATTTTAAGAGGTAAAATTTTAACGCTATATTATATTAAAGATTAAAGATTGGGATTAAAAAAGTGGAAAAGAAATTGCTGGACAAACAATTTGGACTGGAATACAAAAGAGGGAGGTATGAGGAGGTCCAGAAAATAAGTAAATTTAAACACGGAAATGAAAAGGTGATATTGTTTTTAATTGTTTTGTTTCTTTTTTTGCTTTTTGTTCTTTGTGTTGTTTTTTTCTCTTCTTTGGATTATGTACTATGTATTTGTGTATTTCTTTTTTATCTTTTTCTGTTTAATCTTTTACTGAAAACTTAATAAAAATTATTTAAAAAAACACACAAATATGTTTAAAATACTCATACAAATATGAGTAGCTCAGTGCTACTCTTTCCTTGCTTGCTGCCACAGTTGAGACTCAAGAGCAGGAAGCGAACAACGCCTTCCTCCAGCTGCTGTTGGGACTCATCCTTCTTGGTATCTCAGAGATAAATAATATACCCATGGGCACCAAGGAGGGATTAACACTGCCATGCCATTGTCGAGGCACCTGTGGTCCTTTCCTTTCATCCTAAGCGTTCGTTCTTGGGAATGCAGGCCTTACCCACGTAAATGTTTCCATAGGAAGCAGGAATAGGAAGTCAGCAGAAGTCAAGAGGAGGTAAAAGGTAAAGGTAAAGGGACCCCTGACCGTTAGGTCCAGTCATGGATGACTCTGGGGTTGCGGCACTCATCTCGCTTTATTGGCCGAGGGAGCCGGCGTACAGCTTCCGGGTCATGTGGCCAGCATGACTAAGCCGCTTCTGGCGAAACCAGAGCAGTGCATGGAAACGCCGTTTACCTTCCCGCTGGAGCGGTACCTATTTATCTACTTGCACTTTGACATGCTTTCAAACTGCTAGGTTGGCAGGAGCTGGGACCGAGCAACGGGAGCTCACTCCGTCGGGGGGATTCAAACCACTGACCTTCTGATCGGCAAGTCCTGGGCTCTGTGGTTTAACCCACAGCGCCACCCGCGTCCCTAAGAGGAGGTTAGGAGCAACTAAATTTCAAGACCTCCATCCTGATGCAAGTAACAAGTAAAAATGTAAACAACTTTGCCAGTTCATGTACAATCCCGGGACCCAGTACTAGCTGACTGGGGGTGGTACAATGCTTTCAGTGGCAATAATCCAACCCTCTGCTTGCTGCTAATGTGCAAAGCAGTAGGGAGAGGGGATTTGCAAGGGCAAAATGGTGGCTTTCAACATTCCTCCAGCTGCTGCTTTTCTTCTACAATCACTCAAAGGACTGCAAGGGAAAAGGAACAGAAATAGGATTTTTAAGCAACTCACTGTCATTTCTCCCCAACAGAACTCGCAGACTCCCTGCACTTCCATGCCACATTTGCATGTTGGCCACAAATGTGCCAGGGTGCAACTGCAACCTGAGAATCCCTTATTTGGCACCAAGCATTGAGTTCTGCGTGGGATGCAGGTGGTGCAATAGTCTAAACCACAGAGCCTAGGACTATCATGATCAGAAGGTCGGCGGTTCGAATCCCCGCGACGGGGTGAGCTCCCGTTGCTTGGCCCCTGCTCCTGCCAACCTAGCAGTTCAAAAGCACATCAACGTGCAAGTAGATAAATAGGTACCACTCCAGTGGGAAGGTAAACGGCGTTTCCGTGCACTGCTCTGGTTCACCAGAAGCAGCTTAATCATGCTGGCCACATGACCCGGAAGCTGTATGCTGGCTCCCTCGGACAATAAAGCGAGATAAGTGCTGCAACCCCAGAGTCGTCCACAACTGGAACTAACAGTCAGGGGTCCCTTTACATTTTATGGAGTTCTGCACTCAGTGGCTAATCTTGATTTCCCTTGCATGGTGTGTGAAGCAACCCCCAGTGCAACTCTGTAAGTATATGTTTACAGGTAGGTAGCCGTGTTGGTCTGCCATAGTCAAAACAAAATTAAAAAATTCCCTCCAGTAGCACCTTAGAAACCAGCTAAGTTTGTTATTGGTATGAGCTTTCGTGTGCATGCACGCTTCTTTAGTATATGTTAGGGGTACTTTTCGTAACAACTGGCCGTGGTGCGCATTTAGCGAGTCTTGTGGAGAATGTGCACATAATCTATTCCACAAAGAAGGGATTGCGGACATCCTCAGCCAATATAGGCCTTGGAGAATGGACATAGCTGCATTTTGTACGTTCTCCAAGAAATAATGCGATTCCGCCACCTCTATCTCTACTTCAGAAGTGTGCACTCTGCAACACCTAGGTTGCTTCTGGCCCACTGCCTAACCTTACATTGCACAAAAGATCAGAAAGAGGGAGTGGGGTCCAAGGAAAAAGATTCATTCTGGCCCCCTCCTTGAAGTCCAGTTTCGTTTTCAGCCCTTTCAGCTGTTCCCCAGTCAGCTGAGCAGCACAAGGGACATCACTGGGAGCGGAAAGCTTTATACTTTCCCTCTCATAAGCCTTCTGAGAATTGCCACCCATGCTGCTCTTAAGCCTGGCGCCAATTGTCACAGGAATCACATGGGAGGAATGAGTTAAACTGCTGATGAAAGGTAACTCAGCAGGGAAAAGACGATTGTGATTGTGAAGGACTTCTGGTCTCAGCCGTACCAGTCTGGGAAGCCCCCCTGAAGTGATTTTGCATGCCTCTGCCTTACCCTGGCCAGTTTGAAATATTCTCAGTTCTACTAACATGTTGGGGGGAGTCTATTACAGTGGTACCTCAGGTTACATACACTTCAGGTTACAGACTCAGCAAACCCAGAAATAGTGCTTGAGGTTAAGAACTTTGCTTCAGGATGAGAACAGAAATCGGGCTCCGGCGGCGTGGTGGCAGCAGGAGGCTCCATTAGCTAAAGTGGTGCTTCAGGTTAAGAACAGTTTCAGGTTAAGTACAGACCTCCGGAACGAATTAAGTACTTAACCTGAGGCACCACTGTACTGTGTTTGTGTTACCATTGCTCATAATAGGATGTTAACGAATGAATCTATAGAGTTTTGCCCATTTTAAAATTCCTGTTCTGGAATGAAAGTTTGTGAAAGCCGTACAAAATGGATGGTGCAGGAGAAAGTATGCCATCGTTTCCCTGCCCTAGCCAGTAACCTAGAAGCAATGAATGAATTTCCCTACCTCGACAGAACTGGCTGAGATGTTATGAGCTGAGGAACTAAGGCATTCATCTTGTTTTCCGAACATTCCTCCATTGACCTTAACACAGAGAGAAAAGTCTTCCATGAGATTTCCAACGAATCACCAGTTTCCACACTGGGAGCCCCAGAGAGACTCAGGTTGCATGGAGTAGGGCAAGCAACGGTTCTCGGGGCGCCAGTTCTGTCTTGATAGTCGCCTGTCTCCAACTTGTACTCAGCAGCTCTTTGCTTGTTTTGCTCAATGAGTGATAGCTTCTTTTTCTGTGGCATTCCCACTACGCTCAAGAGCTCATCCCAAGAATGGCAAACGTCAACGAGGCACCAGAATGCCAGCTACCAAGTGAACTCAGCACGTACACAAATCAAAGTAGCGGCATCCTAATGTAACCTTTCGGTTTTGCCAATTTTTCTTTCCCCCCACCACCCCAGTATTTATAGCATCCAGAGAGAACAGTGGGATATAGAGGGTACATGACAGACCAGTAGAATTTTACAGTGTCTGTGATGTAACAGTGTCACACATGTAAGGTTGGAATTCCTGAAGATACGGTGATCGAGCTTCACGAAACTGCCTGTCAACATTAGACATGCGGAAGCAGTGGGCTGGAAGAGGGCCTTTTCAGTAGTAGCAGACCTGTCCAGCCTTCCTGGGGCTGCTTGCCTGGCATCATCTTGGTGTCTCTTGGTGCCAAGTGAAGATCTTTTTGTTCATTATAATAATAATTTATTATTTATACCCCACCCATCTAGCTGAGTCTCCCCAGCCACTCTGGGCGGCTTCCAATCAAGTTTTGAAAACAATACAGCATCAAATATTAAAAACTTCCCTAAACAGGGCTGCCTTCAGATGTCTTTTAAAGAGAAGCTAGCTGCTTATTTCCTTCACATCTGAAGGGAGGGCGTTCCACAGGGCGGGCGCCACTACCGAGAAGGCCCTCTGTCTGGTTCCCTGTAACCTCACTTCTCTCAATGAGGGAACCGCCAGAAGGCCCTTGACGCTGGATCTCAATGTCCGGGCTGAACGATGGGGGTGGAGACGCTCCTTCAGGTATACAGGACCAAGGACGAGGTACAGGGAGCCAATGCAGATCTCTCAGGACCGGTGTTATGTGGTCCCGGTGGCCACTCTGTCACCAGTCTAGCTGCCGCATTCTGGATTAATTGCAGTTTCCAGGTCCCCTTCAAAGGTAGCCCCACGTAGAGCACATTGCAGTAGTCCAAGCGGGAGATAACTAGAGCACACCCCACTCTGGCAAGACAGTCCGCACGCAGGTAGGGTCTCAGCCTGCATACCAGGTGGAGCTGGTAGAAAGCTGCCCTGGACACAGAATTAACCTGCGCCTCCATGGACAGCTGTGAGCCCAAAATGACTCCCAGGCTGCTCACCTGGTCCTTCAGGGGCAGTTACCCCATTCAGGACCAGGGAGTTCACCTAGACCTTTAAATAACTTAGGTCACCTAATGTTCTGTCTCAAATTTTATATGGCTCCCCGGCTCCTTAATGGTTTTGTGTTTCACCCTGTGTTTCAATTGTTTGTTTTTACTTTTTTGATTGCATTCCACAGAGAACTTTATGTTATGACAGAGGTGAGGCTGTTTCAGCCAAGCTTCCTTCACAGGCCAAGGCAGGGATTGACAACAAATACAATGTGGGAATGAACGATTGCAGTGATCCAGCACGCACGGCAACTGTGATCAAAAATCAGCTGGAAGGAGCTGGGGGAACTGGCTTCCGTTAAGTGCTTGATGTTGTGATCCTTAGCCATTAGGACTTTTCTCCAGCTCAAACTGAAACTGAACCAGTTGTTTCGTGCATTTTGTTTCGTGTATTTTGCTCAAGGTGTCAACAAGGAAGACTTAAAATGGCCAACACAAACAGCTCTTTGCTCTTTATACAGATATTTTATTTCACTTAAAAGGGACAGAGATACATAATATACATTTACCAATAAAATCCACACATCAAACATCAGAAAATAACAGCATAAATTTCTGAAAACATGTTTTCTATCAAAAGGATGATAGAAACTTCAATATTGCTTTTAGCAAAATATCCAAGTTACAAGTGAACTGGTCTTCATGATGGTTCAAAATGCAGCATGTAAAAACTGGAAACTAGCCTGGATCACAACTGACTTCTATGAAGTATTAAGCCAGCCAATGATCTGAAGATTTCAGAGTGTGTGTGTGTGTGTGTGTGTGTGTGTGTGTGTGACAACAACACTGGAGTTTAAGTGTTGTCAATACCTCACACTTTACACTTTTTGAGAATCAAATCTTTTCTAAAATGCATCAACTTTATCTCATTCAGAATGATAAATATATATTGCCTGAAACAAAATCTGCAATTTTAAAAAATTCCCAAAGGATTTAATTTCAATTTGCAACCCTCTGAAGCCAGCGCAGGTACTCAGGTACTGGCAAAACTCGGGTGCAGTGATTTCACTCTTGCCAACCTAGAGAGGCCAAGCCTGAGACTCTGTGTGGGCGATTTCCCGTGGGTTCTTCCCAGCTGCATGGCACTGCTTCCAGATGTAGCTGAAAAGATTGTTGGAGAGGTACATTGAGAAAAATAAGTAGACTAGAATATTGTATTCATGTTTCACTGTCTGCATAACAGTGAACTCTTAGTGTTGTACATGCAATTTTGTGTAAGACGCAAGCTCATCTCTGGCACATACTCTTCCTCAAGCTCATTTTATCTCTTTAGAGGCTTCAGAAGAAATATTTAGAGAGGAATTCCACAGCATGTTTTGCAAATTGTTCCGTCATTCCAAGCTTTTCAGCTTGCACAACAGAACCATTTCCCCTCTCCTCCCTGAGTACTGTTTCGGGGTTTTTTCCAGACCTCATCAGAGCCAATTTTGGGGGTGAAGGAAGAGATGGAGGAATTCTTGAGCAAGCTCCCACTAGTGCATCTTCTTAATTACTGTATTTTTCGCTCTATAAGACACACCAGACCACAAGACGCACCTAGTTTTTGGAGGAGGAAAACAAGGAAAAAAAATATTCTGAATCTCAGAAGCCAGAACAGCAAGAGGGATCGCTGCGTACTGAAAGCAGCCTGCATTCGCTCCATAAGATGCACACACATTTCCCCTTACTTTTTAGGAGGGAAAAAGTGAGTCTTATAGAGCAAAAAATACGGTAAATCCAGCCCTTAACTATACAAATGCAAGAGGGCGGTAAACTTTAAAGAACTCTTTGCATGACAACGAGTCCTCCTCAAATATATCCAGTCTCCTATTAAGTGGCAACCTCACTTAAAAAGTCTGAGTCTCAAAACAGTGGGAGACGGGGAAATATGTGGGGTAACCCACGGTTCAAGTAATCTGCAAGATGCAAGAAACTCCAGTGAAAGAAACAGTGGACAAACTGAACCAAGTAGCATTAAATACCACATAATGCACAATTTCTAGTACACAGAGGGGTATTTCTGTTGTTGTCAGATCATCTCCAGTTTGTGCCAATGTTTCCGTTTTGTCTCTGAGATTCCACCTTGTCTATTAGTAGCTGTCAAGGTGAAATGGGGAGGGGGGGAAGGTATCCTTGACCTCATTTATTCTGGGATATGGAACTCTTCAGCATCCTAAAGCCAACATCCTCTCCATCCCAAGGCAAGTCTTTGGCAATACAGTGGTACCTCTGGTTGCGGAAGGGATCCGTTCTGGAGCTCTGGTCGGATCCCGAGGTTTCCACAACCGGAGGGACTGCTTCTGCGCATGCGGCAGTAGACCGCTTCTGCGCATGCGTACGTGGCAAAACCCAGAAAAATACTTCTGGGTTTGCCGCGTACGTATCCCAAAGGATATGTAACCGGAGGTGAACGTAAGTAGAGGTACCATTGGAATGAGTCCTGTGTCCTTTTACAACCTCCCACTTAGCACTAAATACATCCATCCAGCATCTATCATGCCTCTTTTTGAAAAATAGCCTTGGCATCTCCCTTTTCATTTCCACAGAAAACCTCTTTCAGCAGACACCCTGGCTTTTGTCTTCTAATACTGTATAACTGTTTTCATCCTTGACTTAAGTGTGCTTTTTTGGAGAATGGTCATCCTGGAACCCATATTGTTCTCTCTTGAAGCTTCCAGTAGAATGCTCATGCTGAACCTCAACCCCTGCAGTTCTGCTCAGTGAAACTTCTACTAATATCTGGAAAGGCTTGATATTTTTTCTGGGGTTTTTGTGTGTGCATGTTTTCCAAAAGCAGTCCAGTAGAAGCCCCAGCCTGGTGCCCATTCTTGCACCGCTGCATCCCATGAGCCTGCCAAATGAAAGCTCTAGCATGGCAAGGGAAGGCAAATTCTCCCTGCCATTGGCACCTACTGCCCAGCCACAAGCATCCATCTTCCCCTTCCTTCCTCCATGTGTCTCAGCAAACTCTAGAGCACGGGTGGCCAACTCCCAAGAGACTGCGATCTACTCACAGTTAAAGACTGGCAGTGATCTACCCCCTTTTGGGAGGTTCAGGTCAAAGTTGATGAGCTTTGAGCTTTTTTTAGGAAGGAGGAAGGCCAATTTGGGGTGCAGGGCAAAAATGTTGAGTTTTTTTTAGGAGAGCCAAACTACTTGAGCATCTTTGTGGGGAGCCAGTGATCTGCCAGTGATCTACCAGACATCACGACCTACCTGCTGGACGTGCCTGCTCTAGAGCAAGTAAACTCTTGTTTTGACTTGTGCCTCCTGCCTGATCTTGCAGGAGTCACTTTCTTCCTTTCTTCCCTTTCTTGCTTTGGAGAGCATGTGCCACAATGCAGCTGTGCAACTTCAGCTCACGACTGCTCTTTCTCCCTCCCCTTGTGGGTAACTTGACTATACTGTTTGTGTCTCTTAATGCCTTTTAATAAACCCGCTCTTCTGGGTCAATTACCCAAAGTCTCAGTTCCATTTTCCTTCCAAGAAACTTTAGGATGACAATTCAAAGCAAAGACTCAATGTTTTTGAGGACGGGGGCGGGCAGGTGTGGAGGACTCCCTGGTCTTGAATGGGGTAACTGTGCCCCGAAGGACCAGGCGCGCAGCCTGGGAGTCAATTTGGACTCATGTGGGGGCGCAGGTCAATTCTGTGTCCAGGGCAGCTGTCTACCAGCTCCATCTGGTACGCAGGCTAAGACCCTACCTGCCCGCAGACTGTCTTGCCAGAGTGGTGCATGCTCTGGTTATCTCCCGCTTGGACTACTGCAATGTGCCCTATGTGGGGCTACCTTTGAAGGTGACCTGGAAACTACAATTCATTCAGAATGCAGCAGCTAGACTGGTGACTGGGAGTGGCCGCCAAGACCATATAACACCACTCCTGAAAGACCTGCGTTAGCTCCCAGTATGTTTTCGAGCACAATTCAAGGTGTTGGTGCTGACCTTTAAAACCCTAAATGGCCTCGGTCCAGTATACCTAAAGGAGCATCTCCACCTGCATTGTTCACTGAGGTCCAGCTCCAAGGTCCTTCTAGCGGTTCCCTCACTGCAAGAATTGAGGTTACAGGGAACCAGACAGAGGGCCTTCTCAGTAGTGGCGCCCGCCCTGTGGAACGCCCTCCCATCATAAGCAACTATCTGACTTTTAGAAGACATCTGAAGGCAACCTTGTTTAGGGAAGTTTTTAATGTTTGATGTTTTATTGTGTTTTTAATATACTGTTGGGAGCCCCCCAGAATGGCTGGGGAAATCCAGCCAAATGGGCAGGGTATAAGTAATAAATTGTTGTTGTTGTTGTTGTGTTACCCACACCACATTCCTTTTAATGCAGCAAATTGTCCAAAACCAGCAGTCTGTCTTCTGGCAAAAATAGAGCCAGAGGCTACCGAGGAAAAAGGTTTTCATTATCCATGGTTCCTAAGGGGCCTTACCTGAACATGGAAAATAGGTGGAGTTAATGATTATATTTTTATCCTGGTTTTCAGACAATGATTTTGCATAGATATAGGTATCCTAAGCAACCATATAAACAGTGTATGCATTGAATATACCTGGTGACGTGCAGTTAGGCATCTTGGCCAAAGAAGTGCTAGATGCTGTCAAAGGCTGTCCAATCTGTTCTAGAGAACTTGACAAATTCTGCAAAGCTGGTTCAGATTTGGCTGGAAGTAGTCCCATGGTTAAAAAAAATAAGAAAAAATAACTTTGGAAAATCATTTTTAATGGATGGATGATACAGAACAGAGGCTATATTTAAGAAATATGGAAGTCACTTCTAAATAGCAAATTAATTTGACAGCTACTGGGGAAAAACAAGCACATTCCTCTGACATATACTTCGATGGAGCAGTTAACAAAAAGTTTGTCCTAATAAGTTGCTAAAAAAAGGTAAAGGACCACACACACCTCTGAAAACCAGATGCAAGAAAGCTTAGCACCAAAATGGCACCCAGGAAAGAATCAAATCTTACCTATTGAGTCCCTCTCTGATTTGGAATTCTTCTTTTCCTTCTTTTTGCTTTCAGCATTTCGCTCCCTTCCTTCTTTTCTGTTTCCTGTAGCTTTCTTCTTCAAAACGAATTCAACATCATCATCTTCACCGAAGCTGGAATCACCCTCAGATTCTTCAGCTGAAACCAGAAATGGGAAACTGTCAGGTACAAAGTAATGGCATAAAGTTTAGTAGTAACAGGCTAGGAAAATTAACTATCTTTGTACCACATTATTAAAAAAGAAGTCACACTGTGGGAACTTTACTCCTGTGTAAGCAGACTGTGGCTGTACAGTGCAATCAGAAATGAACACTTTTGAACCTTCACCTTATTCCCAGATACAGTCTCTCCTTTTTAAAGTTATCAAAATAATTAACTGAACTTTGAAGGTATTTCACTCTAGTTTTTGTGGCTGAATTTCAGAACTTCTACATTTTGTGATTTTCATCAACATCAATATTTCTCAAATAGCTTATTGGTTAAAAAAGAATTATAAATGTCTTTTATTTCTGGTCCTAAATACATGTGGGACTGCAGCCCAAAATGTCAACACTACTTTAAGAGAAGCAAAAAGCACGAGACAGAAATGTTTCCGTAGAGTCTTCAAGAATCACCTTGTTTCTGTGAATCTTGTACTTTATGGTTCCTTCCTGGTCGTTCTTCCATTGATAATGCTAAGGCAACTTCCAAATCTCTCTGGTAAAGTCTGTGATCCAAGGCAAGTCTGAAGCAATTTGAAAAACGGTGATGGAAAACACATTATCAATATGTAAGTTTATTAACCTCAGTGCCAACACAAATTAAAAAAGGAACAAAGAAACTATTTCATGCTCGGAAACCAACTTTAAATCCTGGTTTTAGATTTTATAACCTCCATAATGGTTAAGATCAGTTCCAATAAACTGATCTTAGGTAGGCAAGTGGAATTCACTCCACTCCAAGGGAATGAACTTATATCCCCAAAGCCAGCTACCTGTTTCTTAACCACAGCTAGGAAAAAACCAGTGTTGTATCGCAAACACGTAAGTAAATTTAAAATGAATGGATTTCTCTTACCTTTTGTTCGGTGAACTCTTTTGGAACTGAATCTCCTGTTTGGGGGGCTTTTGCTCAATTTTTTTCTTTGTCAACTCAGAGCATGTCCTCTTTAATTTTTTGCTTGAAGGTGCAGTTATATTTGCAAAATCTTCATCTGTTTAGCAGAAGCACATTAGACGCACTGTAACAGTGCAAGTTCTTCCAGTTGTTTAAAAATCCCCCATTTTAACAATATGTTTAAAGCATGTATTGTAAGATATTCTAGAGCTTTAGAACTTCTGCAGTAATCCAGGATGATTTAAAACAAAATACAGTGGTTCCTTGGTTCTCAAACGCCTTGGCACTCAAACAACTTGGAACTCAAACACTGCAAACCTGGAAGTGTTCCGGTTTGCGAACTTTTTTCGGAAGCTGAACATGCTCTGTTTTGAATGCCACACTTCCGTTTTGTGTGTTACACTGAGGTCTGTCTGCTTTTGCTATTTATTTTGCGTTTTTGTGGCTTTTTTGTTTTGTTTTTGTGACTGTGTGGAACCCAGTTCAGCTACTGATTGATTGATTGATTGTGTGACTGCAGTACATCGTTTATTCCTTTCATTTTATAGATCAATGGTCTCGTTAGACAGTAAAATCCATGTTAAATTGCTGTTTTAGGGGTTGTTTTAAAACTCTGGAACGGATTAATCCATTTTGCATTACTTTCTATGGGAAAGCGTGCCTTGGTTTTGGAACGCTTTGGTTTTGGAACGGACTTCCGGAACGGATTAAGTTTGAGAACCAAGGTACCACTGTACAGGGAGATATTGACACAGTAATAGCAGAACAGTACAAGGGAAAGGAAATGGGGACTTCATCTCTCTGCTTAACATTGCCTCCTCCCGAGTGGCACCCACTGCAAGGTATGAGTGAAGGACACTGAAATGGGGTGTTTGCCTCCTTCCCTTGCCACTGTCCCCACTTCTCCTTGCAACATGTCAGCTGAGATGAGGGAACGAGGAGGTTTGCTGCATCCAGTTAAGAATGCCATCTCTTCAGCACCCCAAAGACAGGGAGCCAGGCAATAGGTTATGCTTATTTCATATGAAGCAGCCTTGCTGTGTGTGTTCAGAACTTTGTTAGGAAGAATTCTTCAATGAAAGCTAGAGGGTATTAAAATCAGATTACTGGGAAGGAGACATCGACCAGCTTTCTCCTTTTTCTATTTATTTTTGGTGATCTATCTCATGTACCCAGCCAGTCTTTCAAGCCCGTCCAGCTTTCATTACCCAGGACATGGTATGTATCTTCGGTAACTAAAAACTGAAAACTAGTATGTTGTAAACTAAAATGCAATATAACTACTATGTGACACTGGGTAAGGATATCCAGACAGTAAAAAGGTCCATTAGGTCCAGTCGCGGATGACTCTGGGGTTGCGCGCTCATCTCGCTTTATTGGCCGAGGGAGCCAGCATACAGCTTCTGGGTCATGTGGCCAGCATGACTAAGTCGCTTCTGGCGAACCAGACCAGCGCACGGAAACGCCGTTCACCTTCCCGCCAGAGTGGTACCTATTTATCTACTTGCACTTTGATGTGCTTTCGAACTGCTAGGTTGGCAGGAACTGGGACAAAGCAACAGGAGCTCACTCTGTCGCGGGGATTGGAACTGCCGACCTTCTAATTGGCAAGCCCTAGGCTCTGTGGTTTAACCCACAGTGCCACCCGCGTCCCCTCAATGAAAGCTAGAGGGTATTAAAATCAGATTTACTGGGAAGGAGACATCGAGCAGTTTTCTCCTTTCTCCATTTATTTTTGGTGATCTCTCTCATGTACCCAGCCAGTCTTTCAAGCTTGTCCAGCTTTCATTACCCAGGACATGGTATGTACAAAACTATCTTCTGTAACTAAAAACTAATATGTTGTAAACTAAAATGCAAACTAACTACTATGTGGCACTGGGTAAGGATATCCAGACAGTAGAGCTGGGCAATATTTCGATACTTTGCCTGAAACAAGTATGAAGTCCAGATTGTAAAGACAGTTTCAGACAGGTTCAGTAACAGGAGGAACAACTGACTGGAAGGAAAGCAGCAGCCCATGTCACTTGCTAGGGCGAAGAGGCAAACGCACAGACAGGCAGGCAAGCAGGTGGAGCACCTTCAAGGCTGGGCTGTGGAGGGAGAGGCCAGGAACTCCTTCGCCCAAGCAAGCGGGCAGCCTTCTTCCCTTCCTCTTGGTCGTTCCTCCCTCCCTCCACAGCCCAGCTGCTTTTTCAGATGTTATTTCGGTCATTGTGATATATCACTATATTGTGATGGTTAGCTGGTGATATAGCACGATGCTGAAAACCAGATATCGCCCAGAATTTGAAGTGCAGTGTCATCAATATACCAATGATATCCAACTCTTATTTCTCTTTTCATCAGATTCACGTTAAGCTATCAGAAGTCCAAGATTATTAATGGACTTGATGAAGGCTAATAAACTGAAACTCAATCTAAGTAAGAGACAGGTAGTGCTGGTGAATGGGTCATCCAAATTTGAATATTGTATGGCAGTGTACATGGGCTACCCTTGAAAACCGTTCAGAAGATTGTTTGGAAGTACAAAATACTGCAGCTATGATATTAATTGGGAGCAGATGTACAGAGTGTACCTTGCCAGACTTAAAACAATAGCAGTGGCTTGTAGTATGTGCTCATATTTAAATGTACAACAGGTTCGGGAAAAGCTGCGATAAACCTTTGTAGAACCAGTGCAAGCAAAGCTTAAACACAATGAACTTTTCTTCTAGTTGCACTCACATAAAACAGTTTCAGCAAGCTTCCATGTTACTTTCCATCTGAATCTGCCCCTTTTGGCATGAAGGAACAGCGAATGACTTACCATCATCATCTTCATCCACACTGCCAAACTGAGAATAATCAACTGCTTTCTTATTCCTAGAAGAATAAAACATGCAAATGCATAAGAGGGGTCATTTTTTTGTCTGCCCATGGAACCATTATGCATATGTAAGCAGTTGTTGTATTTGAATCAAAATAAAGTAAAGTAAAGGTACCCCTGCCCGTACGGGCCAGTCGTGTCCGACTCTGGGGTTGTGCGCTCATCTCACTTAAGAGGCCGGGAGCCAGCGCTGTCCGGAGACACTTCCGGGTCACGTGGCCAGCGTGACGAAGCTGCTCTGGCGAACCAGCACCAGCGCAGTGCACGGAAACGCCGTTTACCTTCCCGCTATAAAGCGGTACCTATTTATCTACTTGCACTTAAGGGTGCTTTCGAACTGCTAGGTGGGCAGGGGCTGGGACCGAAAGACGGGAGCTCACCCCGCCACGGGGATTCGAACCGCCGACCATGCGATCGGCAAGTCCTAGGCGCTGAGGTTTTACCCACAGCGCCACCCGCGTCCCTTGAATCAAAATATTCATATTTAATTGCTACTGCTTTATGAAATGATGATTCTGGGAAACATGTAAAAGTAAAATTAATTTAGAAACCGTACACTTGACTCTTCTTAGGATACTGTAGCAGCCACACAATGCCCAATTATATATACATTACACACACATATATACGTATATGAAACAATTATTCACTTTATTTTTTTACTAATTATTTTGCTGTAGTAGCTTCTGTATAGCTGGCTGTCTCTGAATTTTTCTCACAGATTTTTTTTCAACAAGAGCATTAGAATTAGTCTTACTGAAATAAATTCAGGGGCAGCCAGCTATACAACAAAGTGCAATCTATGAATAAAAATGTAAAATAAACTAATACATTTTAGATTGCTATTAATAGATTTACATTGCTGTAGTTTCTGTCTCTGAATCCTAGACGGCTAAAAGAAAAATATGGATAAAAATGCATGTTTCCCTTTACATATCTTCAGGCGCCAGGCAAAAGCATTCAATCGGTCCATGGCATGGCTGTAAAAAAACAACCAACAGCCTTTTAAGCGTGTCTGTGGGAGGGAGGATATTGACTTTTTGTTTCTTTGTTATGAATTTTGTGTTCTCCCTTGGGTTTTTTGTGATCTTCAGGGGAAGGGTGGTATACAAATTCAAGGAACAAACAACATTCCCGGGTGTCAAAAAAGACTATTTATGTATGCCACTACTGTGTGTTTGATTAGCCCCAAAATGGAAAACAAGCGAGGTCCCAACGAAAGAAGAGTGCAGAATTTTGCAGGCTTAACATATAGAATAAGAGAACAAGAGAATTTAGAGAAGACTGGAAAACGTTTGTTGAATATATGGGGAATAACTGTGTACAGCTGAAAACACTGGCAGCATTGAGATAAATTCAACAGTGTAAATAAGTTGTGATGGATGTAATAATGGAATACTGAATGGTATTGTTTTTGTAAAATATGCAGGGGTTTGTGATATGTAAAATGAACCATGGAAAGAGAAGAAGGGAAGTCACTGATATCTTAAGGATGTAAAAATGAGTACTTTAAATTGTAAAACAGAAAAATTAATAAAAAATTATACACAAACAAACAAAAAACAGCAGAATTCTAATTGCAAAAGGTTGGAAGGAAGAGGATATCCCATCTAAGTCAGACTGGCAAAATAAATAAAAGAGTACGCCGAACTGGCGAGATTATCAGCAAGGCTAAGAGACGTTACAAATTTAAAAATGTTCAGAGAGTGGGATATATATAGAGAGTCTCTGTAAAAGAACACTGTCAAAAGATCAATCCTTTGGCAGGTTTTGACTGAGCTTCAGTGTGCAAATAGGATAATTGTATAAAATAAAATTTATAGTAAGTCAAATAATATGGAGAAAGTAAAGTTTAAGCGGGTATTTAAGGAACGCAAGAGGAAGATCAGAGGGCTTGACAAATTTAATCACAAATGGATGTATGAAGCAAGAATGAGTTAAAGAATGAACAACCGTTTATTTTTTTAATTTCTCATTTTGCCTATAATATCTATTGTACACTCCTGTTATTTCAACCAATAAAGCACTCAACAGCAAAGCGGGGGGGAGAGAGATAAATTCAACAGTGTAATTAAGTTATGATGAATGTAATAATGGAATACTGAATGGTGTAGTTTAATGAAACATGGAAAGAGAAGAAGCGAAGTCACGGATATCTTAAGGATGGAGAAATGAGTACTTTAAACAAAGCAAGAATGAGTTAAAGAATGAACAACCGTTTATTTTTTTTAATTTCTCATTTTGCCTATAATATCTATTGTACACTCCTGTTATAAAGTTTTCAACCAATAAAGCACTCAACAGCAAAAGGGGGTTAAAAAAAGAGATAAATTCAACAGTGTAAATAAGTTATGATGAATGGAATAATGGAATACTGAATGGTATTGTTTCTGTAAAATATGCAGGGGTTTGTGATATGTAAAATGAACCACGGGAAGAGAAGAAGCGAAGTCACGGATATATTAAGGATGGAGAAATAAGTACTTTAAACAAAGCAAGAATGAGTTAAAGAATGAACAACCGTTTATTTTTTAAATTTCTCATTTTCCCTATAATATCTATTGTACACTCCTGTTATAAAGTTTTCAACCAATAAAGCACTCAAAAGCGAAAGGGGGTTAAAAAAAGAGATAAATTCAACAGTGTAAATAAGTTATGATGAATGGAATAATGGAATACTGAATGGTGTTGTTTCTGTAAAATATGCAGGGGTTTGCGATATGTAAAATGAACCACGGAAAGAGAAGAAGCGAAGTCACGGATATCTTAAGGATGGAGAAATGAGTACTTTAAACAAAGCAAGAATGAGTTAAAGAATGAACAACTGTTTATTTTTTTTAATTTCTCATTTTGCCTATAATATCTATTGTACACTCCTGTTATTTCAACCAATAAAGCACTCAAAAGCAAAAGGGGGGGGAGAAATAAATTCAACAGTGTAATTAAGTTATGATGAATGTGATAATGGAATACTGAATGGTGTTGTTTCTGTAAAATATGCAGGGGTTTGTGATATGTAAAATGAACCACGGAAAGAGAAGAAGCGAAGTCACGGATATCTTAAGGATGGAGAAATAAGTACTTTAAATTGTAAAAAAAAATAAAAAATTAATAATTTAATTAAAAAATTAATTTCGAAAAATTATACACAAACGAACGACAGCAGCAGCCCAGGGGCCTCCGCCAGCCCCCTCCCCGCCTAACGCCCCCAAGCGGGAGGCTCCTGCCCCGGCTCACCTCCGCGACGGCCGCGCCATCCCGGGGCTCCGCTTCGGCCCTCGGCCGGCCGCCCGTTCGGAACCCGAGCGCGGAGAAGAGGCCGGAAGTGACGGTGACAGGAGACCGGAAGTGACGGTGACAGGAGGCCGGAAGTGACGTCGACAGGAGGCCGGAAGTGACGGGGCAGCTCGCCCCACCCCCGCGCGCTCGCTCTCTCTCTCTCTCTCTCTCTCCCGTGAGGAGAAGGTTGAGGGGAGGGAAAAGTGGGCGGGGCGTGTCCTGGCCGACGCGGGGACTCGCGTCTCGTGGGAAAGGGGCATTCCGCCGAAGGAGGGCAGCGAGCGGGTTGAGGAGCGGGTGAGTTTGTGGGGTTTTTCCTTGTGTTCTCCAAGGCAGACGCGGACTCCCGGGCTGCTTCCGTGTCGCCTCAGGCGAAGGCCGGGTTGGGGGGGGGAGGGAGGGAGACTCATTTTCCTCCCAAATAATGTTTATTAAGTTGCTTACACATATAACACATACTGTAAAACAGATGAAGCAAAAATTAAAAAAGAACAAGGGAGATATAAAACAAATACAACAAATAGCTAGAAAAAAATATGAACAATACAAATTGATTAATCAGTTAAACTTCCAACCTCATAAACATATTGCTTGACTTCCTCTAGTCCTTCTCATCTGAATTTCCTTTTTTTTTTAATGATATTTATTCCAAATTTAAAATTACAAAAAAAACCCGAAAAACAAAACAGTACAAGATACAAAGAAAAATTTGACCATAACCATAACAGAGCATAGAATAAAAAGGAAAAAAAAGAACAATAAAATACAATAAAATTTCCTTGTAACTGGAGGTAGCAGTTTTCCAACATCATTATTCAAAAACAATATTCTATTTATAATCAAACTTACTAACTTTTCTTAACATTTTAGGTCTCATTTATTTAATTAAATCTTAATTTAATCCTAGGCCTAATTGGTACTTTCAAGTAATTTTTAATATTACAGTATTTATTCAAATAGTCTTTAGATTTCTTCCAATCTTCTTGATATTCCTCTTCTTTCTGGTCGCGGATTCTTCCAGTGAGGTCAGCCAGCTCCATAAAGTCCATCATCTTCATCTGCCGTTCTTCCACAGTTGGTAGTTCTTGTGTTTTCCATTTCTTGGCTATTAAAATTCGAGCAGCAGTTGTGGGAGGGAGGGAGACGCTTTGCTTAGATGAAACTTCGCTTTTCCGAAAGAAAAAAGAACCCAAGGAATGCCTGCAGTTTTTGCTTGCTGTAATGTAACAGGTGTTATAGGGACGCGGGTGGCGCTGTGGGTTAAACCACAGAGCCTAGGACTTGCCGATCAGAAGGTCGGCGGTTCGAATCCCCGCGACGGGGTGAGCTCCCGTTGCTCGGTCCCAGCTCCTGCCAATCTAGCAGTTCGAAAGCACATCAAAGTGCAAGTAGATAAATAGGTACTGCTCCGGCAGGAAGGTAAATAGCGTTTCTGTTCACTGCTCTGGTTCGCCAGAAGCGGCTTAGTCATGCTGGCCAGATGACCCGGAAGCTGTACGCCAGCTCCCTCGGCCAATAAAGTGATATGAGCGCCACAACCCCAGAGTCGGTCACGACTGGACCTAATGGTCAGGGGTCCCTTTACCTTTACCCTTAACGGGTGTTTTAAACGCGTGTCGTGAAGGAGGAAACCAAGAACCACTTCTGATTCCCCCTGCAGGCGGGGCGGGGGCGGGGGAGACGGACTTGAATAAAATATTTGGGGGCCCCGCCCTGCACAATTGATCGCAAGATGGGGCACCCCCAGTGCCGGATTTACATATAAGCTAAACAAGCTATAGCTTAGGGCCCCACTCTCTTGGGGGGCCCCCAAAAATATAAAGGAGAAAAAACACAGCAACAGTGTTTTGTGTTGTGTAGGCTCCTATGATGTAAGCAATGGGCCCCCCCTGCTAGCCTACTCCCTAAAATATGACTGCTTTGCTCATTTCTATAGGAACTTTTGTTATTGCCAAATGCCAATGTGTTTGCATTATTAAGTTTGTTATGAATAAAAAATCATGTTAAGTTAGAGCTTAATAATTGTTTCACTATTACTATAAAAGGTAAAGGGACCCCTGACTGTTAGGTCCAGTTGTGGATGACTCTGGGGTTGCGGCGCTCATCTCGCTCTATAGGCTGAGGGAGCTGGCATTTGTCTGCAGACAGTTTCCAAATCATGTGGCCAGCATGACTAAGCCGCTTCTGGTGAACCAGAGCAGCGCACAGAAACGCCGTTGACTTTCCCGCCAGAGTGGTACCTATTTATCTACTTGCACTGATGTGCTTTCAAACTGCTAGGTGGGCAGGAACTGGGACCGAGCAACAGGAGCTCATTCCATTGCGGGGATTCGAACTGCTGACCTTCTGATCGGCACGCCCTAGGCTCTGTGGTTTAGACTGCCGCGCCACCCGCGTCCCACTATTAATATACTTCTTAAATGTATTTCAACAATTACTTTGATAAAATACATATTTTGTTATGTGCAAATGGCTTTAAATACCTATTAGGTCCATAAATTACCATATACTGCATATATTCAACACAAAAAAGAGCCACAATTTGTTGATGACACAGCTGGACATATAAAGGGCCCCGTTACCTCCAGTAGCTTAGGGGCTCATCAAACCTAAATCCAACCCTACTTAAATGGCAATGTCCTCAGATATTTTATTGGGGATGCCCTCATGTTTTCCCCACCATAAACCCATGAGAAGAACCCCTGCAGGATCAGGACAAAGGGAGGTCCCTCTAGCCCACCACCCTCTTCTCACAACCGCCAACCAGATGACCATGGGGGACCCTTGGGAAGAGCCCTCCCTCTCTTCCCCACCAGGGGTCTCCAGCAAATGACCATTCAGAAGAATTGCTACCGGTGACAGCCTTCTTCACCCATAAGCTTCTTTCGGGACAGAGACCAAGATATACTATGCCCTGTGTGGTATTGGGAGGGTGGGGGGTTCCTACTGGTGGATCTCTTGCCGGCAGGTTCCTAGTAGCCCACTAAGCAGCTGCTACTTTTCTTGTGAATGATTCTGGCCAGGATAGACCATAAGCAAACTTAATTCAATTGTCAGTTGGTTTCTGAAATGTAAAATATTGTGTATGAGGGGGAGAGTTACAGCCCTTCACGGCCTAGGACCCTCGTACCTACGGGACCGCCTCTCCCGGTATGCCCCATGGAGAGCCTCAAGTTACATAAATAGCAACACCCTAGTGGTCCCGGGCCCTAAGGAAGTTAGATTAGCTTCAACCAGAGCCAGGGCCTTTTCAACACTGGCTCCGGCCTGGTGGAACGCTCTGTCTCATGAGACCAGGGTCCTGCAGGATCTGATTTCTTTCCGCAAGGCCTGTAAGACAGAGTTGTTCCGCCTGGCCTTTGGCTTGGAGCCAATTTGATTCCCTCCCCCTCCCCCTCTTTCTTTTTTTTCTTTTTCCTTTCTCCTCCTGTGATGAGGCTGCATTTTAATATTTTAATGTTTCAATATTTTAATGTTGTATTTTAATCTTGTTTTTAAGTTGTATTCATTCAACTTGTTTTTATTATTGCTTGTTAGCCGCCCTGAGCCCGGCCTTGGCTGGGGAGGGCGGGGTATAAATAAAAATTAGTAGTAGTAGTAGTAGTAGTAGTAGTAATAGTAATGTGTTTAATTGTGAAGTGGCTGTTGGGTGGCTTTTTTGTTTTTCTTATGTATTTTTTCATTTTATATCTTGATTTTATTCTGTGAACCGCCCTGAGACCCCCAGGTATAGGGCGGCATATAAATTCAATTAATAATAATAATAATACATATATAGTGTAAGCTACATAAAACTGAAGCCAGCCCATCTTCTAAACACTGTAGCCTGTGGATGCCAATGCACTTTCTTCTACATGCACCCTGCTTCCCCCAGTAGGCTGTAGCCATCAACCGTACTTCAGGTTCCATATGTTTAAAAGATGAGGTCACCAAAAATTGGGGTCTTAAGATGCAGCAGCCCTGTTGTAAAACACCCTGTCCAAACAGGCCTGCCCAAGCAACCTCTTGAGCTTATACATATTTCCTAAAATGTATTTAACTTCAGAAGCTATTGGAAAGGCTTAAAGAAACACATAAAACTATGTGTGTTGAAGTGGTTTTATATGTACAGTGGTACCTCGCAAGACGAATGCCTCGCAAGACAAAAAACGCGCAAGACGAAAGAGTTTTCCGTTTTTTGAGTCGTTCCGCAAGACGAATTTCCCTATGGGCTTGCTTCGCAAGACGAAACGTCTTGCGAGTTCTTGCAAGTTTGTTTCCTTTTCTTAAAGCCGCTAATAGCCGCTAAGCCGCTAATAGCCGTGCTTTGGAAGACGAAAAAACCGCAAGACGAAGAGACTCGCGGAACGGATTAATTTCGTCTTGCGAGGCACCACTGTATCAGAAATGGGGCTTACAACAAAATGTTGTCGCGTATTCTCACCCCTAACAGAAATGTTTCTATTCAAAATAGTAGCTAGTTGTTCTCTCCTCTAAGATACTAAAATCTTTTTCGGAAGGTTGTTTTAAACTATTTTGTAGAAGTTTTAATTCTATTATGATGTTTGCCTTCCTTGATTCTTTGAAGGAGTGTGTGAAGGAAGTTGCAAAGACCTCAGTCCATCCCTTTTTGTGACTTTTTGGGTAATTTCTGGGTTCAGTGCAATGCACGTGTGCACGGTCACACACACATTAGATGTGCCTAAAATGGTATCTGTCTGTACTTTGTTTGTAAACTTCATTTTTTAACTGGAGGTTGCAATTGCCTTATCAGATCTTTAAAAGAAACAAACAAACAAACAAACAAAAAACACACCACTTTAAAAATAAACAACAGTGTGCTATTCTGTGACTGTGTCCTGTTTTAGTCCAGGGAACATCTGGCAAATCTTATTTACTGCAATATTAATTTATGCAGGGTGAATAAAATAAGAAAATACCTTATTTTTTAACAAATGTGAATGTCTTCAATCTCCTTTTTTGTTTTACTTTTTAAAAATTCACTTACTGGCTCCTCTGCCCTTCCTGTGTGTTTGTGTAAAGATATAACAGTAATAGCATTCTCCTTTTGCTTCAGTGCAGGAAGCTTTTGAAATGAAGGGTGACCAAGGAACACTCTGTAGTAAGGAGAGAGGGTTTCTGTATGAATTCAGGGCTGGAAACCAACGTTTTGTGCTTACAGTTCCTCTGAAATTCCCAGTGCAAGAAAGTGCTACCCATTTGCATAGGCATCTGATGCGTCCTTACAACTTGCCATGCTTCATAGAAAATGGTAAGGATTTCTTCTATACCATCAAACATAGACTTTCTCACAGCTGCATAGGGCCTCTAAAGAACTTGGATTTCACATAATGCCATCTGCAGACGTCGGAGGGAGATACATAGGTGGCCCATTGCACATGCAAAACTCTGTTTTTGGATGTAGGGAAGTTGAGGCTATAACTCATAGCTGCTTATTTTGCCCTGCAGATCCAAGGGCGGGGGCGAAACTCCTGTTGCGTATTCAGTCACATCATTTGGATAAAATGACCCACAAGATACTGTGATCACTTAAAATAATGGAATAATCGCTTTAAAAGGGGCATTGTTTGCCACAGTGGCTAATAAACTGTGTGCTGTATAGACATATTGTCTGGATGGCATGGGATACATTCATGTGATGAATTGCACTGTGTTTAGCCCAAGACAGAGACATGGGACTGACATTTGTTGGAGTTCTACTCCCTTGTGCTTGGGTTTTTCTTTAACTCTGCCTTACTAGCTTTAATTTTGATCTCAGCTTTCCTCCCCTCCTCTTTAAACAGTCGGGGGGGGCTTCCTTCCTTCCCTCCCTTCTCTGAACTCTTCCTCCTCCCTTCTTTCTGCTGTGGTAATGATCCCTCCACCTGTGAAGCAGACCACCAAACTGTAATGCATAAAAATATTAAATCATATATGAGGGATCTGAACACCAAATGTGTGGAACTTACAACCTTTCCTATGAATGTCCTCTTAGTAACCATTAAAAAATTGAATTTACCCTTTATAATGACTGTAAATTAAAAAGATAAGCATTTCAGTTGATGGGTGACCAAAAAAAACCCTGCCATTATTTCAGATTTAAAAGAATCCCTGAATAGATTCATTGAGGAGGAATCCATAAAAGATCACGATGAAGAAGCAGAAGCAGCCCTGGAAGCTGTAAAGTCTGGCAAAGTAGATTTACACCAACTAGCAAATGCTTGGGCCAAAACCTATACTGAGGTAAGAAGTCTCCATAGCATTATATATGCTTCAGAAGATGATGCTGGAACTTATTTTTGTAGCATACTTATTCTTTACTGGATATTTCACTCTCTGATTAGAAATACATGAACCAGCTACTGTTGATTTGGCTCCATCAGGATCCATGCTCAGAGAATGAGTTTGCTTTTCCATTGTTCAGTTATTTGCCTTCCTCCCTTCTCTGGCTCTAAGAAATGATGGTTAATTTGAACATAAACTACTTCGCAAGGCATTACCAACTAATTATTGCTAGAAGGCTGATTGAGTTTTCATCTTTGGCTTATGCCTTCCTTTTTTCTGCTATTACATGAATTGCTTTTTAGTTTGTTTGCTTTTTTCCTTTTGTAACAAACACTGGCAAAAATGTTATTAATGTATTATATATTAGATACTTAAGAACTGTGTGTGCTTGCACAGAATCTTTTAAGTACAGTGGAACCTCTACTTATGGACATAATCAGTTCCGGAGGTCCGTCCGTAAGTCGATCCAGGTCACTGGTAGAAGTGCCGTTGTGTTCAGGCGCATTTGGTGGCAACGCACTTCTGCGCATGTGCAGACGGCGGCAGCCACTTCTGCGGGTGCACGAATCGCAGCAAACCCAGTATTTACTTCCGGGTTTGCCGCGGTCGCGACTTGGATCGGGCCCAAGTAGAGGCAGTCGTAAGTAGAGGTTGTACTGTAGTTGGTAACACATGAATGGATTTAAGTTATTAACAGATAAAAAAGATAGGTGGTACTGAGTTTTTCTTTCTGGGAATGATGGGAGTTATAGTTCAGAAGCTGAAGTGCCCCACTCCTGTCTGTTTAAAGGTATGTGGTGCACTAACAAATATAATTTGATTACCGTATTTTTCGCTCTATAGGACGCACTTTTTCCCCTCCAAAAATGAAGGGGAAATGTGTGTGCATCCTATGGAGCGAATGCAGGCTTTCGCTGAAGCCTGGAGAGCGAGAGGGATCGGTGCGCACCAACCCCTCTCGCTCTCCAGGCTTCAGGAAGCTATCCGCAAGCCTTCAGACCGCGGCGGGAGTGCCCGCCGGGCTCCCAAGGCTTGCGGATAGCAGCCTCGAAACCCAACGTGGTTTGGAGGCTGGTGGTGAGGGAAAGCAGTGCTTCTCCCCACCACCAGCCCCACAAGCTCGAGGGACAGCGGGGAGGCGCAGTGCCACCTTCCCGCTGTTCCCCGACCTGGTTTGGAGGCTGGTGATCGGGGAAAGCAGCGCTCCCCCCCCCCCCGCCAGCCCCAAAGAGCAGGTCGAAAGGAACCCGCTGGGCTCTGGAGGCTTCGGGTGAACGCACCTTGAACGCACAGAACGCGTTGTTTTAGAGGGGGAGAACAAGGAAAAAAAAATTTTTCCTGTTCTCCCCCTCCTATGGTCCGGTGCGTCCCATAGAGCAAAAAATACTGTACATCTGTAATCTACTGTATTGCCTTAAGTTTGCATTGATCAATAAAATCACTTGTACTAGGAAAGTACTGTTAAACACTGACAGTATGAGCCATTGATATTATTTAACATACTGTTCACAATCTTTAATGCAGATAAAGAACATTTTAAAGTTATCTTACTGCCTTTTCTAAAGATTCTTATAAACACAGAACAGCAATAATTATTCAAAACAAATGGGGTTTAAAAGGAAGAATGATACCGAATAATTTTTTGTACCTCTGTGTTATTATTTATATTCATTTGTAAAAATATTTATATACTGTTATTCCTAAAAAAAAAATCAAGAGTGGCTTACAACAATTGTTCATAAAACCCATGCAATAAAAGTAACATATAAAATAGTTAAAATGAGAAATCAGCTACCTGTTCTAGAAAGATGTATTCTTAATTGCCTAAATAAGCCTGATGGAATAGAAACTTTTTCAAGAGGAGTTGAAAAGTTGAAACAATGCAGAACAATGGAATGAAAACCTCCCTGGTGTGATTGGTGTGTGTTCTCAGATTCTGGTTGGCAGTGCTTCTAACTGGCATATGCTCATCAATCATTTTCATATCTTCATAACCTTATATAAAACTTACATAGCCAAATAGTAGGATACTGAATCGAATAGTGAATTGTAGCTGTCTTGTATCTCACATTAATTTTCAGAAATCCTGTATCTTAGGGCATTCCCAATAAATGTGATACACATCCGCTGTTGTTGAGGCACATACCCAGCAGCTGTCATTAGCCCCTGGATCAATCTGGTTCAATCAGTGGAGTCAAATATCAGCTAATAGGAATTTATGAAAAGTTTACATAGAGTTGATTCTGCCATGGTGTCCCCTGATCAAATTCAAGTTCTCACAGATTTCCTTTCATAAATCTTGTTTCTCCAGGGACTATTGGCATCAACTTCCAAATTAAGAATCATAAATCATAAATCAAAGAATCTGAATCAAAGCCCCTTTTTGACGGATTACCTGAAATCAGCATCTTAAAACTATGTGACACCTCTTGGGAAACTATGGCCCAAATCAGGGATCACCAACCTTTTTGGGCCAGTTGGCAAAATTACTGAAGTGCCTTTTTTGTGCTTAGCATCTTGTTGGAGCATAAAAAAAAACACTTTATTTGAGTTATTGACAGTTGCTATACAAGAATGAATGTGGGAGAGATCACCAGTTTGCTAGATATGGCTGCAGTTGTCAGCACATGGATTCTGAACCATGGAGGCAAAATCTTCCAGGGAAAACCCACAAATTTTATCAAAACAAAATGTCCCACGGGCAACCAATCAGTATAACAATTTAAATTTATTTATTTTATTTTATTTTTAGTTTTCATGTGCAGGGCACATTATCATCATTTTATAATTTTCCAGGCAACATTGGAATATGCAAGACCTGAAGACCCAAGCTGGGATGAAGATTTTGCAGATGTCTATCATGATCTTATCCATTCTCCTGCTTCTGAAACGCTGTTAAATCTGGAACACAATTATTTTGTTAGCATCTCTGAACTGATAAGTGAAAGAGATGTGGAACTGAAAAAATTACGAGAAAGGTAATTCTTTAAACTTGGCATTTTCTGTTAGACCTAAAATTATTATAAAGAGAGAAGAAATTAATCTGGTGTGTGTTGTTTTTCTAAAGAACTACCAGAGATTTAGGTACTGTCAGGAACCGAAGCACAGACAGTTGGTTTTCTTTTTTTAATGCACCTCATTTTTTAATGTATTGTTCCCGCCGAAGACAGTTTTTGAAGTTTCCCTTTGCCAGAGTTGAGTGTGTGTGACACTGTTGATTAAAAACAAATCTGCAGTCCTTTACAAACTTAAAAGTGATGGTCATGGAAGGGTCTTAATAAGCCTCCTTATGAAGTTGATAGAACTAGTTTTAGGGTCATAGTTCTTTGGATCCTGGCCACTAGCTGTGTAGTATGGAATTTTCTGGAAACACTTCATGGGGACAGGTCACTATTTCACACATTTAACTTGTGCGATATCAGCTTCACACACTTGGTGGCTGGGCAAATAAAATTCACGCAAGGTAGACAGCTTAAAAGCTCTTTCTGTGCCCGGTTTTCCCTGCTGGGAAGAGAGAGCTTTTAAACTTGTCAGATTTGCTTCCTGGGCTCTGTAAACCTCCCTACCTTTTCAAAGAAAGGAAGAAAGCCTATGCTAAATGGATATTGCAGCATGTAAACTGCCCTGCCCCATCATCTGGCCATGCTGGCTGTTGCAGTTCCTTTTTTATAATAGTTTTTATTAATTTTAACATATAAATTATAATACACACCACAGAACTTCCTCACTTATATAATCTTTTTTGGACTTCCATCAGCACCTCTGATGATCCACCGTTTTGACCACTTCTTATGCATTTCTTAATTTCATATTGCCTTTAATTGTTTTAACTAACCATCCTCCCCCTTATCCATTTTTGCAATAATTCCAATAATACTCCTCACAAAACTTCTTGCAAACCTACAAACATAGTCTGATCATCACAAATACTTTTCAAATAATCTGTAAATTTACTCCAGTCTTCTGTGAATTTCTGGTCCCGCCGATTTCGAATCCTTCCTGTTAGTTTATCCAATTCTGCATAGTCCATTAGTTTCATCCTCCACCTGGCTGTTGCAGTTCCAAACATCTGGAGGGCAGCTTACATAATGGTAGTGAGAGGAGACAAACCATTTTTTGGTGGCAGAAACCCTGTCGCGAACTCTCCCCCCAGGGAAATTTTACTTCCCCCCTCTTTGGTGGTTTTCATTCCACCAAGCCTTTAATGGTTTTTAGTTCTGATTGTCTTTTATGCTCTTCTTCAAGATGCTGTTTTTAAGATATTTCTTCTCAGCTTTTCTTCTATTGACATATGCTCATGGTGTGTGGGGGGGTCTCTTGTCAGGGCCAAATTGTGATGCATATCTATTTTTTACAAACGAACAAAATATTCCTGACTAGATTTTTATTGTAGGCAAGGTGCTGAAATGGATAAGGTGATGCAAGAACTAGGGAAGTCACTATCGGATCAAGACGTAAACATGCTGGCAGCACAACACTTTGAATCCCAGCAGGTAAATGAAGTACCTGATTTAAATAAATTGGGCAGCTCATTTGTTGTTAATCAATTGGCTGACTCAACGTCTCCTTTTAGGCTTTGGAGAACAAGTGGAACAATGAACTGAAGCAAACTACAGCTATCCAGAAACAGGAGTATCAGGAATGGGTGGTAAAGCTTCATGAGGATCTGAAAAACCCCGGCACCACTCTCGGGTACCCTTCTTTCTTAGTTTTCTTCTTAACTTGCTGATTAGGGATTATATCTGTTAGTTACTAATTAGAAGGAGCAGATTAGGGATGTTGGGGTCCGTCGCTTCTTCTGGCAAATGTTGAATCTAGTCCTGGATTAATTTATGGAACTGTTATTTTATTTTAGTGTAGAAAATCCACAACCTAATGTGAACTAAAAGCACACAGGAGGTGGGAGAGCCTCCGATAGGATGTTACTCTGTCACAATAAAGGGGTCTGCTTGTGTTGCAAGATCAGCACCAGGGACCTAAATATGAAGGTGGCAGCTGGTTGCCTGTTTGTTTTAACAAAGTGCTCAAAGGGGTGAGCACAGCTCTTCCCCTACCCATTTTGTCATTGCAACAACCCTGTGAGGTAGTTTAGGCTGAAGAGCAGCGTTTGGTTCAGGATCATCCAGCAAGCAATTACAGTTTTGTGGGGATTTAAACATTGGTCTCCCAGATACTGGATGAGGGTGGCGCTGTGGGTTAAACCACAGAGCCTAGGACTTGCCGATCAGAAGGTCGGCGGTTCGAATCCCCGCGACGGGGTGAGCTCCCGTTGCTCGGTCCCTGCTCCTGCCAACCTAGCAGTTCGAAAGCACGCCAAAGTGCAAGTAGATAAATAGGTACCGCTCCGGCAGGAAGGTAAACGGTGTTTCCGTGCGCTCCTCTGGTTCGCCAGAAGCGGCTTAGTCATGCTGGCCACATGACCCGGAAGCTGTACGCCGGCTCCCTCAGCCAATAAAGCAAGATGAGCGCCGCAACCCCAGAGTCGGCCACGACTGGACCTAATGGTCAGGGGTCCCTTTACCTTTACTCCCAGATCCTAGTCCAATACTCTAACTGCTACACCACATGGGCTCTCTGTAGCTCTGCCCTTGAAGCTGTTGCAGTTCACACGGTTAGGGTAAAATGCCTGTTCCTGTCAAATTAATAAATACGGAGGCAGTGGGGGACAGAAAGCTTTGTCTGGCTTCATTTTCTTTTCTTTTTTATTTCAGTGATGAAATAAATGTCCAACCCAATCAGTGGAGAGAATCTGCAGAAGGCAATGGGAGGCTTTTTGAAGACCAGAGACAGCTGGAAGAAAGTTTCACTATTCATCTGGGTAAGTGAAGGATTGAACGTCCAGAGCTTTTTCTCACAGCCACGTTTTCATTCATTTCCAGATTGAACATGTTTGTCCACATATCCATATTCAATGGCTTAACACACATACAGGCCACAAATTACCAAAATTTGAAACATGTCTTAAGTTGTGATCTAAACCTATCTTGGTAACCACATCAGTGAGTAAAAATTCATTGGAAAGCTTGGCTGGTATTGATTACAACTTATGAAAAAGGTTGTGCCCAGTGCAGATATTCCATCACTAAGTTTACTTAGTGTAAAGCAAGTTTTGTGCACCAGCAAAAGTAATTCATTTTGGAAATCGCATCGGTGATGACTAATGTGTCTTCTCTGATAGCCCAAATGATTTTCTAAATGCAAATGGACCCAAAATGGGTTTATTTCAAATAGACAGATACTAAAACTGTTTGATTTCCCCTGAAGTCAGATTATTGTTTTCTAGATATGTTTGTATTCCACCCACCTCGGCTATTTATTGAGTTGCTTGATATTGCTTCAATATTAGCAGACTTGCTGCTGATCTCTCTCTGAACTGGTGTACTTGGCCTTCACAAGGACATTACTGCACTATGGTTAAGTAAATTTCTATTCTGAACTGGGGTGAGTCTACTGGGCTTATTTCACTACACATGTCTGTTCTTTCACAAGCTACTAAGAGAATATATATTGTCAGGGAATTGCCATCAGCTCAGAGGCGAGAAGTGGAAGGGCAGTTGTGTTACAGGGAGCCTCCGAAGATCTTGCGAAGCAGTTCCTCCTCTGGCGAGGAGGAAAGCCCTGCCTCCAGTGGGGAGGGGGTGCAGGGACCAGAAGATGCTAGGGGGAGCCCCAACATCGAGCCTGAGCAAACCGGAGAGGAGGGAAGTCCCCCTTTGCTAGCGCCCTCTCTGCGCAGGAGGTCTGGGCGCAGAGAGGGGAGGAGAAGGATGGGGGTCACATGACTGTTATACTGGGGGAGGTACAAGGACCGGCCACGCCCAGATTCTGCTAGCGACTAAGCGGACATGGACTTGCGATGCTCTGCACTGTAAATAGTTTGTATTAATAATAAAGCCTGGAAAAGACAGGTTGGAGTCTTGCCTGTTTGCTCTCGAGCAACCACACCAGCATCTGACATATATGTTCACCTTTGGGGAGAGAATGTGTGTGGTTAGATATTAAAAGCTAACAGTAGTTAAACATCTTTAAACTGAGACATACAGTATAGCTCTGATCTTTGCTATTGCTCCCTCTATATGTGGGATCAGATAACTGGTTTTACAGTGTGTTTTAGATTAGCTTTAGCAGTAAAGTCAGATTAGCTGGACATGCTTATATAATTCACTTTTCCTGAGGTGATTTGAGCTCCTTTTGGTCCTTCTCCCACTCCCTGTCTCTCGCACGCACATCTTATTTTTTCCTCCTGCCTAGGAGCCCAATTGAAAACGATGCATAACTTGAGACTGCTGAGGGCAGATATGCTGGACTTCTGCAAGCACAAGCGCCATCACCGCAGTGGAGTCAAACTCCACAGGCTTCAAACGGCACTGTCACTTTATTCAACTTCTCTTTGTGGCCTGGTCTTGTTAGTGGATAATCGCATCAGTTCATACAGTGGGATCAAAAGAGGTAAGTCATCCTCATTGAATTGGATTTCTTCCTGTTGAGTTCAGGTCAAGAGTTACATAACTACTTCCTTTTTTTGCCCGAACTAACATATAATTGATCATTTGACAGCCACCTCTCATTTGATATAATGAAGTGCATCACACAGACAAATAGTTGTAAGGCCCACTTGTAAGAATGAAAAATGGGATAAAGAACATTCTGTTTAGCTGTAAATTAACACTATTCAGTAGTCAGGTTTGCACCCTTTTTTCCTTGCTGGTTTTAAATCGTTGGTTTTTAATTTAAATCGAAGCCCTCCTGCATGCTAGAACCTTTCCCCAACACCTAGTCTTCTGTGTGAAGGGAATGTTTTTACACAGAAAAGTATTCAATCGTGTGAACTTCTGGCTCATAAACCAGTTCTTCTCCACTGAGATCTGCGATCTTTCTTTCCTTTACTCCAGATTTTGCAACGGTTTGCCAGGAGTGCACAGACTTCCACTTCCCTGGGATTCAGGAGCAACTTGAAGTTGTTCAGCAAGTTGTACTTTATGCCAGGGCACAACGCAGCAGTAAATCCAAGAGACTGCATGGTCAGTACTACTTGTAGTTGCTTTCCTTCAAATATAAACTGAAAGCAATTTCTAGTGTCCTTTCCAGTAAAAATGAGGAAAATAAACTGTCAGGGAATTGACATCGGAGCTAGAGGTGGAGGGAAGGCTCTCCAATGATGCTGGAGAAGGGCCCAGCAGGGAGAGAGGCAGCTCAGCAGATGGGGAAGCAATTCAGTGCAACACCAGGAATAAGGAGGGGCAGATGGGGGAATCGGCGAGAGGGCTCCCAGACTCTTCACCGGACACCAGCGAGGAGAGCACTGGTCCTCCGCTACCCACGCCCTCCCTGCGCAGAAGACTTCCGCGCAGAGAGAGTAGGAGGAGACTGGGTGTCAAACAACTTTTATGTTGGAAAAGGTTTAAGAAACGCCCACTGACGGATTCTGCTAGCGACTGAGGCAGCCACGAATTGAAGGGCTGTCCAGACAGAAAGCTTTAACAAGGCAACATAGCCAGGAGAGGCGGCAACTTACGCACGAGCAACCCCATACCATTATATAAACATTTCAAAAGTGTTATTTAAGAATACATCTCTGCACACAGAATTTTTGTTTTAATTCTCAAGTTTCAATTGGTCACTGCTGCTTGAGTTATAAATGTTCCAGTCGCTTCTTCCTTGTTTGTGTAGAAAATAATTTGATCTTTCCTTGTGTGACATAATATATAACCAAGATACATTCAGTTACATGTGATGTACTATTTATTTTTTTTATAATCTACAGATTCAGGAAACAGAAACAATGGCAATGAAGATAAATCTAAGAACATAGAACAAAACCTATCAAATATTTTGCCTGGTACGTTTAGTTATGTAGTTTGTTCAGTAAGATGCGTTCCTTGCTAGAATTCATATTGCAGTCTTTTTTAAATTCCTGTGTCAATTTATCGTTCAAAGCTAGTTGCCAAATATGCTTTAACTGAAAGGCACCCCAGAGTTTCCCAGTGCTAGGCAATTTTGAGATGGGCTGCAACCAGTAACCTAATTCAGGTCTCTGTGAATTAAAGAATGATTTGTGTCATCTTGAAGCACAAAGGGAAGAAAAGCTAACAAAGGATCTGGTTTAATAGGTTGCTGTATGATTTGGGTAAATACTATCTTCCAAAAATCTGCCACTTTGGCATAGTCCTCCACAGGTGAAAAAGCACTTCCTTAACCTGACAAACCCACCAACAATATGCAGAGCGACTCCAATAAATATAATTCAGGTGAATTGGAGTCCTGTGCCATCAGGCTAGTCTCCTGTACTTTAGCAGAGATAGAGTGTAAATGAGGTCGAGATCAAGTCGCTTTCCATTCAGCTTCAGTAATTTTAATATTCACATCCTCCCGTAGCTGACAAGATTCAGAGTGGTCTGGGTATTGGAAATACAACAACATTTTATAAATTTGCACAATCGCCCCCTTATTTCTCTAAGGTAGTGTCTCTCATAGACTTTCAAACATTGTCAGAGATTGAGGAGGACCATAACTGACAGAGAAGACTTGGGCTTTCTGAAACCAGGAAACTTTTATACCTTATAGTAAGGAATCCAGCATTTTGGCTAAAATTTGTTTGATTCGTCAAATAAATCTTTCTACTGTGTGGTGCCCTTTTCCTTCCAAACCAGAGAACTGAGAGTAGTTCTCTGGGGTTTTAAAATTTAGGTGGTTTTTTAAAAAGTAGAAGTGAAGATGTAAAAGGACTGAGCTTTTGGCCCATCTCTTCTGTGTCGTGTCAGACTTAGGAAAGAGTTTTTAAAGTGAAGCAGAGATGGCAAGGCAAAGAGGCAGGGATGAAGCGTGTTGTTTCCATTGAAACACACAGGAATTTTTAGCATTACATGTCAGTACTTGTAATAGTTGACCTAATTGACAGGAGTCAGAATAAAGACTAATGACATTCCAAATCTCTTATGCTGTTCACTAAAGGATTCAAAAATATTCTGCCACTTTTTAAAAGTAGAATCAGATATATACCTGGGAAGAATTTAGAATAAAAACATAAACTTTGGCAGAATCATTGTTTTCAAGGCTGCTATATGCCCAAGCCAATATAAATTGAGAGTGGTCCAACTTATAATATCTTTCTCAATAGAAACTGCCAAAGGAGTAAAATTGTGTTTCACAGTCAAGAAGTTACAATCTCAAATGAATTTGTAAGTCCACTGTTGCACTACCTTGTTTTGACTATGTTCTATTTGTCCACACACGTAAATGTTAAATAGCATGGGGTACGTTTTTACACTTTGCCATGTAATCTTGCCAAAAAACATGAACGATATTTAATTCTTACCTAATAGAACACATCTGATATCCAGAATTGGGATCTGATGCTAAAATACTTTCCGACATTTTAATCCTTTCATAGGTTTGGTTTTAAATTTATCACTAAACTTATTATAACATTTTTCCCTTAGGAGAATTTTACATCACCCGTCATTCAAATCTCTCTGAGATTCATGTTACTTTTCACCTCTGTGTGGATGATAATGTGAGGTCAGGTAATATTACTGCCCGGGATCCTGCAATAATGGGCCTACGAAATATCCTCAAAGTGTGTTGCACACATGACATCACCACAGTTAGTATTCCTCTTCTGCTGGTACACGATATGTCTGAGGTAAGCAACTTATCACTAGTAACTGCTTTTTCCTGTTTAACGATACAGTGGTACCTCTAGATACAAATGGGATCCATTCTGGAGCCCCATTCGCATCTAGAGGTAAACGTATCTAGCGATGGCATGTCTGCGCGCACGTGCATCGCTTTTCGCTGCTTCTGTGCATGCGCGTGATGTAATTTTGAGCGTCTGCGCATGCGCAAGGGGCAAAACCCAGAAGTTACGCACTCCGTTACTTCCGGGTTGCTGCGGAGCGCAACTCAAACGCGCTCAACTTGAAGCAAATTTAACCCAAGGTATGACTGTATTGTGGCTGACCCTGCTAGTCTAGACCTGCTAGTTTCCTAAAGCGGTGGGCATCGACCCACAGTGAATAAAGACCTAGGAGTCTGAAGGTTCCTGGAGTAGAAAAGCAGTTTATAAGATATAATGTGAAAAACCTAATTGGGAACTGTGATCTTCAGAAATAAAGGTCATGGGCATATACGGAGTGCATCTCCCTTTCTACTGAAAAGCCTGTATATTTAACAAGATTCCGCAGTACAGCAGTGTTCTCAGACCCTACTATATTGCTTTTAAAAAAAGTATACAGGAGAAGAGTTTCAGTTTTAAAACCATTGTGAGGTGTGTGGGTTTTTTTGCAGTATCCAAAGGAAAAAAAATTATTTCCTCCAAAGATACAGCTATAAAAGCAAGCTGCCTTCTGGAAAACTTCAAGGAACTTTTAAAAAGGCTTTGGAGCTCAGCTTCAAAGCTACATTCCCCCCCACCCCATCACCACAAACACATAATTCAGGTCTCCTTGCTGCTGCTTAACGCCATCATTTTAAGAAGTTCTCGACACCGTTCGAAAACCTATGTTAAAAATGGGAGGAGGAGCAAGCACTCTCTCCCACAATTATTTTTTCTCCCATCCCAAATGGGGTAGGAACATAAGTAAAATAGTCACATTTTGTTCACTGGTATTCTGCCTCCCTCTCCCTGCTTGCTTAGGGTAGCTAGCCTAGCTAGAAATAATAATAATAATAATTTTTATTTATACCCCGCCCTCCCCAGCCAAGGCCGGGCTCAGGGCGGCTAACAAGCAATAATAAAAACAAGTTGAATGAATACAACTTAAAAACGAGATGAAAATACAACAATTAAAATATTGAAACATTAAAATATTAAAATGCAGCCTCATCACAGGAGGAGAAAGGAAAAAAGAAAGAGGGGGAGGGAATCAAATTGGCTCCAAGCCAAAGGCCAGGCGGAACAACTCTGTCTTACAGGCCCTGCGGAAAGAAATCAGATCCTGCAGGGCCCTGCTCTCATGAGGCAGAGCGTTCCACCAGGCCGGAGCCAGTGTTGAAAAGGCCCTGGCTCTGGTTGAAGCCAATCTAACTTCCTTAGGGCCCGGGACCTCTAGGGTGTTGCTATTTATGGACCTTGAGGCTCTCCGTGGGGCATACCGGGAGAGGCAGTCCCGTAGGTACGAGGGTCCTAGGCCGTGAAGGGCTTTAAAGGTCAAAAGCAGCGCCTTAAATCTGACCCTGTACTCCACCGGGAGCCAGTGCAGCTGGAAAAGCACTGGGTGAATATGCTCCCATGGCAGAGACCCCATGAGGAGCCTCACTGCAGCATTCTGCACCTGCTGGAGTTTCTGGGACAGCTTCAAGGGCAGCCCCACGTAGAGCGAATTACAGTAGTCAAGCCTGGAGGTGACCCTCGCATGGATCACTGTGGCCAGGTCGGGGCGGGAAAGGTAGTACACACATTCATGGGGCTCTGCAAAATGTGGTGTGTTCTGTCGCTCGGTAGGCACATCCTGCGAGGAAATAGCTCTGGGCACAGTCAGAATCTAGAATCGATTCTGATTGACTTATTAGGGCTTGATAATACCTGCCCTCTCCGGTTTATTAATAGGATTTTGTGCTGTGTGCTCATTCCAGTATTGTGATTGGCGTGATTATTAATAGATGGCAACTTCTGCTATTCCACAAACACACAATTCCCAAGTGTTCATTGGCTTTTATCTGGCAGTATGTTGCATTGTGATCCTAAGAAAAAATGTCACCAGTATTCACAAGAATACAGTGGTACCTCTAGTTACGGACTCAATCCGTTCTGGGGTGCCGTTCGCACCCAAAAAAATGTGCAACTAGAGTGCCGCTTACGTGCACGGCGCAATAAAACGCTTCTGCGCATGCGCACGTGGGGCTTGCCCCACTTCCGAGTTTGCCGCGTTTGTATCCTGAAAAAACACAACCGGAGACTGACGTAACAAGAAGTAATACTGTACTCGAAAATGGGATTTCTCTCTTAGCCTACTGACATATGCCCATGTGTGTGATATGTGAAAATGCATATCAGAATGATGGGGGCCCTCCAGAGAAACGGGGAAAATTTGTGACCCCTCCTTAAGAACAACTCTTTTGGTGTGGAAGGAGGGGAATATGGTTTTCACCCAGGGATGTCTCCACTCACCCTGATATTGGATCACCCTGCTTTTAGACCCTTGGATAATATCAGCAGTTCCAGGCCTGGGAATCAATGGGAGTCCATAGAATGGGTGCCATTAAGGAGGAGGTTATAATTGCATTGCTAGAGAGGACCCTATCATTCCTCCTGCATGATAGGGTCACTGGGTTGGGCTCCAGCTCCACCTAGTGGACAGGCGGGAAGTGGGTGTCTCCTAATCAGCTTTTGCTCCCACCTGAGGCATTCTCATCACTCTTGGTCAGGGGTCAACAAAGTTTTCGTGGCTTGGGCCAGTTCACGGTCCCACAGAAGCCGCGGTAGGCCGGAGTGTGGGTGTGCGCACATGCGCAAATGCTATTTCCGGAACTCCTTCCAGTGCGGAGGAGACGTGCACAGTTTCCCATTGGCTGCAGGAGCTTCCTGCAGCCAATGGGAAGCCGGTCAGCATCACGGAAGGCGGTTCCTGCTGTGCTCTGCACCGGTTTAGCGTGGAACACGGGAGGCGACCAAGCCGGTAGCGGGGGTCCCCGAGTGCCTGAGTGGGAGGCGGGGGTCCATGGGCTGGTTAAATGACCCCCATGGGCTGTTTGTGGCCCATGGGCCTTAGGTTGCCAACCCCTGCTCTTAGTTCTCGCTTCTTCTACATTTTTTTCCACTCCTCTGAAGCCCCTCTCCACCCAACTGCCCTCCAGCTCTTCCAACCTCCCTCCATTTGGAGCGGTAGCTTCCTCCCACCCTTTTCGACCTTTCCTTTCCTAAATATTTTTTTCAGCTTGTTTAGCTAAAAAATGAAGAAGAAAGGGCTTCCCCTCTTTCTCCTTCCTCTTCCTTTCCCTGCTCAAGGGACTGTATTCAGGGAAGTGGACTTGGATCACAGCCTGCCCATGACCCATAGAGCCGTTCCACATGGTTCAGTGCACCTGATCAGGCCCATGTCTTTCTTGGGTGAGCATGTCTGTAACTCCCCTTGCCTGCACAGGGCAGCAGCCTTCAGCACTTTTCAGCAACTCAGGACCCCCCAGTAGGCCACAAGCAAGATAAGGTACCTTGACTAGGTATTGATACATCACCCAGGAGTGGTTTGAGGGCCAGAACACGGTGGCGCTTTCACCTGGCGGTATATCGTGGGTGAAACCACTGCTGTCAGGTGTAGCCACCATCACACACTGGCCCTTCAACTGAGGGGGAAACGAGGCGCAGAGGAATGAGTCCCATTGGCCCTGGCCCCATTGTAACTCCCTCTGTGCAGTGGCTGCAAGTGCCACATAATGCTCATTCCTCACTTGTAAGAAAGCTCTCCTCTTCCCAGAGGGGAGGTGTTGTGAGGGGGAACCGTTCCTGCGTCAGCAGGGGGCCGTGTTTCATAGAATCATAGAATCATAGAATCATAGAGTTGGAAGAGACCACAAGGGCCATCGAGTCCAACCCCCTGCCAAGCAGGAAACACCATCAGAGCACTCCTGACATATGGTTGTCAAGCCTCTGCTTAAAGACCTCCAAAGAAGGAGACTCCACCACACTCCTTGGCAGCAAATTCCACTGTCAAACAGCTCTTACTGTCAGGAAGTTCTTCCTAATGTTTAGGTGGAATCTTATTTCTTGTAGTTTGGCTCCCTGCATCATCTCCCCGGCTGCTGCCCCGCCCTGCAGTGGGCCAGCCAATAGGGTTGGCCTGGGGGCGGGGTTTAGCCGTATTCAAGCAGCCGCGGCAGCCTCCGCGCCTCATTCTGCTTCCTGGAAGACGTCGGATCACCCGCCCGCCCACCCTTTAGGCTAGGTTTGTGCTCTTGACCTTGCTATGGACCTTGGTTGGTTGCCCAGGGGGCCTGGTAGGAGTTTTTGTCCATTTGGCTAAATTGGCACCAGCCTCTTGCTTTTTCGCCTGTTGTTGTTTAGTCGTTTAGTCGTGTTCGACTCTTTGTGACCCAATGGACCAGAGCACGCCAGGCACTCCTGTCTTCTACTGCCTCCCACAGTTTGGTCAAACTCATGATGGTAGCTTCGAGAACACTATCCAACCATCTTGTCCTCTGTCGTCCCCTTCTCCTTTTGCCCTCCATCTTTCCCAACATCAGGGTCTTTTCCAGGGAGTCTTCTCTTCTCATGAGGTGGCCAAAGTATTGGAGCCTCAGCTTCACGATCTGTCCTTCTAGTGAGCACTCAGGGCTGATTTTCTTAAGAATGGATAGGTTTGATCTTCTTGCAGTTCATGGGACTCTCAAGAGTCTCCTCCAGCAGCATAATTCAAAAGCATCCATTCTTCGGCGATCAGCCTTCTTTATGGTCCAGCTCTCACTTGCATACATCACTACTGAATTGCCTACCTCATAGCAATTCGTCACAACTTTTCCGATTTTGGTGGTTATGCACTGGAATATGTGTTGGGGGGTGGGGGGTGGCCATCACCTACCCCGCCCCATTTTGGGTATTCCGTTAAAGGAATCCGGCGGTCGTGGATCATGTCCGATTCCCTTGCTGGTGGCTAGGGCCACGGCATGACCCCCGGTAACATCAGGGGAAGCTTCCAGTTGTATTTGCATCAACAAGCTCCTCCCACTGGTTGTTAACCTTCAAATGACCCCCCGCTGCGCAGGTGGGGTCGAATATAGGTAGTTTGATCCAGTGCATAAGCCAATAACGCTCACATGCTGTAACCAATGAAAGTTGTGGCCTTTTTCAGCCCGTTAACCTAAAATACTTGTGTCCATGTCCATTACTTCTCCACTACGCGGGTTAGGGTCCTCAACTCACAAATCATTCTTTCATTGTGGCAGCACCTGTACTTTGGATCTCCTTCCCCCTTGACTTCAGGCAGGTGCCTTTGTTGTACTTTTTGCCAGTTGTTAAAACATTATTGTTTAGACAAGCCTGTCCATTAACAGCCTGTCCATTGACGTTACCTTGTTTTAATCTCTCTTTAGTCTATTGTTAATTTTAATTGTTTTTTTGAATGTTTAGACTTGTTTTTGCCTGATTTTTATTTACAATGCTCAGATTTCTTGTAAACTACTTAGAGCTTTTCTTGCAATCCAGCGGTGTATAAATTTTGTTAAATAAGATAAACAAACGGTGCTGTTCTGAGAAGATTAATTTTATAGATTTAAATTCTGTGCTGTTCTCTGTGCCCTGGCTTATTTTTATTCTGTGCATACCCAAAATGACAAGTACACACGTTGTCATCCAAAGCAGTCATCATCCAAGTGTCACATCCTGTTTCTTCCAGAAAGCCTTTTATGGCATCATCTCGTAACCTCACTGACTGCCAAATGTGCTGCTAATTTCCCTTCAGAATAACAGGACCTTCCTTTTTAGAGTCTGGTTTTTATCTTCGCCAAGACGCAGATCAAAACCACCGGCAAACACCCACGTTGCATGTGAGCAAGAGAGCGTGTGGGCAGATGAAATTACAATGGAGATCTAGTATTTCTTCCGCTAAGCCTGAAAAATCCCTATATCTGTATTCCGTTATCCCTTGCTACTCTTTCTGATTCATATATTACATAACCCCGAGGGCTAAGTAAACAGACGTTAAGGATTTGCATCATGAGAAAATTGATTCTAAATGTTTCCAGTTTACAAGATGTTTTGTGGTTTTACCTTCAGTCTGTATTTTATAAATGTTCACTGAATCTAGGTATTTTAGTCTTGCTATCCTTGTAGGACATGGTGGGACAGATTTGGCTGCTTCCAAACAATGAGTCTGAAATTTAACCTGAATTTAACAGTTATTTATTTTATCAAATGTAAGTTTTGACTTTCTATACTAGGTCCTCAAGGTGGATAAGTGAATAATGTCGAAAATACAACGTAAAACAAAAACCAGTAAAAAGCACAGATGGTAACTGATAAAGCAGCAAGATAAACACAGTCATTAGCTGATATAAATTGGTGTATTTTGAGAACCCAAGAATGAATTTACAGAGCTTATTTATTAGCAGACTTATGAAATGATTGGGACCCTTAATGTGCTTTCGCAGTATGATGACATAGTGCATGGCAGGGGAGCAGATTTAATCACAGTATAGTTTGACTGTGGCATGATAGAATCAGAGCCGGAGAGGATCTTTTAGGCCATGTAGTGCAACTCCCACTTGATAGAACTACATCATCCCCAATGTCCAGCCTCTTCTTGAAGAGCTCTAGAAAGTGAGAACCCACAGACCTTCTAGAGACTTGGTCCCATTGCCCATTGTCTCACTGTTAAATGAAATGAGACTTGTATTAATAAAGATATTGGGGGAGGGCAAGCAACAGGCAGTGGTTTGGGGCGCGGATTGAGTGAGCATAGCAACCGTATATTCCATGAATTTGAGATGTTAAAGTTGGATGAATGAAGAAATGGTGACAGTTAACTTGTTGCAATGGCTTATTAATTTGAGTCATTTGCTGAGTGTCTTGATCTGTATATAAACCCCCTGCTATTTAATTGATAATTAATCAATTTCAATTTTTGTTTTTTAAGGAAATGACTATATCCTGGTGTCTGAAAAGGGCAGAGCTTGTATTTAAGTGCGTTAAAGGTTAGTAGTGCACAGTCATAGTCTACATTTTTTGGAAATGCCAATTTCAAGAGTAATGGGAACATCCTTAACTCAGTAAGCCCATGCATTGCAAGCAAAAAGTTCCAGGTTCAATCCCTGGTATCTCTGGTTACAAAGCTCAAATAGTACAGTGCGGAAAGACCTGAGACCTTTGATAGCACTAGACTAGACTAAATCAGCATGAGACAACTTCGTATGTTCAACTAAAGTAGTGGTTTCTGAACTGTTTGAAAACTAGACTTAACTACTATGCAGATGTGTGTGGAATTGCAGCCTGAACCACACTGCATATCAATATTATTTTCTTCTGAACGGAGTATCCATCATAAAATCCACTATGCCAAGAGCTCTTTGTCTTATTGAGCTTTTCAAGACCAGAATAAACTCTTTGGGCCTTCCCATTGAGAATACCAGATAGACACCATAAACATAGAAGAAACTGCTCTGTATGATCTACCGTATTTTTTGCTCTATAGGACGCACTTTTCCCCCTCCAAAAATTAAGGGGAAATGTGTGTGCGTCCTATAGAGCGAATGCAGGCTGCGCTGCTAAGCCCAAAGCCAGAACAGGGAGACGGAGCACTGCGCAAAGCCTCCACAGGGCAGTGGGGTGAAGGCACCCCGCTGCTCTGCGGAGGCTTCAAAGGTTGTGCTCCGGGGGCTTCAGGCAGCTATCCGCAAGCCTTTGGAGCACGGCAGGAATTCCCGCTGCCTCCAAAGGCTTGCGGATGGCCGTCTGAAGCCTGGAGAGCGAGAGGGGTCGGTGCACACCGATCCCTCTTGCTCTCCAGGCTTCGCTTCACTGGAGAGGTGCTGCACAGTTTTCCCTCTCTGCGCAGCACCCCTTCAGCAAAGTGGGAGGAGAAATGGAAGGGGCTCCGTTTCTCCTGCCGCTTCGCTGAAAGGGCACTGAGCAGAGAGGGGGAGAATTTTTTTTTTCCTGTTCTCCTCCTCCTATGGTCTGGTGCATCCTATGGTCCGGTGCGTCCTATAGAGCGAAAAATACGGTACCGTATTTTGCGCCCCATAGGACGCACTGGCCCATAGGATGCACCTAGTTTTTTTGGGGGGAAATAAAGGGGAAAAAAATTATTTCGCCCCCAGGTGCGGAGCTGGAAGAACCAGGTCGGGGAACAGCGGGAAGGCGCGCTCCGCCTCCCCGCTGTCCCCCGAGCTTGTGGGGCTGGCGATGGGGAGAAGAGCGCTGAGCCCGGGACTGCAGGCACCTCTGCGCAGCCATCGGGAGCCGGGCAGGACTTCGCACCATGCTCCGATGGCGCGCAGGCTGCGCTGAGCCCGGACTGCAGGCAGCTCTGCGCGCCATGAGCCGGTCTCCGAGGTTGCGCAGAGCTCTGGCCTGAGAGCGAGAGAGTCGGTGCACCGACTCTCTCGCTCTCCAGGCTTCAGCGAAAGTCTGCATTCGCCCCATAGGACGCACACACATTTCCCCTTCATTTTTGGAGGGGGAAAAGTGCATCCTATAGGGCGAAAAATAAGGTAGTAATAATGCATTAGGTAAGACCATGTTGACTTGTTTCTCTGCACTAAGAGATGCAGCCTGCTTCCAGTCCCAGCCAAGCCTTGTATGAAAAGCAACATGTTGCAGGAAGCTGTCCTTGCTTTTGGGGTTGTGGACAATGTAGTGTGGGGAGATAGGAATTCCTCTTCCAAGGATGTTCCTTTCCAGTTCTATTCCACATTGAATTGTACTAGCAGAACCACTGAAAGTCTGCACTCCTTTAGGTGGAACTTGGGCAAAAGCTTGTACGCTTGACTCAAGCCAGTTCCTTTCATGGTGTGATGTGAAGCTGTTGTAGAAAACTGGGAGCGCCTAACTGGCTTTGATCAGTCAGGTGGCTTAATCACAGAAGCCAGGTTCTATTATATACAGTCCTGGTTGGAGCCATGACTTACAGGGTCACTGTGTTTTTGAATTCCTTCCAGGATTCATGATGGAAATGGCTTCATGGGATGGAGGGATTTCTCGGACGGTTCAATTCCTGGTACCGCAGGTAAGTTAATGAAGACACACACACACACTTTAAATTTTGTTATGTTCTAGAACAGAAATTTTGATAGGTTCTAGAACAGAAATGGTTCATAGATTGCCCTGAGTGGTGGTGTTATTTTTAAAAAATTAAAATTAAAATCTATCAACTTTATGCCAAAAGGCACCTCCCAATCCCATGGTTTTGTTAGTATTTAAAAAAAAAATAGTGTGGTTTATCAGACGGAATGCCTGCCCTGGATTCGAATCTCAGTTCAGCTTTGGAACTCCCTAGTTTATATCCCAGCTTACAGGTTCATTGTACAGATAAAATGGGGACGGTCATCGTATATGTTGCCCTGAGCTGCTTGGAGGGAGGGTGGGATAAAAATATAATTAAGTGGCTATTTGTAGCTGATAAGCAGAACTTTGCAAATATGTGGCGTAGATTCACACATTTTGTAAAATAGCTGTTTGTATAAAATAAACAGAGTTTATTTTGTGAAATGAGAGGCGTGTTTTATTGATTGCTGGGATGAATCTGAATAGTTGGAAATTCCGTCTCCCACCTGATGTGTAGGGTGCCCTTATGAAGCTCTTTCGGGAGGAAGAGCTGGATATAAATTAAATAAATAAAAATGTAAAAGTTGCAAGGAAAGCTCAGAGGCTTAAATTGTGTTTGAGCTAGAGAGAACAAGAAACGTATTTATTCTTTGGCTCTCTTCCTTTTTATTACAGAGTATTTCTGAAGAAATGTTTTATCAGCTGAGTAATATGTTGCCACAGATTTTCCGTGTCTCATCTACGCTCACTCTGACATCCAAACACTGAGTGCCGTCAAATACTTGGAAAAGGAAATATATAACACTGGATCAATTTTAATACGTTAATCATCCCCTCCTTAATGATAACCACCTGAATGTGATTAGGGTGCAAATTCCTTGAAAAAGCTGGGACTCAAGACATACTTTAAAGCTTGCACGAGGCGAAGTGCGTTGGTTTGTTGTTTTCCCGCCCCTCACTTTTGTCTGCATGCCTTCTCACCATATTATGGGATGTTTTGGGTCCTCCAAGCTTCAGAAGCAGTGGGGAGAGAGGGGCAGTAGGAAATGTGGTAGAAGCCTAATTGATGTGTGAAATACAACAGTGGAGCTCTGGGTCAAGCCGTAGTGTATTTTCCTGTTCATAAATATTGTCAGAGACATAAATAATTTTTAAAAAATGGATCTCTTGACAAATGTGTTGATACTTTGTATGCGGTGTAACGTTGATCTCATTTACATTGTTGGCATTTGACATTCTTTGCATTTATTTATATGTGCAGAAATGGCTACAACTTGCTTCAGCGCACAGGTTGCAGTCATAAGCTTATGGAGGCTGGTGGCCGCTGCTGGGAACAGTGGTCGTCATTCCACACACACCCCCCAAAAAAAAAATATGTTTCGTGCAACTTACCTGAGGCCAGATACCATGGCTTTGTGCATTTGACCTGCTCACATTCCACCTCATTGGCTGCTAGGAGCCAGGGAAATGCACAATTTTAGGAAGCCACAATATGGGTTACCAAGGGGAAGGGATTTAGACATAACACTGCTGTTTTCATTTGCAGCCATGTGTATATTGTAGCATCTGACCTTGTTAAGAAGCAAGTTTGGCGAGTCCACTGCAACTTCCTTCCAAGCGGAGTGCTGGCTTAATGGAGCAAGATACTTTTCTATTCCTGCATTATTATACTTGTTCAGTAATACGTAGTAAAGCATGAAATATGATAGGTAAGCCCTTTAGTAGTATGATACATTTAAACAAAATGAGAGGAGAATCACCTTCCTTGAGTTAGCAAATGAAAAATAATGATCATTTCTCACTGTCCTAGATTCATGCCACAAGATTTGTGTGGTGTGGTACAGTTCTGAGTCCTAGGTCACATAGTTTCAGTCTTTTACTGATCATTCTTGTAATTGTCACCCATTTCTAGAATTGACTTTTCCTTTCTGAGGTACAGTGTTTTGGTGTTGGGATAAGATATGACATATCAGCTCCTCTGCTCTCCCATCACACCATTCCTCTTGAGAGCCTGTGCACAGAACTGCTCTGGAAGATAAAACTGTCTTTTCTTTCATCTTAACCTATAATACTAAATAACCTGAAACACTCGAAGAGCGTTGCTCAATTAAACCATGACAAGCATCAATAGCACATGCTGTGGGACAAACGCCACCTTGTCCTTGTCTTCAGACTTCACATCAAATGAATGGATCAGTGTGCAGAATCTAGAAACTTTATTTGTGAGTGGCTTGAAATGAAATGAAATTTATTACGGTCCCAGACCCAGCTTCACATACCGTACTAAGCGAACGTAAAACACAATAGAATTAAGTTTGAATTAACAATTGAATATAACAATAAACAATATGAATATGACAGCCATTAGAAATGTGGTTTAGGTCTTAGTCTCTAAAATATTATCTAGAGTTTGCATCTGAGGCCTTAGTCTTTGTAATAGCACAGCGTGTTCCCTGAGTTTTATGGCAGCTGCGCAAAATTTGACCACCCTTAGTGTGATCTCTGGGTCCTTATCCTCTATCGGGGATTTTAAGCATTGAGGTTCAGACCCACTTGGAATTTTCTGTATAACAGGGGTGATCAAGACTGAGCATATATCCTCATAAGAACGACATCGTAGCAAGACATGAGAGACGGTTTCCACCTCTATCAGGCCGCAGGGGCAGATTCGCTCCACATACAGTTTTATTTGCCCTGCGTTAAGGTAGATGGCAGCATGTTGAATCTAGCAAGGGTGAACGACCATCTTTTAATTTTGACAGATATATTGCTGGGGTAAAACCTATCCCAGTGTCTTTGATTGATGGGTTCTTATTCATCTCACTCACATGACACCGAAATTCTGCATCCCAGATTCGTTGGTTGAGTGGCTTTGTTTTGCTTCCAAACCGATAGACACAGACCCATCCATGCAGTTTTAGGCGAATTATGTCATAAAGGTTAGGCCTCTCCATAATTTAAAATGTAATCTATTTAAGTAAGGATCCTTCGTTTAACCCAAAGGAGGACCTGCCTTCTCAAGGCAGGAAGCAAAAATTCCAAGCAAGTTGGAAGATCGGTGGGAGTTTGGAGACCCTGGAGAGGAGAAAGGGAATCAAAATTAAAAGGGTATATGAACCTGATGCTTATAGAGCATGGGTAGGCCCAGGGGCCAGATCCAGCCCAATCGCCGCCTAAATCTGGCCCGCAGACGGTCTGGGAATCAGAGTGTTTTTACATGAGTAGAATGTGTGCTTTTATTTAAAATGCATCTCTGGGTTATTTGTGGGGCATAGGAATTCATTCATATTTTTTTTTCAAAATATAGTCCAGTCCCCCACAAGGTCTGAGGGATAGTGGACCGGCCCCCTGCTGAAAAAGTTTGCTGACCCCTGTTATAGAGTAATACCGGTTATGTTAACAAACTGCTCCTTTGATGTGAATAAGCACACTTCTTTAAAGAAAATTTAAAAAATTGTCCAGCAGCACCTTAGAGACCAATGTAAGTTTGTTCTGGGTATAAGCTTTTCTGTGCATGCACACTTCTTCAGATACTATTTTCTAAAAGAGTAACTCTGCCTCTGTTTTTTAAAGAAATAATTAATATGTGGTCAGCAGACAAGGAAGGACAAGAACCCAAGCAGCTGTTTCCCATTAGAAAGGGACAATAGGGAAGGACTCTTGAGAAAATTTCCCCATACAAAATCATAATAGTATTTGCTGTGTCCATTTAGTTCAGTAGTCCAGCCTGGATCTCCAGGTGACCTTGCATTAGTTGCTTAAGCATTGCCCATTTTTTGCTAATCATCCCTGTTCCCTGCAGACCGCTGTACCCCTTCTCTTACGCGATAACAGCATTTTTTGTTTGGGGCTGCGTGTGAAAGGGATTGCAGCAGCAAGCAAATAGGAGAGCCCTGTTCCATATTTGCTCATATTTGGCTTTCCTGTGTCATTACAATACACCATCCATTCAAATAGATTCTGCCTCTATAAACATAGGATTTTAGCAATTGTGACCAATGTGATCATAGACAGATTAGTCCTTTCTCTCTTTTTAAGCCACCTAAGCTAGTGGACACGGACGCGGGTGGCGCTGTGGGTTAAACCACAGAGCCTAGGACTTGCCGATCAGGAGGTCGGCGGTTCGAATCCCCACGACGGAGTGAGCTCCCGTTGCTCGGTCCCTGCTCCTGCCAACCTAGCAGTTCAAAAGCACGTCAAAGTGCAAATAGATAAATGGGTACCGCTCTGGCGGGAAGGCAAATGACATTTCCGTGTGCTGCTCTGGTTCGCCAGAAGCGGCTTAGTCCTGCTGTCCACATGACCCGGAAGCTGTACGCCGGCTCCCTCAGCCAATAAAGCGAGATGAGCGCCACAACCCTAGAGTCGGCCACAACTGGACCTAATGGTCAGGGGTCCCTTTACCTTTACCTTAAGCTAGTGGACAGTGAATGCCGTCATAATGCATTGTAAGGCCATTGTTTTTGCCCCGTGAACCTGCTGTAAGTCAACTTAATTGGAATGGCCTGAGTTCCACAGTTATTATTCTGTAATTGTTTTACAATCTGGGTTCTTTTCATCGCTATGTAAGGGGAAAGGATGGGCTGAAGGAAGGCAGCTGAGAGATGCATCTGGGGGTGTCAGTTTCGTTTCTGGGCAACCATTTTACAGCTGCTGTGAGTCTGAAGCTAAAGGTCAGTACAGAGACGCTGCAGAAGAGAGTTCCATGCACATTCCAGCTGTGAACACATGGCTGCTGCTTGTCTGTTTCGGAGGAATTTTCAGTGTACCCTCGCATGCTTGCCTTGACCTCGCTCCATGCCTTCCGTCTAGTGTGAATCAGGCAGGAGCTATTCTCTAATCTCACGTCAAATAGGCATTCTGCACAGGAGATGCTTTGAATAGCTGCATATCATCATTAGAGCGGTGGCTATGAATGGATCTCATTTATCTTTAGCCCAAGGTTTGCATCCTATTTGCAAGGGCCTCACGGGATCATCAAGCCAAGATCAAGCTTAAAAACTCTGGAATATTGAATAATTTGTGGAATTCGTTGACTTCTAAATAGGAGGAATGTTCAGTTCCTTTAAAAAGGAGGGTTGGGCCAAAATTATCTCATTTTCGGATCATTTTCATGTGTCAAAGAAGCTCCCCCCATTTTTGGCAATTTCCTGCACTTGGTACAAGCATATTCACATTGTTTCCATACTGTTCCTCTTGGGACCATTTTGTCAAGCGATCATCTGGCACCAAATTTCACATTGTGACTGCAGAAACTCCGTTTGTATCACATCACATTTATCTATTAAAAATTTTATTCTGCTTTTCTCCCAGATTGAATCATTTAGAATCAAATTAACAGCGCAATAGCATACACGTATACACAGAAATAAGTCCCACTGAGTTTAACGCAACGTTTTCCTGGGTATTTGAGTGCAGGATTTCAGCTGTAAAGGGTTAAATAACTTATCATAATAATCAACTATGGTTCTAAAACTCAGTACATATTTTTGTTCATGATTTCTCTAGCTTCCGTTTGTTTTGTTTTTGAAGGGTATGAGCTGTCCCACCCAGGTAAGTAAAAGGAAAGAGTTTGGAATATAATTTTGTGAAGCCTTCCTGCCTCTCCTCCTCTATTTAGTCACATGGTTTGCAGTCTCTCCATTCATTGCTCACCATATAAGTCCATTCTAGGGATCATTTCCTTGCAAGACCCTGGCCCACAATGTTTCATCCACAGGGATGGAAGGAAGGGGCCCTATTAAGCCCTAGGCTGATGGTTTGTGCACAATTGTACCATTCATTTTTATGAATCGATCTCTAAAAGATGGACGGTTGAGCAACTACAAATCTAATCTGTTGAAACACTTCGCTGTTACTGCTTAAGATAATGATCTGTTTGTTTATAATTAGACTTTTTTATATGGCACAAGTTGGAAGTCTCTACAGCTACAAAGGCTTTCGCCAGCTAGAGGACATACTTTTGTAACATCAGTTGATAAAAATAAGACGGTCTTTTTAATAGAACAAGTTACTTACATTTTATATTTAACCACTGTCAGTACTATTATTTCAAAATACTTTCGAAATCTGATCTTGATCTTGCATATGTTAAGAGCTGTCACAAACAGATGCCTTCGCTCTTTGGCAGGGGTCAGAAACCTTCCCAAGCAGGCACACCAGACCCTGAAGTCCCCCACCCTTAGCAGCCAATTTGGCAGGGGGGCGCTCCCCACCTGTTAATCACCTGACATCACAATGACATCAGGCAACCCATTTTTCCTTTGCAGCACTTTTCTAGACTAATTTAAATCTGATTTCTCAACTTGGGCGTACTAGCTTTTAACAAATTATTCCCATTTCTTTGGCTCTGTAGGAGCTCAAAAAAAACCCCAGTCCAAACACGAAGGAATAATAGCAAGGGTTAGGAATCCACATGCTCAATTGGATCCACTTCAGAGGGAATTCTAGGTGTGTAAATCTGAGGCAGCTGCTGAGGAAGACAAAGAAGAAGGATTTCCAACGGATCTCCTTATTTTAATGCCAAATTTGCCTGTGCTCAGTGTAAAAGGATTTCCAGCACATGTACTCGGCATAACATTCAACTGCTGCTTACGTTAGTGCACCTTGTACAATGGTTTGCATACAGAATACAGTGGTACCTCGGGTTACGAACTTAATTCGTTCCGGAGGTCCGTTCTTAACCGCCGCCCCGCGATTTCCATTCTCATCCTGGGGCAAAGTTCGTAACCCGAGGTACTACTTCCGGGTTAGTGGAGTTTGTAACCCGAAGCATTTGTAATCCGAGGTACCACTGTATACTTTAATAGGATATAGCTTTAACCCACAGAGACTTGTGCAGCTATCAAAGACAGTGAAGAAAGTAATTCCAAGCTGATAAGGACATTCTGTAGTTAACGGCTCACAAGGCTGGGAGCCACATCTCTCTTGCGATCCATACTGAGAAAGATGTGAATGCAGGAAGCTTATTTCACTAATAGAAAACAAGACAGCAATCACCACTACACCTGCTGACAGGAACATCAATTGTCAAGGTGGAACATGACATGGACTCCTCACGTTTGGTTTGCAGGCAATGGTGATAACTTGTTGCAGCTTACCCAAAATTAACACATTGGGGGAGCTCGCTGATTTATTTGTTCAACTGAAAAACACAGGATCAATATTCAAGTTAGCTTTGAGGGGGAGGGCAGATACCAATGAAAGTCAATTAAGGCTCATATTTGTTAGAAATTCATGCATACCTCCACACTGTTGTATTCTGAGGTTACCAGATTTTTTTCAATGAATCCAGGGACACTTTTCAACTTCAATGGATTTTGTATGGATTTTGCAAATCTGGGGACCACCCCCGGGAAACGGGGATGTCTGGTAACCTTATTGTATACAGGTTGTCCTTCCTGACAAATACAGTATTTTTTGCTCTATAAGACTCACTTTTTCCCTCCTAAAAAGTAAGGGGAAATGTGTGTGCGTCTTATGGAGCGAATGCAGGCTGCGCAGCTATCACAGAAGCCAGAACAGCAAGAGGGATTGCTGCTTTCACTGCACAGCCATCCCTCTTGCTGTTCTGGCTTCTGAGATTCAGAATATTTTTTTTCTTGTTTTCCTCCTCCAAAAACTAGGTGCGTCTTGTGGTCTGGTGTGTCTTATAGAGTGAAAAATACGGTAATTGGGGAAGCTTCCCTGTATGCCTGAGAATAAGTCCTTGCTTGCTTTGTTTCTCAATTGATATATGAGACCCTCAATGTTGTCGTTGCTGAAGGATTCTAAGGTGAAAGGAACATGGTGCCAATTAGACTATCGATGTTATGCAGCTTCAGGAAGCTCATGAAAAGACAGACTCTAGAATTGCACAGTGCACAGTTAACAGCTATGTTAATGGGCACAGACAGAGACATTTCTTTCCACAGTGCACCACTTCTGTTGTGGCGCTCATCTTGCTTTATTGGCCGAGGGAGCTGGCGTACAGCTTCTGGGTCATGTGGCCAGCATGACTAAGCCGCTTCTGGCAAACCAGAGCAGCACACGGAAATGCCGTTTACCTTAATGCCGGAGCAGTACCTATTTATCTACTTGCACTTTGACGTGCTTTCGAACTGCTAGGTTGGCAGGAGCTGGGACCGAGCAACGGGAGTTCACCCTGTTGCGGGGATTCGAACCGCCGACCTTCTGATCAGCAAGTCCTAGGCTCTGTGGTTTAACCCACAGCGCCACCCACGTACATGTTCCAGTCCTCAGACTTTGCAGCCAGCATCCTGTTCGATGCTGCAATAATCAAACACGACGGAGAGCTCTGCATCAGTTTGCTTGTTTGCCTACCAATTTAAAAAATAAAATCGTCCCTCTCTCCTGCTCTTTGATTTGTCTGATCTCGCTCCATGGTTTCTGCCTGAAAATGGCTGCCATCAACCAACAAAGCACAAACAAGTAAGGCAAATACTCTGTCTGTATGGATATCTGAATCAGCTGTGAGGGGCTGTCTTTGGGGGATTTGATTGAGGATGGAGTTTGATTGGCAGGTGGAGACCTCAGAAATGGGTGTCCATCTCCTCAGGGGCGGGGTGGCAATCAAAGCAAGAACAGTCAAAACAACTTCTAGTATCCACTAAACTACTTGCTCAGAATCAATTTACACTACAATGACTAACACTCAGCCTTAGGTCTTCCTCCTCGCTAACTGAAACTCAATCCCTCTCAAGCAGAGATTTCTGCCCATCCTCCCGCCTTTGCTCTTTGAAAACTGAAAACTAACCTTTTCACAAATCACCATACTGGGCCAAGATCATACAAAGTTAACACAATGCAAACAGTAACATGATCAAAATACAAACTGATACAGAACAGTATCTAGTAACCTGGAATATTTACTTGCATCCTGTAGCTTTGGAACTGTTAAAATTTGTGTTCTGCATAACTAGCAAGGAACTGACTGCAGATTGTTTTGAGCTGGGGCGGAGTATCAGAACAACAGATGACCAGGCACTCGATATTTGGGAAGAAATCAGAACCCCTGCCTTCTGCGACCAAGCTGACACCTTCCTGCATCGTATCAAGACTGCTATACGGCAGAGTGCAGTTACCTAATCCTATGAGCTGTACCGGAAAAAAGGTCTCACTCCCCATCCTTATAATATTTCATCCTTTCCTCTTGATGTAATGGTGTGAGGTTGCAAAACCAGCTGTTCAAGAAAGTACAATTACTGTACAGAAATGCTTCTTTGGTGCTACCTGTGTAAATGTGGATTATTCCCTTTAATTGTTCTGTCCTGTGCATTGATTAGTTCTTTCTTAAAAGCTTTTGTGGCATATTAAACATCTTCATAAGTTAGGGTTGTCATATTTCAGAAAGCTTTTTTAGACAAAGTTGTTGTTAATACTTTTTTCCCCAAGGTTTCTCCCCAGAAATTGCCAAAAATGGCAAACTTCCAATATGGGTTGCCATACAGCCGAATCTTGGGTATGTCTGGAAAAATTCTGGACATATGGCAGCCCTATAGTCATTGCATTGCATTTTAATCTGATATATCTCATATTAGCCTATAAGTCATGCAAACCAGACAAAAAACATTGGGACTCAATTTGACAGATGATAGATAGAGATAGATAGATAGATAGATAGATAGATAGATAGATAGATAGATGATAGTTAGTTAAATAGTTACCGTATTTTTCGCTCTATAAGATGCACCAGACCACAAGACGCACCTAGTTTTTGGAGGAGGAAAACAAGAAAAAAATATTCTGAATCTCAGAAGCCAGAACAGCAAGAGGGATGGCTGTGCAGTGAAAGCAGTGATCCCTCTTGCTGTTCTGGCTTCTGGGATAGCTGCGCAGCCTGCATTCGCGCCATAAGATGCACGCACATTTCCCCTTACTTTTTAGGAGGGAAAAAGTGAGTCTTATAGAGCAAAAAATACGGTAGTTAGAGATAGATAGATGATAGATAGATAGATGATAGATAGATAGATGATAGATAGATAGATAGATAGATAGATAGATAGAGATAGATAGAGATAGATAGAGATAGATAGATAGATAGATAGATAGATAGATAGATAGATAGATAGATAGATAGATAGATAGATAGATGATAGATAGAGAGAGATGATAGATAGATAGATAGATAGATAGATAGATAGATAGATAGATAGATAGATAGATAGATAGATATAGATAGATGATAGATATAAATTTCAGCAAGCATAACATTTAATTTATAAAGAAAAATCAAAACATTGTTCTGTTTCCAAATTTAATATGTACTGTAATTCAAATATTTTATAGGGCAAGACAACCTCAAAGCACTAATATGGTTTACTGATATTATATGGGGGCTTCAAAATTGATTAAATGAACAGATATTGTGGGACCCATTTGTTATGTGTGTTGTTGTTTTTATACACTCCCGAAACCCCCAACTGAGTTGCTGATTTTCTACTCTCAAGCTCCTCCTATACTGCCATAGAAACAAAAGCATTGGTTCAAACCATCTTGGATACCATCTTGAAATCTAGCCTGTTCTGTTGAGAAATCAGCTTAGGAACAGTGATTTTCAAATGCCGCATGGCGGTCTCGTTATGCTGGACAAGCGATTTACCAAAAATTAATGAAAAATGCTTATTAAAAGTCCATAGATTTGTCAAAACCTGGGAGAAGAGGAATGTTTTATGTTTTATCTTGTATTTTTATGCTATGAACCACCCTGAGATCTTCTGATGAAGGGTGGTATGCAAATTTAATAAATAATAATAATGTTTTTGCCTGGATCCAAAAGATATGTAACAAAGGCTTCAAGTGAGCCTCCCAGGGGAGAGCGTTCCACTAACAGGGGAGCCACCACAGAAAAGGCCCGTTCTCGTGTTGCCTCTGGAGATTCACCTGCTGTAACAATGGAGTCAAGTCCTGGTGATGTAAGTGATTTTATCCTCAAAATGCTTTGCAAAAAACAACAACAGCAAGATACCATCAGTCCCACCACCTCCAGGCCAGACTGTAAGAAGCCCCTCACTCTCTGGAAAGCTCTAGGTAAAGGTAAAGGGACCCCTGACCATTAGGTCCAGTCGTGGCCAACTCTGGGGTTGCGGTGCTCATCTCGCTTTATTGGCCGAGGGAGCCGGCGTACAGCTTCCAGGTCATGTGGCCAGCATGACTAAGCCGCTTCTGGCGAACCAGAGCAGCACACGGAAACACCATTTACCTTCCCGCCGGAGTGGTACTTATTTATCTACTTGCACTTTGACATGCTTTCAAACTGCTAGGTTGGCATGAGCAGGGACTGAGCAACGGGAGCTCACTCCGTCGCGGGGATTCGAACCGCCGACCTTCTGATCAGCTAGTCCTAGGCTCTGTGGTTTAACCCACAGCGCCACCCGCATATTGAGGATGCAATGCAGGCAGCAAAGTATGCCTTCTTTACTGTCTCCACTGCCACTAGTGAAACCCTCAGGAGTGTTCAATTGCTGGAGGTTTCTCCACTTGGGTTTGAGCCGTCTCCCAGCTTGTTTCCTTGCCCTAAACTCTGGATTATACCAGGGAGCCAAGGGGACTCCACAAAGTGGGAGAAGGCACTTGGGGCAATGGTGTCAACAGCCTGAGCCATTCTGATGTTCCAGCAGTTGGCTGGGGCTTTGACAGGAGCATCAGTCATATCAGCCGGGAAATCCCCCAGTGCTGTCTGGAAACCCATTGGAATTTCCAATTATTATTATCATCCTAATAGCTCTCCAGCGTCTACAGATGGGAAACGGTGCTGAAAGCCTAAATCTCAGCTCATCTGTGAAGCTCCCTGGGCTGCCTTGGGCGAGTCACTGTCAGCCTACATCTCAAGGTTGATTATTTTCATCAGCTAAGCAGAGAAGATGGGCAGAAATATTGAGGAAGCCTCTCAGTCCGGGAAATGCTTTAATACACTGTAATGCCTGAGCGGCAGGAGACTGGACCATGGCTGCGGAGGTTTGGGGGGACTAGAATCTTTGTAGGGCTACACCCCACTTTGCTCAACAGAGGAGCTTCCACTGATTACACGGATGTAACCCTTAGGCAGAACACTGATGCCAGATCGATACTGCAGGGTGGGGTCTCCCTTTTAACATAGCGATAGATCAATCAAATATAGAACGCTGCCGACTGGAGAGCAGGAAGCATTCAAAACATGGTCCCCACCAGGCTTCCCGTTCTCTCCCTGACCCAACTGCTCTTGGGCTTTAGTTTCATGTCCAAAATCTTCCTCTGCTTTCCAAAAATAAGCCACTGCCACCATGCTGAAGGGAGAAAAACAAGAAGGGTGGTATTTTTAGGGCCATTAATTCTGACCACGTGCCCAGGAGGTGAACGGATGGCTATTGCACAAAGGCTTCTCATCACTATGTCCTACGAAGCCAGCATTCATTTGACGTTCCCAGCTTTTGTTCTCCTGGGCTTTCTGGCTGAGATTCTCTTTTCCTACCCAGTTGTCGTCAGAACAAATGGCACCCTGTTGGACAGAGGATGGGAGTCTATCTTATCCAGGTCCCTTGCTGGAATGTCAGGGGAGAAATCTGAAGTCAACTGGGAGACTGACTATTTGCTAGGAATCAAGAGACATCGGAGGCTTTACTGCAACGTGGGCATTGGGTTTCATCTCCAGATATTTCCAGATGGACAGATAAGTGGTATTCATGCTGAAAACCAATACAGTGAGTTGCAAACTGCATCACAATGCAAAATGGTGGAATTGATATCACTTTTTGACTTGATTTCTAACACCCTACCTAGAACCTGAAAGCTACTGCTTATTATTATTATTATTAGTCTTAAGTACTTCTGTGGCCTTTTTAAATGTTTCAGGGTCAATCAGCACCCAAAACCTCCAGGCTGAAACATGTGCTGAATACTTGGACAAAATTAGATACCAACTTATTTTTAGTTGGTTTGACTTTACAGCCTTGAAAAAGCAAAGAGGTCTTTCTCTCTCTCTCTCTCTCTCTCTCTCTCTCTCTCTCTCTCTCTCTCTCTTTAAGATGCTCTTCCTGTTTCCCCCCTGACCCCCTTTTTTGCAGGTAGATGAACCTGCAGCCTGTATGTACAGGATGTTTGGAAAAAGTTGGGAATACTGATAAATCTTAAAAGACGGCTTTCATGGCAAGAATATAGGTTGTTGATTTTAATCCAGGAAATTAAAAGACTGCTTTGAAAAATAATGCCAGCAATTGGTTGCGAAGTATAGAAAATGACTTCACCATTCATTTTGTGATCTACATTGTGGAGATCGCAGTTCAGAGGGTTGGAATTCGAAGAGCTGAGTGGGAATTATATTTATGGTTTGTTTTAAATGCATTGCTGCAAGTTCTGAGCTTGCCAAAAATGCAGAGAAGGCGGGGCTTGCTGGCTCTGAAACAGCAATTACATTATGACAGCATCACCACAGATAAAGAGAGGGATATTTGTTCATTAAAGCACCTATTATCACACCAAGAAATCACTACTTAAGCCTTCCATTTCGTTCCTCCTGCTGGATAGAGTATGTATATGTTCTGGAACAATATGTCCTGTATCAGATGTGCTACTAGATTGAGAACAATCATTTCCTTCTTTCTTTTAACAAATTAAGAATACAAAAAATAATCTTTTATCTCACAATGGATCTGATTGCAGTAACAGGATATCTGCCACTCAAACACATTGAGCTGCATTTACTGTCTGGATAGATGGCTTGGGAGGGGGAAAGGAAGGAAAACTAGTGTGCTGGTGGTCTGAATGCCTGTGTGTACTTGTGTACTAGAGATAAGATGCAAACACATGGGGCGCTTTTACATCTAGAGACCTGGAAGAAGGGGCAGAGTGTACAAGAACGTGTACATTTATGTACACGCTGCCATTTTTAAAAAAGTTGCTCAAAAGGCAATACACAATTGAGGAAACAGTTATGGACAGAAAATAGTCTGTGAACAAGCAAAATAGGATAGCTACCTATCACACACCAACTGGGCTGGTTTTTTGGGGGCAGAAGGGGTTACACTGCTGCCCAGCTTCAGTTATGTTAAAATATTGAATTACTCCATTGATTTCTATGGGCAACTCTCACTTCCATCCCTGGGAACATTTAAGAATAGTTTCTCAGTGAGAACCTGGAAATTACCTAGCCAGACAGACAATGAGATTGCGCTTTCTCTCTCTCTCTCTCTCTCTCTCTCTCTGGCTCTCTTCTTCTCCTTCCCAGCCATTCTGTTCCATTCCCTCTCTTCCCAAATTTTCAGCCTCCTCTCCCAATAATAGAATCATAGAATTGTAGAGTTGGAAGGTACCCCAAGGGTCATCTAGTCCAACCCCTGCAATTCATGAATAGGAGGCGGTTAGCATTCTGTTAGCACTATTCAGTCTTGAATATTTTGTTTTGGGGTCTCTTCTAAGTGGAATTGCCCTCTGGTGTGCGGCACACTCTCGTATAGACGCACAGAAAAGAACTAGAATTAAAATAGGATGGTGATTTAGTGCACAGTCCAGCCACACTTAAACATATGTGTGTTCCTTTGATTAAGAATTAAGCTTTTAAGCCTGCCCCCCTTGAAATCAATGAGAAATGAAGGTGCTTAACTGTCGGGTTCTAAATTCACAGTGCAATCCTATATATGTCTACTCAGAAGGAAGCTCCATTCCTTTCAGTAGGACTTGCTTTCTCAGGTGCAGAGGATTGCAGACACAAATGATTTAATTCCTCGTCTAACTGATTATTCACTTATAAAAGGCAGATCGACTAAAATGCATTTATTTGTGGACCAGCCTATTTGTGATTTTTTAAAATTTGGTTTTAGTTTCTTAAGATCAGTTAGATGAAAAATCTGTTGCACAAAAGTTATTGTTTTCTATTAAATTTTGTATAACTTTTTAAAATAGGGGTTTCTATATTTAATAATGTTCCTTCAGCAGCTATAAAAACGCGGCTTTCAATCACCATTGCATCTGTCTGCTTCTCTAGGTCTCTTGGAAATATCAACAGTAGAGAGAGGTGTGGTTAGTCTGTTTGGTGTCAAAAGTGCACTCTTTATTGCAATGAACAGCAAAGGGAAATTATACGGCACGGTGAGTAGTCTTACAATCTGGTTTTCAGTCAAGGAAATGCTAATACGTTGCTATTCGTTTTGCTGAGAAATCTTGAATATTTTCACCTTTGAAAAAGTATCAGTTCCTGTCAAGATCTGCATTCACTGGCATTCCAAAATGTATGAGATTAGTTGGTCCAAATTACCGTATTTTTTGCTCTATAAGACTCACTTTTTCCCTCCTAAAAAGTAAGGGGAAATGTGTGTGCGTCTTATAGAGCGAATGCAGGCTGCGCAGCTGTCCCAGAAGCCAGAACAGCAAGAGGGATCGCTGCTTTCACTGCGTAGCAATCCCTCTTGCTGTTCTGGCTTCTGAGATTCAGAATATTTTTTTTTCTTGTTTTCCTCCTCCAAAAACTAGGTGCGTCTTGTGGTCTGGTGCATCTTATAGAGCGAAAAATACAGTAACTGTATTTATTGTGCAAGATATAGTCTCTGTAACCTTTGTAGGATTCTCGTGTTGCCTTGTAGGCAGTTTTCCCATCTCTGTATGTTGATGGCTTTTACTGTACAACTGATGAATCAGAGCTGCATGTGTGAGCTGTTTCTCAAACAGCGGCCACCAATGTCACCAACCCGCTTTCAAAACCATGGGGAGTTTCAAAACATATTTGTGATGCATAGTGGGAACTTGCTGCTCAAAGGAAACTGGTGCTGGTGTGTTTTTAATCTATGGGGCTCACCCAGCCATCAGGAGATACCGAATTTTATCTGTGACGTTACAGCTATGATCACTGATTCACACATGCAAGTTACCTTGATAGCTGTATTAGCCAACAAGGGTCAGCAAGGTTTACCTCGCCTGGACTGGTTAACCCCAGTGGAGATCCCTCCGTGGGCCAGATCGTGCGCATGTGTGAGCACATGCAGCCACGATTTCCGGTGTCTGCGCAGACACGATTTCCAGCATCTGCGTCTGTGCAGACACGATATTCGGCATCTGAGCATGCGCAGACGTGATTTCCAGCACCGCGGAAGTGAGTCCCCATGCTGCGCTGGTTTAGCGCAGCGGGTGGGGACTCTCCAACCGGGTGGCTCAGTTCGGGGGTGGCTAGTGAGCCGGTTAAATGACCCCCGTGGGACACTTGTGGCCCATGGGCCTTAGGTTGCCTATCCCTGAGCCAACCATTGGTCTGTCTTTTGCACTCATGGGAACAGTTAATTTACATGGGCAACGGAATACACGAAGCCACCGTTTTCTGATCTACCATATTTTTTGCTCTATAAGACTCACTTTTTCCCTCCTAAAAGTAAGGGGAAATGTGTGTGAATCTTATGAAGCGAATGCAGGCTGCGCAGCTATCCCAGAAGGCTTCTGAGATTCAGAATATTGTTTTCCTTGTTTTCCTCCTCCAAAAACTAGGTGCGTCTTGTGATCTGGTGCGTCTTATAGAGCGAAAAATACAGTATTCTACAGCAGGTCCAACCCTCTAGAGGCTGCAATCTACTTCCAGTATAATAAAATTGGCAGTGATCTACCCATTGTCATTGCCAAGAGTTTTTTGGGGAGAGCATTGCCCGGAGTTGTCAAGCTGTTGGGGGGGAGCATTCCCCAGAGTTGTTGAGCTTTTTTCAGGAAGGATATAGGCAAGAGTTGTTGGAGCGATCCATCAGGAGAACCCAGGCAATAATTTTTTTTTATAATCCCGCAATCAACAAGGGGCACCCTGGCAATCTACCAGTTGATCGTGGTCAACCGGTTGAACATGTCTGTTCTATGGTATACTACCATGGTCTTCTGTGCTCAAAAAGTTATTGGGACTTCTGACCATGTTTTTCTTAACATTTCGTTACAGGCTATTACATTTCCAATAAAAGGCCCTCCCAGTAGCTTTCGTCACCACCAGCATGGCTTAACCTACTTAAGCCTGCATAAAATATTTTCCACACCATCATACAACACGCAGGCAGTGTTACAGCTAAGGCTCAAATTCAGGGTCCTAACGCCAAACGTTCAACCAGAGAGTGGCAGCTCTTGGGGGCAGAGGTGTACCTAGGGAGTGGCAAAACTGGCCCCTGCTTAGGGGTGCAGGCCCAGGGTACACCAGAGGTCATCCAGTCCAACCCCCAACAATGCAGGAATCTCAACCAGATTGTGGAGTGTACCACACATATGCGTGTGGTGATGCGTTGTGGCCAGGGTCATAGGAAGGGGGGTGCGGGGGGTGCAGTCCAGCCCTGGTGTCACCCTGACAGGAGGTGACAAAATGGTGGGCCTGCGGCATGCATGAGGCACACATCTCGGTGCCCACAGGGTCCACACTGTCCGCCCACTGCCTCCCCCCCCCCAGCTGTAGGGTGGCTGAGGCCACACAACATGCCCCCTCTCTAAGGGCACCAAGCGTCCTGTCCCATCCCTCTCTAAGGGCACTGTGACTATGGGCACCCCGCGGCCCCTCCTTATGGGTGCCACGCGCCCTGTCCGTCCCTATGGGCACCACACACACCGTCCCTATGGGTGCCGCGCCCCGCCCTATGGGTGGTTCGCCCCACCCTTGGGCATGCTGCCGCAGGTGCCCAAGAGGCTTTTTCTGCCACTGGCTGTGGCTGCCATGGCAGGAGAAGCTATTGGCAAAATTTATTTGGTGTTTCGCAACTTTCTGACTAGTTGCAGGACCTTAGCCAGACCTAGCAGAGTACACGCAGAATCCACGGAAGCAATTGGCAACTTGGCTGCAGACAGGATAGACGAAACAGGGACCAGGAACTTGTAGTTAGGTGTTTATTATATACAGTGGACTATTTACAGGAACAGAACACGGATCTTATGCTAGCTCTCTCTGATACGACTCTCAACTCCAACACGTACAACTCCTACTAGCTCTCATTCCAGTTAGTAGGCCATTAATTATCACTCCCCTGAGAGAGCTTGACCAATCAGGGAGCTGTCTCCATGCCTCTGTTATCACCAGGCAGACTTACTCCTTCAGATTGCCTTCTGGCTGTCTGCCAAACCTTAATTGACTCTGTGTGAGTAGCTGCATGTACACAGTTTCCCAACAGAAGCTTCCCATCCTGCTTGCACCATGGCAGAAATGGAAACAGAAACAGATCTTGCCAAGGGTGCAAAGGACCCTAGGTGTGCCTCTGGATGGAGGCAGTGGCAAAGAGGCCCAGTGTTGGCACCTGAGCTAGCATGGGCATCCCTGGTCCCAGCAACCCTGACACTGGTTGTTTCGGCTTCCTTTCTTCTGATTTAAACAAACAAAAGTGACAAGTGGGGTGTCTTGGACCCATTGTTGTTCAATGTCTTTATAAATAACCTGGATGGAGGAATTGAGGGGATGCTCAGCAAATTTGCAGATGACAGCAAACTAGAAGGGGTAGCTAATGCCTCAGAATCAGGGTTCAAAAAATGACCTTCGCAGATTGGAGAACTGGACCCAAGCTAACAAAATGAATGTCAATAGGGACAAATGTAAGGCTCTGCACTTAGGAATAACCAGCTGTGCCAATATAAGATGGGGAACACCTAGCTTGCCAGTATTTTCATTATTTTCATTATTTTATTTCTATACTGCCCTATACACGAAGGTCTCAGGGCGGTTCACATTAAAAATCACTGAAAAGGTAAAGGTACCCCTGCCCGTACGGGCCAGTCTTGCCAGACTCTAGGGTTGTGCGCTCATCTCACTTTATAGGCCGGGAGCCAGCGCTGTCCGCAGACACTTCCGGGTCACGTGGCCAGCGTGACAAGCTGCATCTGGCGAGCCAGCGCAGCACATGGAAACGCCGTTTACCTTCCCGCTAGTAAGCGGTCCCTATTTATCTACTTGCACCCGGGGGTGCTTTCGAACTGCTAGGTTGGCAGGCGCTGGGACCGAGCAACGGGAGCACACCCCGCCGCGGGGATTCGAACCGCCGACCTTTTGATCGGCAAGTCCTAGGCGCTGAGGCTTTTACCCACAGCGCCACCCGGGTCTCTACACTAAAAATCACTTACATAAAATCAAAACAAAAACCAGATCTCGCCCCCCCCCCCAAAAAGAGCCAGCTTTTTAAAAAGGGTATAGGATGTCAGGTCAGGCAAAGGCCTGCTTGAAGAGGAATGTTTTTGCCTGGCGCCTAAAGATGTGTAGTGAAGGTGCCAGGTGAACTTTCCTGGGGAGAGCATTCCACAGACGGGGGGCCACTGCAGAGAAAGCCCTGTTCTCGTGTTGCCACCCTCCTGAGCTCTTGAGGAGGAGGCACACAAAGAAGAGCCTCAGAAGATGATCTCATGGTCCGGGTAGGTTCATATGGAAAGAGGCGGTCCTTGAGGTATTACGGTCCTGAGCCGTTTAAGGCTTTATAGGTCAAAACCAGCACTTTGAATTGGGCCCAGAAACTAATCGGTAGCCAGTGCAGTTGGACCAGGATTGGTGTATTATGCTCAGACTGTCTTGCTCCTTGTTGATACTTCTGCATCAACAGAAGTATAGCGTTCAAATCAAGGGAAGTACGGTAATTGTACCATTCTATTCTGCCTTGGCAAGAACACACCTGCACTCCTGTGTCCAGTTTTGGGCACCAGAATATCATTTTTCCTATTTCTACCTTCGCTGTTTGGAAGGAGTATTTTCAGGAGAGTAGCAATAAAGGCATGGACCACAGGAACCGGCCGTTTACCTTTCTCTCTCTCTCACACACACACCCATTTATTTAATTGATGTATACATTCCCATTGATTCATCTATCTATCTACCTGTATTTAATGTATACACCTTGAAACAATATGAAGCAAAACAGATTAAAGGTGCTATTCCAGAAATGAAGGGAACTGTAAAGGCAACACGTAATGACGAATGTGAGCAGATGTTGCAATCACACTGTGTTTCTTTCTTCTCTCTATTCAGGCAACTTTTCAAGACGAATGTAAATTCAAAGAAACTCTTCTTCCCAACAACTACAATGCCTATGAATCAGAAATGTACAAAAGCTTTTACATAGCACTCAGCAAACATGGGAGAGCCAAAAGAGGAAGCAGGGTCTCGCTTGTTCAGACTGTCACACACTTTTTACCCAGATTATGAAGACCAGAGTAAAATGCATTTAAACTGCCCTATTTCAATTTGCACATGAGAATCATCTCCCAGGTAAAGAATATATATTCCCTCATTTGTTACTATATATATATATATGCATATATAGGTGAAATCTTTTGTACAGGATCCATTACACTAATTTTTCTACACTGATTTTAAAACAACTCCTTTCGAGATAGGAATTATTTATCCAAAAGTTACTACATTGTCTAATTATGTCAGTGGTGAAATTTTTGCATTTACATGAAGCAAAAAAAAAAAAAAAAGGCAAATCAGTGGTGTAGCTGCAGAACTGGGGTCTGGCTGAGTTGGGATACTTGCCACAACTACTGCTCTTTCAGTGTAACTTCAACAGAAAACAAACATATATCTGAGATTTTTAGTAGTGTGATGAATCGTTTTTCAGTTACTTCCCACTTCAAGCATTTGCATACAATCTTCTCATAGATCAAGCTCATTATATTAGGTTTCCAAATTGTGTTAGCAGGAGCCCTGGAGTTTATTGGACCTTTATGAGGGATTTCTTAAAGGGAAGACTTGCTATGTTTGCAACTCTAGAGGTTTGCTGTAGGGCACAGGCAGTTCACACAAGGCAGTGGTGAGGATCAATGTGGTGTTCAGAGACCTGGGACTCTTAGAAATAAGAACTTGACTTAGGCTGAACTTTGCAGAAGAACTGGTTTATTGTTAGGGTTGCCATATTTCAAAAAGTAAAAAACCAGGACACCCCAAAAGTTGTTGAGCTTATTTTAGGAAAACCCAAATGCTGTTGAGCTTTTTTCAGACAAGATATTGACATGCCTAAGATCCAGGGCAAAGCACCGCCTTTCAGAAATTTCTCCCGGACGTCAATTCCGCCTCTGAAATCCTGGACATATGGCATCCCTGTTTATTATAGAGTTCAGCTGCATGCAAGCTGGTGTTCTTCCTTGTAAAATTCCCCTTGCCGGGTCCATCTATTGTATATACATCAAGGCTGTGTTCACACTCAGTTTTCTTTGCACTCACTGTTTCCAGTGTCAAGTTTTTAATCTGTGCTTAGCGTAAGCATTCTGAAATCCTGGTGTGGGTCTACCATAATGGCCCTTCTGTGGTGCAATGGGTGAGTGTGCCTGGCTGTTAACCAGAAGGTTGGTGGTTCGAGCCCCAGGGATAGCTGTAGGCAGGATTACAGACTGGATGATGGTTGGAGTCCCCTCAAACTCTACAGTTTTATGATTCTATAAACATAACATTAAACAACTTAGTTTTCTGCAGGGCTGCCAACTTGAATGAAATATTGTGGGGGCCCAGGTAAGCCCCACCTTGCACAATGGATCACATGACACAATGCACACACACCATTTGAATGGAAACGCCCATCAGCTTTGTGCTCAAATATTTTATTGTGGGGGCCGAAGCCCCCACAGCCCCTAGCAGTTGGCTCCTATGGCTCTCTGTAATAACTGAGTTGGACACGCCCTGTTCTATGGCTTAATGGTGGATTTCAAGAATCACTTGTAATGTGGATCCATTTGGATCTGTGCCTTGGATCTATGCTTTTGCATCATGGCAGTGCCAAAAAACATTGAACCTGTCCGGGGTTTTTTTTTACAATCTGACCATGGAGACAGAGGAGAGATGTGATTTGATGGTGGGCGAACATGTGAAAATATTGAGCGGTATCAAGAGGATTTATTCTACGAGATCGGATATGCGTGCATGAATGTACATGCAGTAATACATGCCCTTTTTCCTCCTGACTCTTCCCCCTGCCCCAGTCTCCCAGACCCCTCCTGGTCCTCCCTTCCCTCTTGGTCACTCCAGGTTAAATCCAGCTTCTGTGGTCCCAATCGGAGTCTTGAAAAGCACTCTCATAGAATCATAGAGTTGGAAGAGACCACAAGGGCCATCGAGTCCAACCCCCTGCCAAGCAGGAAACACCATCAGAGCACTCCTGACATATGGTTGTCAAGCCTCTGCTTAAAGACCTCCAAAGAAGGAGACTCCACCACACTCCTTGGCAGCAAATTCCACTGTCGAACAGCTCTTACTGTCAGGAAGTTCTTCCTAATGTTTAGGTGGAATCTTCTTTCTTGTAGTTTGGATCCATTGCTCCGTGTCCGCTTCTCTGGAGCAGCAGAAAACAACCTTTCTCCCTCCTCTATGTGACATCCTTTTATATATTTGAACATGGCTATCATATCACCCCTTAACCTCCTCTTCTCCAGGCTAAACATGCCCAGCTCCCTTAGCCGTTCCTCATAAGGCATCGTTTCCAGGCCTTTGACCATTTTGGTTGCCCTCCTCTGGACACGTTCCAGTTTGTCAGTGTCCTTCTTGAACTGTGGTGCCCAGAACTGGACACAGTACTCCAGGTGAGGTCTGACCAGAGCAGAATACAGTGGCACTATTACTTCCCTTGATCTAGATGCTATACTCCTGTTGATGCAGCCCAGAATTGCATTGGCTTTTTTAGCTGCCGCGTCACACTCTGCTGGGGAAGCCTTCAATCGTACCATCAGCACAAACATTTCCACTTGCTCATCGGTACAGTCTCCCCTCTCCTCCGTCCATCTGTTGTTCTGGGGGGTTCTCTAGACCCCTGGAGCCAGCCTGGGGGGGAGCAAGGGAGGAAGAGGGCGATCCTGTTTGGACTTGTGGGGCACTGGCTCCCACCTGCTTAGTTGAATCCAGCCCATAGAGCTGAAACACAAAGTTGGGAAGAACCTAAGTCTTCCAGCTTCCTCCTTCTCAAGTGGTGGTAAGCTACTCTCATCACCTCTTAACAAAGGGGACATTGAGCAGGGAGTGGGGACTCTCAGAGGCTTCACGGGCACTAGAGGAGGTCGTCAAGGGCAGCAATGGACCCACAGGTGCCACTGGCTCCCTCAGATCTAGTCCTTGGTCCTGAGGACAATTTTGGGAGGCAGGCTGACATACTCTAGTTATGCCATACATGCTTACCAGTGAGTAAGTCCCACGGAAGCCAGTAAAGCTTATTTCTAATTAGGTATACATATGATTGCACTGCTAGAACATTGTTTGTGCTATGATACCGTGCTGTGACACATTATTGACAAAATTTGCCAACTTTTGGATATTTGTTGGAACACATACTGAGAGAAGCAGATAAATGATATATCGTGCCACTTGCACTGTTCATTCCTTTAAGCATCAGAATATTAGCCTGCAGTGTATAATTGATAACATGTATAAAACTAATATACACAGACAAGTGTTTTTCAGACTTCCTGCTTAGCATACATTATTAGCCACTGCCTTTTCTGCTGTGAAATCAGTGCACGTTGCAGAAGATTCTGGGGCATTTTATAGCTTGTTAAAAATCCCAGAGGCAGTCATCTTATTTTAAGTCATTGAGTGAAATACGTTTTACTTTGAAGACCTGTAGAGGCCACTCAACTTTACTCATCTGTTTATATAACCTTTCTCCAGAATGCCAGTCATGCCACATCCTTTAAAAAAGTATTTTAAGATACCCTAAGTCAATAGACACTATAAATATCTATGACCAGAATCCTTGAGATACCTGAGTAGAGGGGGGCATTCCTAAATTTGAAACATCATTTACAGTCCAATCCTAACCGTGTCCACTCGGATGTAAGTCCTACTGAATTCAAGGGGTCTTACTCTCAGGTATACGGAATGTGAAGCTATAATCTGCTATCAGAACACGAGGAACTGAATCATATGCCGAAGGGAGATGTTTGTTCCGTCTCATCTGCAACCAAGAGCAAAATTAGTCTTTTCTTTTTAAACTGTTTTTAATTGTCATTTTTAAAAACCATAATGAAGAAGCGACAAGAAGAGAGTCACTCTATAAAATTCAGAAAGAGAAACTGATAAAAGACTCACTATAGAAACACCAGAAGTTACAGACTATCAAGAAATATCAAAATGAGAAGGAAGCTGAGGGTGGTCTCCTGTCAAAATCCACCTTTATTAACAAAGCAGAGAAACAGGTGCCAGATCACCACTGAGTTGACAGAGTTGGTCCCCCACTACTACTGGAAGTTTCCCTGCATTCTTGTGCCAATTTCTTGCCAAGGGCCAACTGCCATAGCCCATTATACCAGTATTTCAGCAAAAGGTATCCAGTTATTCCCCCATTTATGGCGCTGGCACAAACAGTTTTGCCACTGGGGGGTTGTAACATCTGGGATTCGCCAGCCCTGCTCAGAAAATGGAAAGGAGTGCCAATGTCAGTTCTGGGGAAATCACTTGCTTAGTTACTTACCCAGTTATCTCAAATATCTTAAGCCAGAACACCTGCACTTTTTTGCAATCTCACCATAGGTTTCACATCCAGCAAAGTGAGCAAGGTGAATGCTTAGCTCTATGAATCACATGTACAAAAGAGGCGACCTGAGCTACATGGAAGCAGCTGAAGCATAGGATGGATTAGCGCTGTCTCACTTTAGTAGTAGCTTATATGTGTAGCCTTCTATCAGTCTTCAAGGTGTCCATGCAGAAGCTGCAAGCTTGCCAAGTATACATAGATTTTCTTATTTTTTTAAAAAAAAACCCTTTGTTGCATTTGTATATCCTGAAAGGAATCCAGACATTTACAGTCGTATCTTGGCTTTCGAACAGCTTAGTTCTTGAACGTTTTGGCTCCTGAACGTCACAAACCTGGAAGTGATTGTTCCGGTTTGTGAACTATTTTTGGAAGCCGAACGTCGGTCGGGGCTTCCATGGCTTCTGATTGGCTGCACTTTGGTTTTCAAACGTTTTGGAAGTTGAACTTCCAGAATGGATTCTGTTTGACTTCCAAGGTCTGACTGTATTTATTTTAACCCAGGCATGTCCAAAGTCTGGCCCGCAGGTTGGGTTAATCTAGGGTTACCTGACGTCCCCAGTTCCCTGGGACAGTCCCTGGATTTGCAAATCTGTGCCTGGACAAATTCTGTCCCTGGAATGTCCCCCGATTTGCAAATCTGTCCTGGGAAACGTGGCAGTGGCAGCCTCAGCAGCCTGTTAGTGCAGTTGGCGCTGGCTGGTTTCAGGAGCTGCTCGCTGCCGTGGCGCCCGCCATTTTTCCTGCGCCACAGCAGCGAGCAGCTCCTGAAGCCAGCCAGAGCCAGCTACGCTACTAGACTGGTCCCTGGGCAACGGCCGCCCACCTGTGACTCCCGAGCCTCCCCTGATCTGTCAAAAGGGAGAAGGGGGAAGGAGTCACGCGCGGGTGGTACACCATTGCCCAGTTTTTAAAAAAACCTCTGTGCACTTATGTTTCACAGGGTGCGAAAGAAGGGCTTTGCACCTTTATACAATATGCATGTGTGCTTGGGCCCAGGGTCTTTTGCCTCACCATCCCCACTACTGACTCCCTGTTGCTACTCAGCTTCAAAAGAACCCAAAAAGTGTCCCTGCATTCATTGAAAATAATCTGGTTAATCTGGCCCATGCGACAGTTTATTTCAGTCCTTAAAAAAGCTCAACAACTTTGGGGGGAAATCCAAAAAGAAGCTCAACAACCTCAATCCCCAAAAAAAGCTCCAGAACTTCAACCCTAAAAAAAGGTCAACACGCATGTTCACTTCATCAAATCTGACCCTCTTTGAAAAAAGACACCCCTGTTTTAACCTCCTATCCCTGTAAAGCTGTCAGCACTGGGATAAAGTGACTTGAATTATCAAGTTGTGGCCAGGAAAATACTTTCTGAGACTTCAAGGTGATATGATGGAAGAATTGTTGCAAGGAGCACACATACTATTTTAATTAATGTGAGTCCTGCAGGGAACAGCAGCTCTTACTGCTTTTGAGTCTCTGAATACTGATCATGTAGCTTGGAAAGGAAGCTGATGACAAAATTGTAAATACATCCAGTTTTTATCATTAACACCATCTGAAAATTTGTCCCCTAGATCTGCTTAGATGTGTACGTCAACCCACATTATCATTATACGAACAATCTATTTACAAAGGGTGCTCTGTAGGTAGTTGTTTCTGTGTCAGATATTTAACTAGGATTTCTGAATTGTTCTGTGCTCATCTCAAATGTCTCTGAGCGTGAAGCTTTTTGGCCTCTTAAACACTGAAAGATCCTGTATCTCTCACCAACTATGTACTTCTCAGTGAGGTAGACTTGAAAGGCTCGGATGTATCTTGCATTTATTGCATAGTCAGTTGATAAACTTATTGCTTCTGGTGAA